TGCAACTTCATACAATGGTCAAGCGCATTGAGAGAAAGTGCAGTGCTCAAGAAGCGTAACTCTTTCTGGACTTATTACAGAGTTATTCAATAAAACTTTATCAATGGTCAACCACATTAAAAGGAAATGCAACATACAAGAACTACAACTATCTTTAATTGCCCACAACCATAACTCTATTTCAATTCTTTTGCAAGGTATTCTGTTACTAGTAACTTCCTCATTTCTGAAGCAGTCTTGCGGGGGTATTAATCACATTTAGTGATAGTTCTAGTTTGTTTCTGGGATTTTATTTTATTTTTTGGTTTTGTGCAATGTTCAACTATATTGTTTGTTGTAATAGGAATTAATATAGACCAATGTATATCAGTCGAGTAAGAAAATTACTACATGTACATGTATTATTTTTGAAGTTTAATGATTTTCTTGAAAACAACATTAGTGATTTTCTAGCAAGCCAGCAAACATGTTGCCCTCTGAAAGATAACATTGTAGGTTACTTTAATTGATTCTTTATATTTTCTGTACCAAGACTATTAGTTATTTGTAAAGGTAGTTATGTGTGTATACAGGTTTCACAATTCTTAACAATTAATTTAAAACAACAACACATAGCTGAAAAATACACTCAGTTAACAGAATTAATATTATTAAAATTTTAGTTCACCTGAGCACTTTCTCTGAGGTGTTGTTTTTTCTAGCAAAGCACCTCAAGTGAGTGATCCAGGCCATCATGGTCCTCTTGTTCATCAGTCGTTTTTTGTTTACAGTTTCATAATGAGGAGAGAGTTCAGCAATGTCGTAATAAAAAAGTTTTAAAACTATAGGCAGATAAAAATCACATTTCTCTTAATTGAGCATCAAGTTTTTCAATGTTACAATTTCTCCATTTGTAAATAATTTTTAGTTATGATCATTGTACAAACTTGTTCAAATAAAAATGAAATATAGCATGTATTCTTTTATGTTTCAAATGACAAGAGAGAACTGTGTTCTCTGTCCACTCCAATTCGTATTAACACTGTAATTTATTGTAGACAGTTTTCTAAAGGATGCCCATTAACCTCTATCAGATTGTCATTATATGATGGCCTTTATAATTATTATATTGGTTTTAGAACTGATAGATTTAATGCCAAAATACCCCTACTGAGCAGCTGATAGCTTCTTATCTGGTCAGACTGTGCTAGTGTGCATAGTGATATAACTTCAGATGCCATTTGCATTTCTAGAGTCAAGTACTTGGTCGAAACAAATATGTTGATGTAGGAAAAAAATTGTGAGAAATAAATATCACTGTCATGCAATAAATTATAAAGGAGGAAACTATGTTAGAAATGAATTAAGTTTACATCATTTTGGTAATAGATTAGTGGTTCTACATTGTGTCATTTTACCTGGAACATTGCTGTGAAGAGAATTGAGGCCCTTATCACTTGTGAATCAGCTTCTACCCTATCTAACATGAAAATTGAACAACCTTTCTCAAGCTAGTGACCTTTTCTATCGTGTTAATTATAAAGCCAAACCAATGCATAGGTAGCCTGTGATGTCACATTGGACAGGGTTGTATAACAGACTGGTAAAAATGTTGCCAATTTCAACCATCATTTATTATTCAGGCCATAGTGAATACATGCAGTTTGTCAATTAGTCTGCCCACCTCTGGTGCATGTGATATTGTGGCAAGAGTTGTGCACATCGGGAAATGTAAGTTATGAAACATGAAAAAGGTAGAAATACTCTTGATGACTTCATTTCATCATTATAAGAATGCTTATTTTCTGTCAATACCAATGCAAAAGCTGGAAGTTGACAATGGGTAACCAGTAGTACTTTTCATGCTCCCCAAAGGGAGACAATATAGTCGATGCTTTTCCGTCCATTCCTCACACTCTTGTCCGGAGAATAACATTAGTATTGAAGGAATTTTGTTGAGACTTGGAAACAACTCTACACTGCTTTTTTCAAATTATACTTTACAATACTAAATTATTAGAAAGGAAGTGCAGTGTCATAGAATTATTTGTATACCTTGCTTATTTATGAATTATCTCCCTTTATGTATGTTCTACTCTGGTGCCAGTTTCTGTCTGAAATGATGTACAGAGGGGCACCTGGGGTCTTCCTTCACCAGTAAAACTGGAAAGTCGTCATATGACCTAAACTGTCTTGGTGCAAAACCCAACCCCCCAAAAAATATCAATATCATTCAAACCTTACACAGTTGTAGGAAGTGAAGGAACCATTACTCTACATTACTTGTTATTGAATTATCTCCCTTTATAATATTTAATAATGCTTGTCTGATGAATAACTTGCAACATACTAAAGAAATTTGATTAAAATATTGCACAGTGGTAGAGATAACCATGGGAAAGTGCACTGTACTGAATGCATAATTCTACCTTGCTTGATTATTTAATTATCTCCCTTAATATTCTAATACTTAAATTTTTTTAAATGCTTGTCAGAAATATAACATCTGTCAATAATATCTTATTGCAACTTTGCATGGTTAAAAAATCTAGCAGAGACATAGATAATCTATCTATGTCTCTGAATCTAGTAAGTTAAATACATAACTTAGTTTTTATAATTATCTACCTTTATAAAACTTCCTATCTTCCAATAATGTCAAAACTCGCGGGGACGTACATAAGTTGTATGTCTGCGCGTCAAAAATCGCAAGAAAGTTAAAAAAAAGTGTTTAAAAGAGGATAAAAGAATAGTTAAAAATGTTAAAAACAGGGGCTTGAAAACAAGGTGAGCATGTTCATTGCAAGCTATGGCTGCACTGAACTACTCTGTACGTGGTAGGGAGTATGGCAACTGCAGAGCGTAGGTGGTTCCAGTGATATACCGTCCTAGGAAAGAATGAGACTTTATAATAGTCTGAAGTTGCTGTGAATAATATATAACACAAGGGATGGTCATGGCGTGATTTTCGGGAGAAGGGTATCAACTATTCTTCTATGGGGATATAGCAACCATACCATGGTGAGTCTTCCTAGCATATATAAATCTGAGTTCCAGTTTTCGAAAGTTAAGGGAGTGCAGCATGTCCATGATGCTAGAGGTCTGACCATAATCTAGCTTAATCCATCGGGCTGCTCTTCTTTGTTCATTTTCGATTTGATCTGTATTTGAGTTTTGGTGTGGGAAGACCATTCTTCGGAACCTTATTCAAGCTGGGTTCTGACTAACGTCTGGTAAGCGATCGACTTAATGGATTGGGATTTAACCTTTATGTTTCTGCATATATGGGTATATCTCACGTGAGGTTTTCTGATATATCCACGCCTAGGTATTTAGCTATTCTAATTGGACTCAATGAAGGTAGTATTGTGTTGGGATAGGATGTTTCCTTTTTGTGACGTGGATAACTTGACACTTGGAGTGGTTAAATTCCATATCCCACTCCAACTCAACTTTTCTAACCGATTAAGGCCATTTTGGAGAATGACTGATTGGTCACAAATTGCAGACGTCAGAGAAATGTCTATTGCAGTATCGTCTGCAAACAAGCGGACCTGGGAATTTGTGGGAGTCATTTATATAGGTGAGAAACAGACCAGGTCCTAGAACATAGCCTCAGGGGACACCTGAGTATACTGGGATGGGGTTATAGCAGCTGCCATTCAGCACAACAGACTGCAGCCGGTTCTCTAGAAAACGTTTGACCCATTTTTAAATTTTGACCTCTGATTCCATAGTCATGTATTTTCAGCAGTACTTTCTCATGGCTGACCTTGTCGAAAGCCTTACAGAAATCTAAAAAATTAACACGTTGATCAGAGTCTCTGGCATCTGGCAGAGAGAGGATGTATGCTGTATGAGATCCATATGATATAATGCTACCTTGCTTGATTTTTTAATTATCTCCCTATATAATACTAAATAATGTTTGTTACAAGTCCGCTTATAATTTATAGCATTCATACATTGAGATTTAAGTAATGTCTTTCATATTTGGTAGAAATATATCTCGGATGGTCTTTGGTACTTGGGTAAAGATCATAGATTTTTACACTTTTGCTGATACAGCATTTGAGAATCAGCAATCTTTCACATTTTGATTATGAACCATTTAATTCTTGCAAAATACAATCACGGATATCTATATTTAGCTTCATGATACAATAAAGTTTTGTTTTATAAAACAATGAAAATTAAAACAAGATTATTGACGTAAATGTTCTGTTCAAACTTAATACTTAATTAACTTGTCTTATTACTTTTACAGTTTTACAGTAATTTTATTACTACTTAAAAGCACGGATTTATATTACATAAATCCGTGTTAAAAGTCAATTAACTAAACAATCTATACTGGTTGGAAAGATAACTCCGACACTAAATCACATATTTTTTGCAATGTCTTGATTATCTTCCTGTATATTTTAAATATTGAACCACCTAAACAAAGTTCAGTTCAAAGACTTAACATTAAAAAATTATGTATGAAAATGAAATCTGGTACTTCTTTAAGTTTCTGAAAGAGGTATCAAACAATGGTCGACACTTTATTGTTTAAGTAAAAAATGACTGGAAAATCTGAATCAAAAAGCATATGAAAAGTTTAGGTTATTTGAAAAACATTAAAAGTTTACCAAATTATTAAAAAAAATCACCCCATTCTATCCTGCTCCTATACTTTTAGGTGACCATGTGCTTGTTTGTTGAAAAACAAAGTTATAACAATTTTTAATATATTTATCAAGTGTCGGGGTTATCTATGCGCCGGAGTTATCTCTCCGACCAGTATCCTTAAAAATTCTAATAGAGGGCCGAGTTGACCCGTGCCGAGTTTGTATAAGCCGAGTTGACCCTTTACCGTTCCGGATTCCGTATACCTGGATTTTCTGCTTTATCTTTGGGATCGTCAAAAAAACCTACAATATATTCAGTTTTATTTTAGTTTCAGCAGATCAAAGGTCTGTACTGCATTTTTCTTTAGTTTATAACTTACATTACATCCATGACTACTTAAAGTCTTAAAAGGTCCGAACTATCTATTGGAAAGCTGTACAGGTTACAGGGGCGAAATAGTTTTGGGCCGAAACGTGTGGCGAATTGTGTGACTTTCTCAGTTTCTGTCGATCCAGTTTAGGTGCTAAGGATTTGTTTGATAATTGGTAATTCCATTTAAAAAACTTATTTATAATATATATTTTGTAATGCATTTTATAAATCTAGGTTAAATAATATCGTTTTGCACGTTTCCCATTATTCCAAACCACTATCATCAAAATACATGTAAATTCCAAAAATATTAATAGGATCAAATAACATTTGTAAAGACTATCTGTATAAATTCTATTTTCTAAGTCTAAATTAAACTTTTAAGATTGGATAATAACATTTATTTTCAACAACATGATTATGAAGAAAAATTTGCTGAAAACAAAAGTTACAGGGTTATTTAAAATGCATATGTCACGGTTAAGAACTGTTCACAATTTAGGGGAGAAGATAAGAAGTAAGCGCCAAAATAGCTCAGACGGTAGAGCTGCAGTATGGTATTCCTAGGGTCCGGGGTTTGAGTCCTGGTCAGGCTGCACATATTTCTTACCCTGTGACATTTGGCGCCCAAGGTGGGGCTGTGACTGAATATGGCTCGGAGTTTATTTCAAATTGCTCTGTAACTAAGAGAAATTCAAGGACAAGTTTCAATATAGCAGGGGAGTATGTCAGGGTTCAGAACTATTCACTATTTGGGGAGAAGATCTGTAAGCAGCCAGAAAGCTCAGTTGGTAGAGCCATGGTACGGTATTCTGAGGGTCCGGGGTTCAAGTCCCTGCTAGGCTGCACATTTTTCTCATCCTGTGACACATATGATAAGTTACATGTACATTGTATGTACCCTCATTAAAAGTGAATTTATCTCAAAATTATGAATTGCAAAGTTTTGTAACTTTGTGAGAAGTTTTTCACTGACATTAATGATATATTATTATGATATATTTAGTTTCAGATTGTCATTTTCACTCTAATTATCAGCGATGGAAGATTCTGATGAATTTAAATGGGCTGTAAAAGTTGTTATAAAGCGACAAATGAGAGATCTGGTGAGTTGTTGGTCTATTTTGGCTTACATCATTTCTATCGCTAGATAATTTATTTAGAGTGACCATCATTTTTATTTCCAGATAATTTATTTTCTTGAACTTTTCCTTGTTTAAAAACAATCAAATTTTTCCCTATTAAGCACCTAAGAGTTGTGACTATACCAGGCAAAATATGTTGTGTTTTTGTTTATCATGATTTAACATTGCATACTGATGTTCCATTTTGTTAAGGAATTAATTGTATTATTACTGATTGTAAAAAAGGGACAACAATAGCATTCACTCAAAGTTAAAATTATAAATAACTGTGAAGTTGTAGATTTATAATATTACAGATCTATGGAACAGTAAGATTTATCTTGTATTGATAATAATACAGATGGAACAGTTAGATTAATATTGTATTTATAATGTTACAGATGGAACAGTTAGATTTATATTGTATTTATAATGTTACAGATGGAACAGTTAGATTTATATTGTATTTATAATGTTACAGATGGAACAGTTAGATTTATATTGTATTTATAATGTTACAGATGGAACAGTTAGATTTATATTGTATTTATAATGTTACAGATGGAACAGTTAGATTTATATTGTACTATTTATAATGTCACAGATGGAACAGTTAGATTTATATTGTACTATTTATAATGTCACAGATGGAACAGTTAGATTTATATTGTACTATTTATAATATTACAGATGGAACAGTTACGAGAGCGTGGCGAGGAGATAGCAATATTGACTGTTAATTTAGATGACAACACATGTTCACATTTTGGGTCACCTAGTGGTGAATGGTTTGTTTCTGAACAGAAGAACCTTGCCCAAAATTTTCTCAAGTTCTGTACAGTGAAAAGTAAAAGTAAGTGCTCAACATATATTATATAATTAATGCACATATATTTTTACCAAAAATATAAAAAAAATTTGGTTATCTCTCTAGCTTAAAGTTATTTGTAAGTTTTCTTTTCATTGGTATATTGTCCATTACACATACAACATGTATCCCAATAGACTTACTCCGGAATTAAGAATATTTGGGGTTTTTTCCAGCTAATTCAGAGGTACAAAGTTACAGCTTCAAAATATATTAAGCGCAACTGGTTGACTTAACTATTGTGACCACAAAGCTATAACAGTAAAAGATTGTTTCTACAGGGGGATTAGCATTGAAAAACCCACATTTGCCATGTTCAGGAAAACATCTATTTACCATGTGCATTGATGTGTTTGATAGTTATAACATTAGATATACAACATGTAAAATTAAAAGAGGGTGAAATTTAGCCCTAGCAGATCATAAGAAAAAAACCCAACAAATAACATATTGCATAAATGACAAAGTAACATGGTTTATTTCTTCAGACTTAAAAATGATGACATACCTTATATATGATATATATTGCATTTTGATTCTACAGGAAAAATTAGTTTTAGATATTTAGATAAATCAGTCTAAATTTTTGGTACATGAATTTTATTGATCCTGTCTTAATATAGTGGTAGTCATATGTTACTTTCAGAATACCTAAGTTAATTGCAAAGTTTTAAATTTCAAGAAAAGGTACTTTTATTAGAGATTATCTTCTGATTATTTGTTAATGTCTTGCTTACAGAAGGTACCCAAGATGCTGGCAATGTCATAAGCACTGGATCCATTTTCAGTTCAAAAACTTCAACTGTCAAACAGCGGACAACACAGTCGGCAGGTGAAGGGATCTTTCTTTCATTTTGTTGTACATAAGAATTATGTATTTCGACTTATTATTCTGAGAATGTGAGGGATATAGTTTTGGCTTGTTAATTTTCTGTTCAATATCTTCAATTGAAAAATCGCAACTGTTGAATTCTTTGGAGACTAGGTTCCTTGCAACTAATATGTGCGAATTTACAAACCGCAAACTTTAATGGAAATGTTTAATACGAATGTATGTTTTTTGCAATATAGGGTTTTGTCTAGATACTTTAGTATTATAGATTATCTGACCATTTGACTATATAGTTTACAAAACGTGCCAATTTCTTTCCGGAGTAGTTCTCTGAACTAATTGGGTGAATTAATTAGAAATCAATTATGAATTGGTTCATAAAGAAAATGTGAAGTACGTGACCTTTGTATTTGTCTGATTGCGGATATACTTTACATAAGTAATGTTATTTTGCCCTTCACCTTAAAGCATAAAAATTTGATAATTTTTCACTTTGTCAGTATCAAGTGTTTACTAGATTGATAAACTTTAAGGAAATGTTTAAAATTACGAATAATGAAGTCTGGAGATTAAGATGTTTTTACATCTAGGTGAGCTATTGTGATTCCCCACCGTCCGTTGTCATGCGTCGTCAGCAATTTCTTTAAACAACATCTCCTCAGAAACAAATGACTGCACAGCAACCAAACTTTACAGGAATGATCCTAGGGTGGTCCCCTGCCAAAGTTGATCAAATGGTTCCAGTCTGTTGCATAGCCTTATGTCTTCAGTTGTTGTGTTAATAATAACCAGTACTCGGCGGGGGATATAAATTCAACGAATTTGCTTGTTTTAATTCTAAAATTTAAGCAATAATGTGCCATTTTGACTATGTTAATTATGTGTTAAATTATCTTCAAAATATGAAAAAGACTCCCAAGTGTTGAAATTCTTATGGAAGTCAACATAAAGAAGTATACACCTTTACAACTAATGATGATCAGCAGTTATAAGTTTAGAATACAAACCAGGAAATTTAATAAGAAAGATGTGTCTAACTACGGAAATGTATTGTTCTTTTTCATATATAGTGGTGTGTCTAAACACTCACTGATAGGCTGATTGATGGATCCCTACTCTGACCTTTTATTTGATAATAATATATTTAACCACAAAACTGACATGTGCTCTTTTGTTAAGAAAATATGTTTTGAAATTTTGATAACTAGAATTAGAAAGGTCAGGGATCTATGCATTGCGTTCTGTAATAATAAAAGAAAATGTTGATTTAGTACAAGTAATTTTAGTATATTGTCTGATTTACAGGACAGAGCCAGAATACAGATTCTCACATAAGTAATGATATATTTTCAAGTCCAAAGTCTTCACCTGTAAAACGAGGGACAAAAAAATTTGAAGGTGAATAGATCTTTTCATTTATTTTACAGTTCATCTTTTTATATAATTTTGATAAATTTAAGTGATAAGATGCTATTTTTTTTATATGGTTTGTGTTACAGTAAGAATGATGGGGATTCTGTGAAAGTTTTTTATGCCTAAAATGAAACCTGTCCTTCCACCTGTCCATCAGGTACTATTTTGTCCACATTTCATCTCCACAAACACTAGTCTGATTTGTTTGTTTTGGGTTTTACGTCACATCAACACAGTATAGGTCATATCGCGACGTTTCAGCTTTACTGGTGGAGGAAGACATCAGGTGCCCTTCCGTGCATTATTTCAGGCACGAACGGGTACCTAAGTAAAACCACCGACGTTCCGTAAGCTAGCTGGATAGCTTCCTCACATGAAAGAATCCAAAGTCCCTGTCGGGATTTGAACCCACAGGGGTGAGGGGCAAGTGGTTTGAAGTCAACGACCTGATTTGTTTGAAACCTTCACTGGAGTGATTATGAATAATCCTAGTGGTACAGATCTTTTGTATGTTTGATATGGTCAAAAGTTTTGGAGTTATCACCCTTTTTATTTTCATACATATGATCAATACTGAAGTAACTGTACAATCTAGTAAATGCTTTGTCTCCAGAATCACTTGTTCGATTTAAATGAAACCTTTACCAGTAATTAAGTGAGTGTTATCAAGTATAGATTTTCTTTGTACAATCTTGTCCATTCTTCATCAGTGCCACTTCTTCATTGCATAGTCTTATTTGTATGAAGCCTTCATTGAATTGTCATGAGGCATTCTAATGATAACTGTTTGCATATGAACCTTAAAGTGACATTATGCCCATCCAAGGGTATGAAGTGAGTGAACAGGTGATAATCAAAATAAATTTACACTTTGCCATAATTCCTTTCAATTTTATAATTTACTTTTAATTACATGAACGATAAATAGCTCACATCGCCCAAGGAAATTTCTGTAAATATCCATCGAATTTACCTGTAATGTTCATTTTACAAAATGAGTGGGGGCAGTCTTTATATATTTTATTGTTTTACATTTTCCAATATCAACTTTTTTTCATCTCAACGTAAATTTTTAGTTTTGTATACAGCAAAATATCATTGAGAGAATTACATTTTTATAGTTTTTCTTTCAATACTTGCTGCCCATTTGTAGAGCATATTGAATAAAGGACGTACGCAGGTTGGAAATTAAAAGCTTCATTTTACTGGCATTTGTCACTTTACAGTGACAGCACATGTCTTAATTTTTTGGGCGGTTTAATTGATATAATGGAAAATCATAAAATTTTATGTGATACGTTACAGATGCCCCTACATTAACAGTGACTGTACCGAAACGGTTGGCTGGAGATGTAACAGAGGAGGAGCTTGCTTCTCTAGTAGGAAGGATTGTAGCCTCTCAGTTGGCTGTTCAGGAGAAAGGTGAGAGTAAAATATGACACACTTGGTTAATATTGCATTGCTTTACTGTTTAAAATGCTTCTAAGGTGAGAAAAAGACTAATGTGCATGATAGAAGGTTTCTCAAATTCTTTTAATTTCTTATCTAGAACGTACAATCTGACTGCAACTCTTAGGAAGTACTCATAATAGATTAATTTGAAGATTTGACAAACAAAATTATATTTCAGGCAAGTACATGTATGCTTTCATTAACTTGTTTTAAGGTGATGGCTCTAGCAGTGGTACAAAGTTTGATTTACTGGTTGAAGCTGCAAACAATGCTAAAAAGAATCGAGGAACAAGCTCTGTGGTATCGACACCATCAACAAGATCTACAAGGTATGTAGTGATGTGAATCTTTTCCACCTCAGACAATACCCAAAAATATATTCATTAAGGTATTAGGACACTAATGGGCACTATCAGGAACTAAAAAATTGACATCATAAGTCAGATGTATACCTTAAAGTACACCTGTATGCAAAATTTAAACAAAGTTTACCGTACGGAAATCAGGTTATGGCCACTTTTCTGAACTCAAGCTAGGATGTTATGAGGGCCGTTTTTTAGAAAGTAGGAACCTTTAAATAATCTGCAATAACATTCTAATGAAAAATGTTAAATTTTGGTAAGAAACAAACAGTACCATTCAGCTAACAATCCAAATAAGCAAAATTTTGGTTTCTACTCAAAATTTATGAAATCTGTGTAAAAATGTTACCCTATCCCACCCATTTTTACCACGTGTCTGACCATTTTTCTACTTAGGGAGCCTAATTCAAAAAATCTTAAAATTTACCCAAATGAGTGCCTGTTTTCAAAGTTTCCCTAAATTTTTAAAAAAGTATATTTGTTGATCTTGTAAAATATGAAATACTTTTACCGTCTAGTTTTGATTATATTACACTTTGAAAATATCAGGTACCATATTTATTACTAGATTTAGCATAATTTAGCCAATAAATACCTATATAAATTAAAAAATCAAAATTAATCACTTTTTTCTTTCCAAATGGGACATGAGAAATACATAAATAATGTTAAAAGAAAAAAAAGAAAGAAAAAAAAAGTCGACCCTTCTGGGGATTGAACCCATGGCCCTCATTTTCAATGTAGTTAACAGTAGTTCTAGCCTATTTGAATACTCTTCAAAGCGGAGGTAATGCATTAGGGTGCTAATACCTTAAATTAGTTGTAAAAAAAGGATGTCATTTCATTTGAGTCTGATAATCGAGCAAACTGATTTGGTTATTTATTTACCTTCTACATTCCCACAAAAATGGAAATACAGTAATTGCCATTTTATCTATCAGTCTATCTAAAATCATGTCCTGATTACACCTTTATCATAGATGGTACAAATGTTTGAACCATTGTCAGACATTGTGTAAGGCACAAGCCAAAGGTCAAGGTTACATAGAGGTCAAAGGTAAAACATGGTGTCTAATTTTAGTGGCTGATCCATAACTTTGTTATTTATTAAAGGCATTTAAAAGCTCAAAGATTCAATATTAATCATCATCAGCATGAGATGTATTGTTTTACTGAAAGTACATAAGACGCACATCTACAAGTTGAAGGTCAAATGCTTGTCTGTTAAGGGAAGTGCCAGTGACCAATTTTTATAGATATTCTATGTTAAAAATGACATTAAATACTCTTGAAAATTTTGCGTTAAGGATAATGTCCCTTGAAATACAGTTGTGCATTGTCATGATAATCAAGTTAAAAAGGGTCATTACTCCAAAAATATAACTTTCAGAATTATGTCCCTTGTCTTACTACTGCACTTTGTCATGATAAACAAGCATTCCAAGTTTCATGTTGATACTTTTAATAGTTTCAAAATCATTCTACTAAGTAGGCAAAATTTGACAAAATATTAAAGATAAAAAGTAGGGATGTCATCTGGAGCCGAAACGGCCATCCGGTTATTCGAATCAGACATCCGGATATTCGGATCGTTGTTATAATCTTAGTTGGCTGATATGACGTAACCATTTTTTCGCGACCTTTTTCAAAATGTAGTATTTCGTTTCACTTCCTTTTTAATTGAATGTTACGTATCAACAAATTTTCGGTATTGATTTTATTTTTTTCTATGTAGAATATGACTGTAATCGATAAATTAAAGGCATATGATACTTACGATTTCAAATGAAAAGAAAATGAAATTCATTGCTTTCAAATGAAATAAAAATGAAATTCATCGCAGATTGTTTCAATTCCTCAATTAGTGCTATAATACACAATAACACTTGCTCACATTTGTGAAACAAAATAATACCCTTTAAAGTTTCCATTGTTTAATAACACGCATACAATTTACACACGATGACCTTTGACAGGTGTGTAGCCAATTTTTCAAAAGAATTTGCCAATCTTTGATGTTTACCAACATGTAGCCCTGGCTGTTTGATTCGAATCATCAAAGAAGTTGCCGAAACTTACATTAATTACACACATTTAAAGTGTTCATAAGTAAAAAAAAAATTGTGAAAAAATTGTTTAAAAAAAAATGCACATGTTTGATTAATACTAAAGGAGAAAGTTATTATGTCGGATAATTATTGTACCAACGTCAACAAAAACTGTGATAATTAAAGTTAACATGCTATTATTGGTAAGTGCATTTCTTGATTTGCTTGTTTTATTTCTGCAGATTTTTCATTTTCTCAAATAAGGATTTGACGGGTCGGTAAGCCGAAATATATGTAAAAAAATACCCTAATTAAATATTTAAATTTGGACATAAAATATGTAACATCGTTGCCGATGACAATCGCACGGGACATAGAATATTCATCTTGAATCCTACAGAACTTAAATTTGTTGGTGTTTAATAAAGATTAACAACATGTGTCATACCTGACTCATAATTTTTGTAGTAATTATTGATTCTTGTGGTTTGATTATGATGTGTATTGGCAAACTAAGATACAATATGGTGTCAACACCATGTCTACGTCGATTATCTCAACGCATGTATTTATCACATTTTCTCAATATTCTGAAATATTTTATACAAACATCCAGATCCGAACATCGGCTCAGGACACCGAATCGTGATCCAAACGTTCGGATATCCGGACTCCGAATGACATCCTTAATAAAAAGTGGCATAACTTACATAAGTTTCATGTTGATACCCTTTAAAATGTTTGATAGATAATAGACACTATTTTAAAGTTTTTGCAGAATAACAATGCTGCAAACATTAAAGCTCAACTTTTTCTTATCACAACAAAATGTGTCACAGCCAAGATGCGGTTCCTTACCTGAAAAAAAACAAGGTTTGACAAAGCTGTAAACAAGAAATGGGGTACTTTTTTGCATGTCTGCTCCATAATTTTGTAATTATTGGATAATTTTATATATAACTTTGTGATAACTTTCTGTATTTTGAAATATATGACAGAGTTAGAGTGAAGCATAATATTCAGGCACATATGCTTGTTTTAGTGTGACATCTTGTTGTAAACAAGTAACAATCTTCTATAGTTATGTTTATGTATTAGTTATGTGTTATATGTTTTTGTTGTTCCTTCTAGGAAAAGGAAAGTATCACAGAGGTACAAGGAAGGTATTACCAGCTTAAAGAAAGGAATAAAGTCGGGTATGTTGAAAATTTTATGTCGGAACCTTCAAGTACTTGTTCTAGGTTTTTTTGCTTCTTATAATACACATGTCATATAAGCATTTAAATCTAAAGATAATTTTGAATGACAGATCGTTTCCAGTTCATATTGTGGTTGACAATTTTGACAATTGTACATTAATGTAATAAGAATATTTAGCTTTATATCTTTATGAAAAGACCAGTTTCTGGACAAAAGTTAGGTTTCTTACTTTCATAACCAAACCTACGTTTTAGAAACTTACTATATGAAAACTTAAACTTAATCTATTTCCAAAAACAAAAAAATACTATTTGATGACGTCGGGAAAAGATTAAGAGGGTGTCAAAATATGTCATGAAATATGTAATCTTTTTTATACTTGGAGACGCAGCTTCTAAGGACTTATAATTATCTGTCATTATAACAATACTTGCTACAGGGTTCGTACAGTCTTAAAAAGTGCTTAAATTTGAGTCCCTTGAAAAGTGCTTAAAAATGTAAAAAAAGTGCTTAAAAGTCCTTGAATTTGATAACTCTCTTGAAAAGTGCTTAAAAAGTGCTTGAATTTGCTGAAAATGTGCTTGAAAATGTTTGAATCACAGGAAGTCATAGTTTCGATAAATTTGAATCAACGGTTAGTTTTCGATAAAAATCAACAGTTAACAAAATAAAAAAAAATGATTCAATTTTATACTATCAAAATCAATGAAATGTTTTCTCAAGGTATCAGTAAGTGGACAAATTGCAGTTGTTTTGAAGTAATCTGTATTTGATGCACCCTATGTTGTTCTTCTATAAATTCCCTAAATTTGTGGTTAGAAAATTGTATTCAACAAAAAAATGGTGAATAAACTATCCATCTTAGGTTGGTGATTGTGTTGGTATATGTGCAACAAATGTGCTTGAATAATAGGAAAATGTGCTTAAATAGTGCTTATAAAGTCCTTGAATTTTGGCATTGGATGTCTGTACGAACCCTGTGCTAATAGGTTTTAGTTTATACAAATTTATTTTAGTTGTGTTGGAAGCTATTAGCTTCTTGGAACACTTTCAAATCCGTTCTTGGAACCAACCAGTACTAAACAATGAATGTAAAGTTTCTTGCTCAAGGAAACAGCTTGCCCCGACATGGTTTGAACCCACGCGGTCAGCAATCTTTAGATTACTAGTCTGACGCGTTAACCACTCAGCCATGCCACCACTTCGGCTTATAGGTTTTAACAAATAACTTACCTTTTATGTTTCACTGGCAATCGATCTCCATGTTCATGCATATTGCAATGTATGAATACCCAAATGAATGCAAGAAAACGAAAAAGTGAGATATTTTCCTTCACATAACAAACGTAAGCAAACAAAGAAAAAAATTCAGCTTTGATATTTATAAATTGCTGTTAATTTATAAAAAATTTTTTAGAAAAAATAAATAATTTTTCAGAGGATGATGATACTGTTTGTGAAATTGAAACTGGTAAGATATTTCTTTTTGTTTTCTTATTTATTATTTATTTATCTTTCCTGAAAACAGGAATGAATTTTAAGTTATCGAAACATGTGAAAGATGGCTTCTTTAATTTCATAATACCAAAAGTTTGAAAACAACATGATATTATTGAAGGGGGGGGGGGGGGGTGAAGGGAAAAAGCAGGATGCAAACTCATTCAAATAAAAAAAGATGTACTACCCAAAATCACATGGCATGCTGTCAACAGTCTTTTAATGTCCTACATTTCTACATTTTTGAAATCATTCCCGTTTTTGGGAGCAAAAAAGGTCACATTATGACATATGCACATAAAATTGCTAACAAGAACTGATCTCACAACAAGACAATGTACATGTGATTGTTAGTTTTTTGTTTTTTTATGCTTGTTATATTTTAAAAGATTATATAAGATATTAAGATGCACTTTTGCAGTTTTCTTCACTTGCTACTGCCCTAGTGCCTTCTCTTTATAGGAGATAGGTGCACAAAGTGTAACATTTTCACTCCGTGGTCGAGCGGTTAGAGTCGATGACTTCTAATCCAGTTACCTCTCTGGCGTGGGTTCGATCCCCGGGAGATGCTTTGGTAGTTTAGCGCGAGGAAGGTAGTCTAGTACTGGTGTAACTCTCCAGGAAAGAGGTTAGGAAACTACCCGCCTATATGACTGAAATACTGTTGGGAAAAGGCGTAAAATGAAACAAACAAACAAACAGATGTACAAATAAAGTTTATTTATAATGATTTATGTGACTGAAGGTTAAACAGTTACTATATTTACATTAAAAATCCATTTATTTATGGTTCAAACAAGAGAAATGCTATTGTATTCTTATTTTCGTAAAAATCCAGCTTCTTTTGATAGAAATAGTTTCTTTCATTTTTAAGTAACTTTTGTTAAACTTGAATTATAAAATGATGTATTGAGAGGTCATTGTGGTATTTGTTTCTCTTCAGAACATAATGAAAATGTCATAGTTAGCATGTTAACAGACTTGAGTAAAACCATCTTAAAAAGGTATGTATGACTGTAAAATTCTTAACATTATGTAGGCTACTGATTTATATTTTAAAGATAACTTTTTTGAGCAAAATCAATATAATAAAGTCAGTGGCATGCAGCAATAAATATGTTCTGTAATTTTATGTTTAAAACATTAAATGTAATATTTTCAGTGTTTTTTTTCACTTTTGGGAGAAGGGGGTCGGTGCCCTTTAGAGGGGGGAAAATGCAATTGGAGGGGGAATTTATTTCTTCACAAATGAGACGAAATGAAAAAGAATCCAATGCATATTTTAATGTACCACTTACCACTGTAAGATTTACTTTTGTGTGACATTGTTTTCTTTCCAATGAGTAGAAAAGGGGAGCAACTCTAGCAACACAAGTTTAAAATATGTCGCATTTTCTTAATATACCGATCTAAAATATTGACAGCAGAATTTAAAGTGTCCCATGTTAAACTTGTTGGGACGCCCGGAATAGCTCCCCTTACCTACCCGGGAACAATTTGTAAACAACTTTGCTTAACAGTAAGTCTTACAGGCATAAAATAAAACATTTTTTGGCAGTTATATGCAAAAAAAATGGTAATTATTGCAGGCAAATTTGGGCTGCCATAGGGGGGGAAATTTTGGCTTTGAGGGGGAAAAAAACATACTATTTTGAGGGGGGAATGGGGCCGAATTTCGCGGAATATTTTGGTGAAAAACACCCACTGATTTTGCTAACATGTACATTTAATTTTGTGGCAATTAGTGAAGAAAAAGAAAGTTTGCTTGATATTATGAAATACTATAAAGGCATGTTTAAATAAAATAATATTAAAACCTCATTTTGCCTCTGTGAAATAATGATCATGGTAACTGACTAATGTTCACTTTTTTCTCTGTTTTGATTCTGCGTGTAAGGAGACTAGCTTTCTGAAGATAAGCAGTTAAACTTGTGCAAACTTACCTGAACTCCAATTTTTAGCTGGACTTTCTTTTCAAAAAAAAAAATAAAGGTATTGTTACAGTCATGTAGGCGTTCCCATTTCCGTTTGCATATGAATATCTGTGTAGAGGGTACCTGCCCATGGAACAGAATCTAATATTACATTGATTTTATTGTTAGTCTAATGACGTATGAGACATGCATAGTACAGTCTTGATAACATTTAACAATAACATTGTAGGGTCAAGGTGAAAACATCAGAGGAAGTACCTGTCAATATTGAAAAGTCTGTTCTAGCTAGCTCGGATCAACTGGAGAGTCTGGCTGTATTACTGATACAAGAAATTGATGAGATGGCAGGAGGTCTCCTGAGGAAAGAAAAGCTTGTAGAGGTATTACATTAAAATAAATAGCAAACTTTATGTACATTAGATGCCACATTAATCATGTTGTAAAATTACATGACAATCAATCAGTGTCTACTCTAAGATATGAAAAACAGGGGATTTTTATCGAAAAGTGAGAATTTATTACATTTGTTGATATTTTTCCTTCTTTCTCTATGTAAAATTTTACCCCGACCTCTGAAAAAAAATGGGGAGGGAATTCTCAAAAATATGGATGAATCCCCCATCCCCCTTCCTAGAATAGACACTGCAATTGCATATGTCTTGCTTAAAGTAGATTCAAGATCAATTGGTGGGTTCCTCTTGCAAATGCCCATCTACATAATAAGTAAAGCTGCAAGGTTTTGTAGAATCTGTAAATAAAGTAATGCTGTCTTATTGTTTATAAACAGATTAGTTTTGAAATGCCTATTAACGATAGACAGCAAATAAAAACTACAAGTTTGCTTAGTATTGAGATTGTAATTTACAAAAATTAGATTGAAATTGAAGATGATTGATTTTTTTTTTCACTAGAGATTTTACCAATTTAATATTAAAGGTAATGTATTGTAGTTTTTCATGCATAAAGAGGGCCACTGTGCTTTTTAATGACAAAAGGTATTTCAAATGTGAACGCGGTGGAGAATTCACCATACTTTATTTAAAAGTTTTTTTGCACAATTTCATTGTAGTGCTTGTAACTGCAAAGGTCTTGAAAAGCACGGTGAGCCAAATACCACATTATGTGAAACTCCACTGTAAAATCAGTGGAGGGCATTTTACAAAATCTTAAATGAGCAAGCAATTTCAGGTGACAGTGATTCTAGATGAGGCTAATACAGATAGTAAAGTAACAATTGAAGTGGAGGGCATTGGCATAGAAAGGGTGAAAAATGAAGCTATGGATGACTCAGACATGGAGTATCTTGATGAAAATGTAGATGAAGAAGAAGAGGATGATAACTACATGGATCCGTCTGATCCAACATTTGAACCAGAAGCTTTTTCCAGTGTGAAAAGACCCAAGATTACAAGTAGCATTAAAACAGGAGATATGAATTCTTCTAAATTAAACACACCTCAGAGTCTAAAGAGAAAACCAAAGAAAAAAAGGCCTTTGACAGAGACTATGCCAATACCTTGTGAATATTGTGGTTTGGTTTTAACTGGAAAGAGTAGTCTGAAAGCACATGTTAATCGAGTGCATTTGAAGCTGAGAGGAAAGGTGTGCACAATTTGTGGGAAAGGCTTCTGTACAGCAACGGCAAGAGAGAGCCATATGCTTTCTGTGCATGCAAGAAGATGTGAAACATGCCAGGAATATGTTGTTGAGACGGTGCCCTGGAGTACGGGGATGGATATGAGGACAAAAAGAGATGTAATCTGCTCATGTGGTTCTATTGTGAGCATTCACAGCAACTTGGGACGAAAGCGACAATATCTTCGAGAGGATGAGCCCGATGAAGATGGTAATCTTCCAGAACCTGAAATCAAAAAAGTGTCTAACACAGCAGGGATGAAATATGCATGTGGTGCATGTGGAAAATTATTCAGGAAAAGAGCAAACTGTAGATTTCATTCTCGTATTCATACTAACTACAAAGGAATTAAATGTGAAATTTGTGGTAACTATTTTTCTCATCAATCATCCTTAAAATACCATATGCAGACTCATGGTATCTATAAACATAAGTGTGAAATCTGTGGAGAGAGCTTTAGTAAAAAAACTGATCTTTACGATCATAATAGCAAGTATCATCCTCAAGAGAACATTACTGTTGGTAAAAAAGTTGTAACAGTTGTTAAGAAGAAAGGAAACGATACAGCTGACCTGGAACGACAGATGAAAAAGAGAATTGAAAGAGAGCAGGAAGATGTAGAGGAAAGTGATGATCAGCAAAATGAACAAAGTACTCAATTATCTGAGGGAACAAGTCTTGGTGTGAGTGAAAGTGGTCGCGTGGTTGTCACTCAGGGAGAAGATGGCCAAGTGACATTGACAACCGAGTCTGGTCAACCAGTAGGAGATTCAGAAGCAGCTAGGATAATTCGGCAAGTAATTGCTGATGGACAAATTGTTGCCCAAGAGGGTAACATGTCGATAATTATTAAAACAATAAACAATTGAACAACTAGAATTGTCTGAATTTTTTAAAAAAATACCATGCTTTTAAACATGTACATTTATCACATACCCATGCTGCTTTTACAACTCCATAAAAGCGGTATTGCACAGTGGTGCATATTGTGTTCTATTATTTTCTGTAAAACTGGTTTTTATTTGAGATTGTTTAATTTCCTTTATTATAAATTTTCAATTTCATAAATTATAAAAATTCTGAAAAGTTTATTACATGAATGATTTAACACGTTTTTGTCTCTTGTGTAAAGTTAACTATCTGTACCTATTTTGTTTGTTTGATTGTTTTTTAAAACCGATTTTCATAAATTTTTTGTAATGTCTATGTTGTCGTACTTTTTAGTTAGCTTTTATACATAACTAACCAGTAATCACGAATTTCTGCGCAAGTTACTGACTACTACTGCAGCATGATTTCTCAATCAGTGGTGGGACATCATTAGTCTTAATATTCGAGATAAACTGTCATAGACAAATTGCGCCTCGCTCGAGGATCTACCCAGCAACCATTATATGAGCCCCCTCACAACAAAACCAATGTAATGCGTTTGCGACAAGCATGGATCCAGACCAGCCTGCGTGTCCGGGCAGTCTGATCAGGGCCCATGCTGTTCGCTATCAGTTTCTCTACTTGTAATAGGGTTTGTAAGCAAATAGCATGGATCCTGATCAGACTGTGCGGATGTGCAGGCTGGTCTGGATCTATGCTGGTCGCAAACGCATTATGTTGGTTTTGTCGTGATGCGGCTCAATTATTACAAATCTATTGAACAGTTTTAATTTTGCCTATATGTCTTTATGAAATCTGTCGAAAACACCTTAATCTTAGCATTATTTTTGGTTAAAATTGGGAAATATCAAGTAAAAGTCTCTACATTTAACAGGATGTGAAAAAGAATTGTTTGTGAGATTGTAAATTCTGCAAAATGTCATAATCTTCCAGTTAGCAATGGTTATTCATGTATTTTGATTGATGAAGTTTTGAAATTAGATTTACATATGACATAACTGATGCCATTAAGGTAAAGATATTGTATGTAGTTAATATGTATTTTTTAATTGTGTTTTTCAAGATTTTTGTACTTTTTTGGCAAACTGTTGTAAATGATGTTTAAAAGAATGATGAGTAAACTTATTTGACGTGTAATATAAAAAGAGAAAAAATTTTCTTTGTTGATACTTGTGTTTGTACTAAAATGAACAATGTGTCTTCTTTAATACATTACAGCCATGTTTTATGCTTATTATCCCCCGGCCGCCTTAGAAATAGTCTCTGTCCTTCCATCCGACATTTTTGTCTGGAGCATATCTCAAAAAGTGTTTAAGGTATCAACTTGAAACTTCATAGGTGGATAGATCATATTAAGGAAGAGTTCAGTGCACAAGAATGATAAATCCACCCTGCATAATTTTGAGTTATTGCCCTTTGTTATTTTTCAAACTTAATTTTTGTCCAGAGCATAACTCAAAAAGCCTTTGAGATATCAACATGAGACTTCATGGGTGAATAGATCTCACTCAGGAGGTGTGCATTGCACAAGAATGATAACTACCATTCATGATTTTTGAGTTATTGCCCTTTGTTAATTTTCATACTTAATTTTTCACCTGAGTGGAGCATAACTCAAAAAGTCTTTGAGATATCAACATTAAACTTCATAGGTGGATAGATCTTTTGCAGGAGAAATGCTGTGCACAAGAATGATAACTCTACCTATTATAATTTTTTAGTTATTGCCCTTTGTTATTTTTCATACTTTTTGTCCGGAGCTTATCACAACAAAAAGTGTTAGAGGTATCAACTTGAAACTAAATAGGTGGATAGATCATATTGAGGAGTGCAGCACACAAGAATGATAACTCTACCCTGCATAATTTTTGAGTTATTGCTCTTTGTTATTTTTCAAACTTAATTTTTGTCCTTATGCTCTAATTCGTTACACTCAAACGAGCATAAATCATTTACATTCTTTAATAATAAACAACACAACACAGAGTTTAAAGAGGCTAGAGGGAGTATTTGTAAGCCGTCTCCACTAACCGTTTATTTTCCCAACCAACAAAGACAAAATTCTGGATATAAATCAACGTATCAATTTTTGTTAAGACAAAAATCCAAAAAAGCTTCCATATGACTTATAGTAATAAATTTACTAAGCAAATTCATCTGTTAAAAAATGCCAAATACTTCGTGTAAAGGTAAAGAAATACAAACTTTCCAATATAACTGAATAATAGAGTTTTGTAAAAACAGAAGTTTTTGGAAATGTTCGAAAAGTCAGGTTGCTGCAAGCGGGATACCCAACCCTAACTTCAACGTGGGGGGGGGGGGAGGTATTGTTGAAGGATTAATCCAGGCTCAAGACCAGCGGCTCCTTCAAACCTACCTGACGTAAAACCCAAATTTAGAGGTCTAAAATTTTTTGTCATAATGGAAAAAGGAAACGAATTTTGAAAATTATAAATAGACGAAAACACAGATAATTTGCCACTGAAATAAACTCATTTCATGTACATAATTATATGCAAAGAGAATAATAATTCACAATGAATCAAAACGGAATTAAATGAATATGCCTCATCGATTTTGAAAGTCCATTTTTATTTTTTTTTGCATATAATGACACACGTTTACTTTGCTCTGAGCTGTACATTATCCTGAAAAAGAAAACAATTGTAAGAAACATTAGCATAACTTTCTGTATAATATGATCGAAAATATTTCAATATTTTCGGATATTTCACATCTAAACGGCTTGACAAATAAACCTTGAATGCCCGCTTTACTAATTACAAGAAACTCGTGCACTATTGCCGCCAAAAACATAACTTCCGATTACTTCCTTATAAGGAAATACTAAGTTACGGTGTATGATTCCAAAATAAATACATAGAGCATAACTAAAAAGGCCTTTGAGATGTCAACGTGAAACTTCATGGGTGGATATATCTCACTTAGGATGTGAATGATTACTCTACCCTTCTTAATTTTTTAGTTTTTGCCCTTAATGTTATTTTTCATACTTAATTTTTCACCTGAGTGGAGCATAACTCAAAAAGTCTTTGAGATGTCAATATGAAACTTTATAGGTGGATAAATCTTATTGAGGAGGAATGCTGTGCACAAGAATGATTACTACTCTTTATAATTTTTGAGTTGTTGCCCTTTGTTATTTTTCATACTTTATCTCAAAAAGTGTTAGAGGTATCAACTTGAAACTTCATAGGTGGATAGATCATATTGAGGAGGAGTGCAGCACACAAGAATGATAACTATACCCTGCATTATTTTTCAGTTATTGTCCTTTGTTATTTTCAGCCATCAGTATTCACATAGGTTTCAAATCTGTAATCACTTCAGCCATCAGTTTTCAATACCAAAAGACCTCTTTAGATTGAATTATTCTGCTCTACTACATATACATTCTTACAATGAGCAAACACATTCGGTGGGGGATGGCCATGCTAACATGGCTCTTTTTTTCTTTACTGTCAGTACATGTTCCTCTTCCTCAATGGATATTATAAAATATTAATATTCTACTGAGGTGCAGTATTTTTTTTAAATCAAACACAATAACTTCCTTTAAGCACTCAATAGTTATCAAGTTATAAAAAAGACATCCCAACAAGGCTAACATTACAGTCAGATTAGTGCTGTACCATAATATGCCTGAAATTACCTCTACTTTTGTTACATATTTTGTATGAGTTATGACAGACCATTTTGGCCCTCTTGTTTCTTTTCCTGTATTCATACAATTCCTAGTTCTGATCATTGTATATTTGTTTAAATACATGTAAAAATAAAATATAATTGATGTGTATTCTTTCATTTTTTTAATGACACAAGTCTGAATTTTTTCCTGAAATTTATTCACAGTTTATGTACCCTGTCTTGTGAGCCAATATAATTCAATGTGTACCCTGCCATATGCAAGTAAAAGTACATGCTACATTCCAATCTCTGTACCCTACTTTGAAGCCTATATATTTTAACTTGTACCTTACTTGCGATAACAGGAAGTAGAATTGTTTATATACTGTGTTATTTTAACAATATAATTCAGATTACAAATGTTAATGACAGGTTTTTAAAGGAAATTCATAAAACTTTACCCATTGCCTTAATGTGTGATAACTGCTTTGGAAAGAGAATTTTTCAAAAATCAAAATATTTGTATTAATACTGCGATTAATTTTTAGCTTGACTATTTGATAAGAATAATTAGAGCTATACTAGACACCCGAGCATCTGCATAACCAGTTATGTTAAAGTTTAAGTAATACCTCGTATATTTTTAAAGTCATTTGACATATTGCTCTGAAACTTTGCACACTTTTTCACCATCATGATCCCAACCTGTAGACAGGAGAAGGTAACTTTATCAAGCATTTTGACAGAATTATGCCCCTTTTTCAAGTTAGAATCTACGTTTAAGTTTTTGTAACACCTCAAATATTTTCAAAGTCCATTGACATAAGGCTTTAAAACTTTGCAAACTTGTTAACCATCATGACCCCAGTCTGTACACAGGTGGCGGTAACTAGCTGTATCAAGCATTTTGACAGAATTACGCCCCTTTTTCGACTTGGAATTTCCCATCTCAGATATTTTCATATTTCATCGACATCTTGCTTTGAAACAAGTTGAAATTTTATACACTTATTTGTGAGCATAGTTGGACTCTCTACAAGGCCTATAACATAGATCGGTGAATTATGAAATTTTTACATTATCAAGGCTCTTTTACAATCAAGCACTTGGAATAGTGAGCGTGCTGTCCTACTGACAGCTCTTGTTAAAATTTTTGGAAAGATGGATGTACAAACAACCGGACAGACAATATCAGATCTGTATCTCTACCTTTGATGGGGGGACAACAATGTCAGGTCATAGGTATAATGTTATATTTTTTAACTTATCTGCAATAATTTTCATAAAGTTAAGTCTAATCAAATGGTAATTAAACAAACTCATCAAAAGTTCTTTATTGGCAAGATGTAAATGAGCAAAATATTAATTGATGAAAAAATTAACATTTAATATTGTGCCGTTTTTTTCGACATCCACAATGGAATTGAATGCAGCACCTTTAACTATTTCAACATAAATTATATGGTTACATCTCATGTTGAATAATAATTCATTTTTGCAAAATTTTTGAGTTATTGCCCTTTGCAAATTTATCATACTTTATTTTAATTTGTCATACTTTTTGTTTCGGGCATAGTTGAATAAAAGTAAGGCAGGTATTTACTTGAAACTGTATAGGTCAATAGATCACAATCATATAGGCCATGTATTTGAACCATTATTGTACTAAGTACTTTTTAGATTCCAAGGTATATTACAACTAATTAAGTATTGGAGGTATAAATTTGAAAATTCATAGCTTAATCTCATTAATGAGAAGCACATTGTCCAAGAACCATAATTTTATTTAGTGAAATTGAAAACTAATGAGATTGATGAATGGTTCAGCAATGTCCATTTCCGGAGTTTTCAGTTTTATGCAAATTCTCTTTCTGACTAAGAAATTACTTCACTGGGATAATACACAAGTCCATGGTTTGAACCGGGTTTACACAAAAGGTCACATGTTTTGTTTGTGATACTGTCTTGAGAATTTGACCTAGCATTGGAATGAAAAGGCTGGTCTAAATTTTTCACTGCAAAAAAAAAAATCTGGAAAGTTCCTTTTTATTGGGATCACGAGTATAGTCATGTACCCTGAAAGATCTTTGGATGATCCCCTTAGGTTAGTTCAAATACAGAAAAAAAACATTTAATCAATCTTATTTATGATTTCATCCTTTTAATGTCTTGTTCTTACAAACCTATTATGGTATGTGTGTCTTCAAAACTTGGTCAGACATTTTAGCCAAGAGTCATTATTCTGTATAATATCAAGTTTATATCTGTTGTCACAATGAAATGATCAGGGACAGATTGAAAACATCTGATATGGAGGATTCAAACTCATTACTACATCTTCACTTAATTAAAGGGGTCAGTGGTTCTTCCAACATGCCTTGCCCCCAGTTTTTAGTTTAACATGGATGAACAGAGTGGCAGCTGGGGATCTTCCTCAACACAGCAAGAAAACCCAGCCAGGACCTTATCAGGCTGGCTTGACAAAACCAAAAGTAATAAATAATGCAATACCATAACACTTCTACATTCTTCAATAATCATAATTTTAAGTCAAACCAGTTCTCGGACATGCACCAAGGTCTTCCTCCACCATTAAAGCTGGAAAGTTGACATATGACCTATGTGTTGGTGTCACGTAAAATCCAACCGAAGCAAAACTAAAGAGCGACTATGTTATTGTCTACTATTGTCCAACAATATTAACCTGGCACTTCATTAACTTTCGTAAAGGTCATTGGATAAACACTGGTATCTAATTGATATAACGCTATATTTGGTAACTTCACATGTTAGAGAAGTATGGAGTATTTTATAGATGTCTGGCTACAGATCTGAAGGTATCCGATTCAATTCTTTACCAGCAACGGGATATGAAGATAAACTTGCAAGAATTTTAAATCATTTTACTACATCTGGTTTAAGGATGCCTTAGTGTTTTTTTTTCATACAATTTTTTTTTTATTTCAGTACATTTAATTTATCTTTAACAAAAAGTACAGTGCTTGTAAAATACAAATCACTGAATTGACTTCACTGGCAATGTCAGTTGTACTGCTCATACTGGCGGTTTTCAAAAACCGGCAAAAGTGACGGAACAAGGATACAAACAGTGCAAGTTTACTTCTATTTTTTTGAAGTGAAAGACCTTTTCCGACTAGCTGAGAGGGATTCTTTACATAGACCATTAACAATTGGTTACATCCATACCGATTTACACATAAATTTTACCAACAACAAATGCAAGAGTGCCAGGTCAATATTGTTAAACAATACCAGTTACTTGGCCAGTTTGGTGATATTCATTCAAAACAAAAATATTTTAGTTAGAAATAGGTTTTATTATGAGTATTTAAAGGTAAATGATTTGGTAGAATGAGCAAGTTTAACAAATGCCTGTTTGTAAATATCTTAACAACTGATTGTTTCTAGCACATTTCAATATACTAGCGTATGATTGTATATTAATAAAAAATATATATATAAAAGAACACATAAACACTCTTATTTTTCTTATTTAAAGTAACAAAATATAGGTATCAATGTATTTATGATAAATGAGCATTAATTTTTGTAATAACAATCCATATAAACAATTTGAGAAACAAAAATTTGCAAAAAATTTATAAATGTAAAACAAAATATCAAAATGGGTACAAAATATTCTCTTCAAAAATCTGTAACATCGCAACATTTGTAAACAAGATAAACTTGCAGGTTTAACAAATTTGTGTATAACTATGTACATATATTCTTTTCAACATTATGCAAAGTGTACTATGCAAGCATTTTTGGAGTATTTATAATATTTTTATCACTTACCCTCTATATATGTATATTATAAAAAGAGATCTGAGCAGCTATATAGTAAAATAACAAAGCACTATCTATGGTAAACTATTCTATAAAGATATATATATTTTTTTCTTTTTTATTGTCATTTATTTTTCTCTTTTTTTTCCACAGCACTTAATGGTTATAATTTTTCTTTTCAAGTAAAAAGCACTACTTTCAATGGATATCACTGTCTATTAAAAAATTACTTTCAATTCTATTTTTCTTTTATTCACCCGTCACTTTTTAATTACATTAAATGTTTTAATTTCATAATTTTGTATTTGGAAGCTAGTTAGTGTGAAGATTGCTGTAGAATTTGTGTAGATTAATTGGCCGTGTAGACGACGGTGTTTTCACCATCAGTCAAAACTGGTCGAGAACTGCTTCCTTGGCTGAAATAAAAACACAACATTCATTCATTATCCACACATAATATCTCGCGATTTAAATAGAAAATTCAGAGATTAATTCAGTTTGTCTAAGAATGCAGATGCCCGAGATAAGTTGGACAGTTTGCATATTCTGTTTCCTCTTGTTTGGTACTGTTTGGGATCTTTGTAAAGTAGCGGCATTTCGACAAACATCAAATCAAAGTGTATCACATGACTTCTTAATAATAAGTTAAACTATTCATGGTAGGTAATGTTAACATAGAGGACATTTAAGACCAGTCAAAATGGATTTGATTAAAATGATTTAGCAGTTCTATCGCAACTCTTTTGTATAAAGAAATTATCAGTTTTACAAATTAAAATTTACATATTTTTTGAAAGAATATAGATCTTTTTAATGCATACCTCATGGTGACGTGGTAAACATTGCCGGGTATTTCAGTTTGGCGTGGAGTCTGAAAATAAACCATTTTCATACATTATTATCAAATTTTATTACAATGAATACAGCTGTAACAGTATTGAATATTGAAATGGTCTCAATCAAAACGCATTTTTTTCTTAAGTTATCTAATTAATATGTGTAATTTTTAATATGTGTGTATATTATTATTGGATTTGTAAGTGGTAAAGTTATTACTATATAAAACTGAAATAATGTTACAATTAATATTGCATCATTAATAAACTAAATGTAATCTTGACAGCTAAAATTTCTAGTTTGCATTAACTACTAGAAGATAAGAATGTCCTGATTTTAAATATTAAATAGAAATTTTAAAAATTTGATTTGTTGTAAAATATCCTCAAGTGTAAGGATAATGTTGATACACGATTTAAGTCGCCAATTGATTAATCAAACTGAAGGTATATGTCAGGAAATATACTAAACTTATTCACATTCTGCAAGCTTTTCTTTCATACATTGGAGGCGTTAATTACCGGTTTATGGATAAAATCTTCCACAGTGCAATTAAATCTATCTTTTCTTAAAATATTTTTTTTTTTTAATTGCAGGTGTTTTTCAGAGTGTTTTATTCAGATTAATAAATACTTGATGTGTTAAATTGAATAATATGAATATTTAATGAAGATAAAGAGTTCAGTTATAACTAACACTACAATAAATAAAGTTTTGGAGATAATTTTTGTTCTTGTTGAAAAGCTTGCATTGCTAATACATTGTATTTGGTTAAGTAATACAATGTGTGAAAAAGAAATAAAGTTAGTAGTGGAAATAAATAATTTGTTAGAATTTTGTGTTAAAAAACTTAAATGAAATGATGGTCAGTAAAATGTTAAGCATTTACTTAAAGGTAATATTAGACTCCCAAAGTGGCATTGATGATGCTTTACAGCCAGGTATAATAAATAAAACCATATCACCTAGGTTGTATATATTTTCAGAAATTAGTACTAAATATATAGCGATTTTGGTATATCCAAGTTCTAACTTCTAGAAAGGTAAAAAATTCACTGCAACACTGCTTGAAAAGATATAGGGATATTAACCGATTCTACAGTCTGGTCCTTTGAAATACTTTTTTTAATTTTGTGAACCCCTTCTCTAGTCCGTTCAGTGACCAAAAAAAAAAAATGCACAAGAAGGTTTCTAGATGTTCAAAATTATTCCTACAATTAAAGCATTAATTGAGATCCTAGTTCTATCAGACTTTACAATACATGAAGGAAGAGGTGGATAATACTAGGAATACTATTGTACATGTATACATAATATTATCGTATTATGAATGGACCTTCATAATGTCTAGGAAAGTGAAACTAATTTTCACCAGAAGGAAGTTGTTGAAATAATGTCGGTAAAAAAAGGGGATAAAGTTTCTATATGAACAAATAATTAGGATCACTAAAAAAGTGTTGATTATAAAAACATCAACTGGAAATCATACCAACTTGAAACATACCAAAAATCTGTTAGTAGTGGACTTGACCAACCTTAACGCTAAAAGAAACATAAGCATGTAATAAAGCTAAAAGCCCTGTACATGTATGTGGTCCACAAATAATATGAACTTAACATGTACACATAAAGAAAGGTGGAAATTATTGCTTGCTTACCGTGGTAGAGTAAGACTCAACTCTAAAGAAACAAATAAAATCAAATGTTAAAAAACATATCAAACTTTTCTCTTGTTCCTTAATTTGTTTATTTTATTTATGTAAACTTAAAATACATCTAAAATTCATTACATTAAAATATCATTTTCAATATTAAAAGTTTACAAAAGTAGACATTTAGAATAAATTGATAACATATGATGGCACAGCTTGCTTTTAAATTCATTTTTGCTAATATGAAAGATTTCTTTATAAAATTATTAAAATTTACCCAACAACCTGTTGGAACTGAAAGTTATTAGCCTTTGCCACCACAACAGAGCTACGCCCAGCGTGCACGTCACATACATGCAGTCTGACCAGCTCTATACTGTTGGTAGCTTAAATTTTGTACATCAATATTTAAATACCTTCAGCACTGAATATTAGTTAAAAATTCAAAGCAGGGCAAAGCCTTTATACAAATTAAGCAGCTGGAGCTGCCAATCAACAGTACCGAACATGATCTGACAGTCGGGATGCGTCATATAGCCTTGTTGTATACTGTTTGACATAGTCTGACATTGTTTATTATCACAGTAAATGTATGAAAGTAAACTTACTGGTATTGAGAGTTATCATAGACTGGGTTTCTGGTGGTGATACGGGTCACTTCACCAGTACGACGTGCCGATTCATTCCGGTTAAAGTTCAGGTTAATCTCTCCCAAATCTTGAACAGTCTCATCAGGGGGCATGTACATATCCAATGTCTGTAAAGTTAAAATATTATTCTTTATATCATCATCTTTACCTACTTCACAATACTAGATCTTTAACTTGGAAAAATACAATAATAGAAGAAAAAAAATGCTTACGCACCTCCACAGAGATTTGTAGATAGTCCTAGCGAGAATATTTTGTGATGAAGATTTAACAAACCCTATCTTTTTCTATCTATTTATAGGTTAACACTATCCTTTTTTTCTATTTATAGATTAACCCAATCCTTTTTTTCTATTTATTGATTAACCCTATCCCTTTTATCTATTTATAATTTATGTTTAATAATTTTAAATGGCTATCCTTGTATAATATTTTTCAATATGCATTACATTCTGTTACAGATAATGCATTATGCTGTATGCAGTTCACGCTTACCTTACTACGAGAAAATAACCAATTTTGAAATTTTTAAAATTTATTCATTGATTTTAAGTAAAATTATAACTACAAGAAAGATTCCGGTCAAACTTGACAGATGTGAAAGCTGGCTTCACTAGACACTAATGGTATATGAGTTAATCAAACTGGGGTGTATAAAATATTTTATATCTACCATACCTGTGTCTCGTATTCTTTAAGGAAGCTTGGTGGATTGGTAAAGTCTGGCTGGTGTTCGTAGTTACGATGGTACACACGGTAATTGTTCAAATAATTGCTGTACCTGTAAACGAAAAATTATAAAACTCTCAACAGAGTAACAACTATGTTTAGCGAATAGTTTTAATAAAATGATTTTAAAATGGAATACATAGAAACATTTTCCATTGAAAAGTCCTGAGCTGCAATGTTGTTACAACATATAAATACCTAAATCACCTTACTTGATTAACAGAACCTAGCTATTGAAAATGTGTAAAATTTGTCAAACTGGGTTTCAATATCAAAATGATTTGATGAAGCAGTCATCTATATAAAGTCTTAAATATGGTCAGATAGGTTACATGGTGCTGGTTTGCCTGTATCTATAATGATGGCATAAACATTTTTATCACAAACTCGTAACTCGTGCCATTTATGCGACAATAAAAACCTTATTGCAGGGCTGTACATTTCTTTTGACAAGACGTTATTTGCGTTATACAACATAGGGTAAAGACATGCTAAAGACATGCTGATTGTTACGTTTACACAGTATGCACACGTCAATGAAAAATTGATGCTTTTTCACTGTTAACCATTCTTATTTTAGGTGTTTGATAAATAGACTTTAATATTTGTGTCATTTCGGTACTAAGTTTATTGAACTTGTTAAATAAAATAATATACGAGCCAGAGGCTCACATTAAATAATTTAATTCAACTTGTTCAATAAATCCAGTACTGAACCTACACTCATTCAATATCCTTTATCACTTTCAACATTTCACTTTCTTTGTACATGTAGATCATATCTCATTCAAAGGAAATTCTTACCTGTTCCACTGGTAAAGAAGGACAGTAAGGGCAATCAGTCCCAAAAGAATGATAATGGCAGCTAAGGCAACAAAACCGGCCCATGGATCATTGGTCCACCATACGTAAGATTTGGTTGGGCGAGCTCTGTTGTTGAGAGTCAATTCATCCGAGACTCCCAAGATGTTCTCATTTGCGAATGGTCCTCTGATCTTATCAACACTGGCAAAGCCACTGATTGTTACCCTTAGATCATTAATCAAAGTGACAGATGGTCCTGTAGACTGTGTGATGCTGTAATATTAAAATCAGATAGCAATCTAAACTCTTCAACATCGACAAGTAATAATTTTATGTTTATAGAGTCTATCCTAAAATAGATACATAAAGAAGATCTTAAATTCACATTTGTTATGATACAATGTTCTTTTAACTTTAAACTGACAAAAAAAGAAGAATCAAATTAACTTATTACATGATATATAATAAATGTTTATGAAAAAAGATTTTCGTATCAAATTTTAAAGAAACTTACATATCAATATTATTTGCATCATTCTCGTAGAGGGTGTACGCTCTGTTAAGATGGTTGACAACAACAAATGTTATGTCTGTGCGCTCCTTATCCACCTCAAGTATGCCACTGTTGAGGAATCTTTTGTAGGTTACACGTTCTATCAAAACGATTCTTCCAATCTCATCTTGTAGACCTCGACGAATATCCTCAATATCGTCACTAACATCTGCGTTGCGCGAGTTCAGTACCAGAATGAAGCGGTTAATATCCTCGATGACATCAATCTAATTAAAATTATAAATTAATATTTTTTATATCTATTAAAAAAATCATGCCAGATACATTTTTAACACAGGATTATGACATTTTTAACACAGGATAATGCAATATCAATCTACATTAACTAAATACAATATCATTATCATTCCCAACAGTATTACACGAGTACATGTTCAAACTTACAATAACTCTTGTCTCTGCACGAAGTCGATCGCCAGTTTGTGGAGTGTCGAGAGCAGTAGCGGTAAAGTCGTACTGTTTGGCATCACGAGGAATAAACTCTTGTTTCGGCGTTATTGTTCCTTCTGCGGAATCAACACCAAATGGAATGAATTCATTATTGTTTCCTGCAATTCTGTATTCAATCAAACCATTGCCTCCTAGATCAGGATCAGTTGCCTGTAATGTTTCATAAATTAGCATATAATTGTGTATCCTATCTTTGTTAGAATATTGTTTAATGTTGTATATCTCAGACTAATATGATTCTATTGGACATTTAACTAAGAAACCGTAGAAAAGTTCTTAACACAATTCTCTTATGTTATAATGTATACCCGAAGTTGGTTAAATTATTGTTAAATGGAAAATTTGATCAACAAAAACCTCTGTGATTCAGAGTTGAAAAAAAACAACAAGTAATAAAGATTAATGTCAAAGATATCTTTCATCTGTTCTAGCTAAAAATACTTGTAACCATGCTTGATCCAGTAGTGATATCAGCCATTGCCACCAGTATAATGCCTGGTCAGCCTGGAATTCATGCAATTTGACCAGGCTCTATACTGCCGGTAGGTCAATTTTTGTAGTTTTTGACACTGAAAAATGGACTGTTCAAACTGTTCCAAATAAAAAGTAAGGAGAGGTCAACTGAACAAATTCAGCTAGGTTAAGGTCTGATCTAAACTGATCATACTTACAACAAGTGTTACTGGGGTAACTACAGCCTGAGACAGTAGAGATATGGCACCAATATAAAAGTTACGATCTTGTAGAGTCTGGACGGAGGGATATACAGGGTACACAAAACTTGGATTATTGTCATTGTCATCCATCAATGTTATATATACATAGGTATACAGGTATGATGGGTAAACTGAAAATTAAAATAGAAATTTTATCAGTTTTTATGAGTAAAGGATACACAATGTACAAAATGATGCTTTGAATACCACATTTTTTTTCAGTTTTAATTTGCACCAACACAGTTTAAGTTTTATGGCAAATTTCCAGCTTTACTGGTGGGAGAGACCTCAGACATGACCAGGCACCCGAGTAGAACCACAAATGTTATGTAAGCTAGCTGGACTTAAAGCTTCCTCACCACAATTTTTAATTCAATATCCTGTATAAGATCAGTAACACGCTTGATAATTATTGTAGCATTGACTACAGTAGTAGTGATGCTGAACTGAAAAAAATCATAACATTAACACTTGATTCTTACATATATTGGTTACACTGGGTTTCCCAGTCAAACAACTACTATCTAAATAATGTTTGCCAAGAAAACACCCTTAAGTTACTTTTTTTGTACCAATTATTTGGTAAAAGACAGGCACTCTACTGTTAGTCGCATCTGTGGTCGTTCACGATGCACATTTATACCTTCATCTCTGAATATATTCAGTATCAACAATTTTAATCACTCTGCCTTGGAAGACCCAAATCTATTTTTTAACTAATTGGAAAACCATAATATCAAACTGCAATCAAGATGTACTAATAATGTTAGAGCATACATGTATTTATAATTACATAAGGTCAGAAAAAACAAAGATCTTTAAAACTATATTTCATTATACTTGATAATCTAACAGATGTAAAGAGTGGACATACCTGGGATAAGTTCGGTTTCTACTTGTCTCTTTTTACGGTTATTGTCCAAGCCAATGGTGATGTTCCAGAATTGTCTGTACTCTCTATCCAAGACGCCTTTAACTTCTAAGCGGCAATCACCTCCCTGTAAAGTTGTCACCGAGAACAAATCTGGAAAAGAAATGCATTTACGTTATGACTGTAGTTCTTCCAAGGGATGGATTTTAGTCACTTCTAATAAGTGTACAATTCAGTTGAATTATTCTAATTATTTCCTAAATAAAACTATCAAAGCTATCAAATCTCATTTTGAAAGTATAAGGTTGCTCCAATATGATAAACAAGATCATTGCTTAATATTTTAGCTGTTCTTAGAAATAAACTGTTTATAAATGATCTTACTGAAGTCAGAGTTGGTGTCAAATCCTCTGGATAGTCCGTTGATAAAGATAATTCTGCATGTGTATTCATTAACTTTGTTCCTCACAGCAAGGGTAGCAATTAAAGGCTGTGCTACATAATCGTAGTTCTCTATTAAACTGAGGTAAGTAACTGGTACAGAGAATCCAAGCCTTCTTTCTATTTCTGTGTATGTCATGTCAATAACAACGTTTGTACCGCTACTTCGTGGTACCCAACTGCGATCAACAGCAACGATGATAAACTGCAAAGACACAGAAAAATAAAGGCATTATTTTCTGTTTAGTTTAAACAATACTTTATTCTTAATCCATACATTTAAATATAAATTACATAAAATAAAATTTACGGATTTTAGTTTCTGTTTAAAATTGTATGAGTATTGATGAGAATACATCATGAAAGGGAAATAAGAAAATTATACTAATACAAGATAAAAAATTTCAGAATTTTCAAGTTTAAAGGTCTCTTCAGAATATTATAACCTTTCACTGATGTATTTAATTATTCCTGTTATGGGCACCAAAATATGTAAATCTACATTTAATAATGCCCATTCATAATCCTCCACCAATGGTATTTTTTTTTGAAAGATAAACATTCATAAAATGATTGAAAGATACCTTAAACTGGCTTCTACCATCAGCTTGTTGGAGATCTCCCTTTACATAGAGAACACCATCATTGTTTATACCAAAGAATTGATTCTCATAAGCATATTCTTTTTCATCTATATAGTAATACAACTCGGCATTCGGTGTATCCTTGCTAAGTGCAACTTGTCTGTCGCCATCGACGGCATTCACGGTGAACAAGTCACGACCAACAGCCCAGATGTCGGATATTGATGCACTGTAATCGTTTTTGTCAAATACTGGTGTGTACTGGTTACGAACTATACTAATATAAACTGTTGCAGTGGCTGTCTTTGGTATGGAAGCTCCATCTGCAGCTGCTATTATTAACTGTAACAGAACAAGAAAATACTTTTTGAAATACATTAATTTTACAATATATTTTGTCCGTTTTCTTCATGCATGTTCAGAATTTTTCAACTTTGTAAAATGTAAAAATATTAAAAAACATGTGAAAATTGTAGAATATTCCTACATGTATTTATTTTATTTCATCATTACCAGGTATTTTTTTTGTTATAACAACACTATTTCTGCATTAATATCCATGCTACAGAGGTTAACAAAAACGAAATGTTTTTCTATTTAAGTCTTACAGTAAATTCATTTGGTATTCCGGCTCTGGTAAGTGGGCGGCTCAGGTAGATGGTTCCTTCAGTTGGGCTGATTACAAACTGGTCCTCGCCATCGAGAGCTGTGTAACTATGTGAGTTAATGCTATATCTCAGTGTTCCACTTGGTGTCTATATTATAAAGCAGAATATTGTATTAGTTATATACATGTACATATAGTGTAAAATACACATGTAGGCTCCTAATATAATACTCATTGCATGAATATTTTTTTTCCTTTACTAATAGACATGATGGATATTAGAAGGAAAGATCACATTTAGAATTTTCATGCCTTGTGCAATCCTGGTCTAGTGAAAGTCCATTCAAATATAAAGCACCAAGATTTTCTTACAATAATCACATTATTACATCTTGTGTTGATCTAAAAAGTTTGACATAACATTTTGTTCCCCTAGTACATGTATTGAAAAACTTATTTAATGGTTATGTGTATACTTTTACCCAATGCACCGGCTTATAAATAAAGGAGACATAACATGTATATCCAAAGATTTCCAGAATAAGAATTATTCAAAATATAAGGACAGTTTGATAGTGATAATTTCAGTTTGGTAATTATATTTTCTTTTAACCAAAAAGTAAATAGAATGTTACATACATTAGCTGGATCGGAGTCAACGGCATTAGTTTTAACAACTGAGCCTTGAACCGGTAGATATTCCGAGATGGTAACATTGTAAGTGTTAACGGTGAACCTTGGTGCATTGGGATTTCTGAGAACGTTGATGATCACCCTGGCTGTGTCAGATCGAGCAACGGCATTAGGTCCAGGGTTATCTATGGCTTGAACTGTCATCTGAAATATCAAGTCAATGTGTATTTTTTTTTTTTAATCTAAAAATTATTAGACCAAGATATTTAAAATTTTATATTTAACTTTATTGTGTACAAATTAAGTATAGGTTTTCTATTATGAAGAAGCAACCTTAAAGCTGAGAGATTTATAATTTAATTGCTGCTTAGCGAACTTTCTTGGGAGTATCTTTAAAGCATTTGAGAAACCACGGTGGTGCTAAAGGGATGAAGTGCTTAAGTAATAATGTACCAAAAACTGTCTCTTAGTTTACTCAAATCTATTTAAGTGGATTGTGTTGGAAGTCATAAGCTTAATGAAACACTCTTGAATCCGTTCCTGGAACCAACCAGTATTTAGCAGTGAGTGTCAAGTTTCTTGCTCATATGGCCCTGATGGGGTTTTAGCATTCATGGCCAGCAATCCTAAGTCCAACGCATTAAACACTTGTCTTAAAAATTAAAAAAAAAAATTAAAAATAACCAGAAAAAGAACAAAATTAAAATCAAAAGTGGCAATTTACAAAAAAAAGTATGACAAAATTGATCAAAATAAAAAAGAACTCACCACAAATCTGGTGACCCCAGTCTCTGTAAGAATACCATTTACACTGACTACACCACTACCTTGGTTGATATCGAAGTACAAGTTTCCAGATGAGCTTGCCAGAATATTGTAGGTGATTGGATGCTGCATTGTGAGAAAAAAACATGAATGTTTGAAATGATGTTGCTTTCAATTTATATTCTAACTTTTTCTTTGATAATACATCATTTTACGTAAGTGTATAAAGTTTTTATTACTTGCTTTTCAGTGGACAGTGAAATTATATTTTATAATTTTAGAGATTTTCAAAGTAGCCATACTATATCTGAATGTGGATAAAAAGAATATATTAGCTTAAATAAGTGAAAATATTGTCAGAAATGTATGCAGTCATGAGTTAATGTGCTTCATTAGGAGGAGCAAATGAATATCTGCACATTTTATTTTAAAAATGTAATATTTACATGCTGTGTATTTTGTTCTTGTATATTTCTGCCTCTAAGCAGTTATAACATCAATATTTGTCTGCATAACACTTGTTGCTGACCACATTATAAACAGGTGATATAACAGAATTTCTTGCAATTATGGACTTGAAACTGACCATTTAACACGGGGTCACTTCAAAGTTTAAACATGACTGCTTACACAGCTAGGAGTATTTAGTATATTGTAATCGGTAAGAGGACTTCTAAATTTAAAATAAAGTAGGTGCTCTCACATTATCAGCATCATCGGCGACTACACGTAGAACGCTTGTTCCGACAGATGTGAACTCATTGATTGTTTCCTCATACTCGTCTAATCTGAAGACTGGACTATTTCTGTTTCTCCTGATGTTAACGGTTACTCGTACAGCTGTAGATCGGCTTGGCACACCTTGGTCAGCTGCCACTATGTAGAACTGCAATAATATAAATCTTAAGTTTTATATTGATTTACATTTCAATTTGTTACTAAACAATGGATAAAACATATCAAAGTTAATTCAATGGCAACACAAAAATTATTTAGGGAAATCATTACAGCAAACAATCTGTTTATAAAAAAAAAGGCTTCCATTAGTAAGTTAGGACCTCATATTATTGGCTCCATAGTTTTAAATTCATCTTAAGAAATATTAACACAAAACTTATGAAAGTAAGATTCTCCAGGTATTGATATGTGAAAAATAAGTAATATGTTCAATATAACAGTATCATGCTTTATTAATTACACTAACCGTATATCTCTCTGGTTGGTCAGTGTCGTCAGAAAGTGGTGATTTAACGGAGAGAACGCCAGTTGTTGGGTTGACATAGAAGTAGGTCATAGTCTGATCTGGCACAGCATCTGTTTCTCGGATAAAGTATTGTACTACACCATTTCTTCCCTAAAATTTATGAACAATTTTACATAACATTTATAACTTTTCACTAACACTAAAATCATGCATCTCTCAAAAATCATTATTACAAAATGAACATATCTTTGAAAGTAATTTGAATACAAAAAGTTGAGTCACTTCAGAAAATGATCATTTTTAAAATGAGAATTAAAGGCTTAAACATATTCAAATAAAATGATAACTTCTGACTAGTTAAATGGGTAAAAACAACATTTCTTTATTGTCTTTCTGAGGTGGTTGTAAGCACAGGCATGCTATGCCAGTGTGTTTATCTAGCATATATGTGTGTATCTCATTGAAGTTATTTTGTCAAACTTACAGAATCACTGTCCCTGGCTTCAACACCACCAAATGAGACTCCGAGAGCTTGATCCTCCGACAGGGTGTATGTAAGATCTCCATGTGTAAACACAGGAGCTGCTCCATTACGAGTGATGAAAACACGTACAATTGTAGAAGCTCTGTCATTTGGGAAATCACGTCTGTATGCTACAACGCGTACCTATAATATATAAAAATTCAAATACAGACTGTTCAACAATTCCAGAATAGCCATTGTAAACAGTCAACAAATGAGTTAATGAGTTACACTCAATTTAAAAAGTGTAACTTTCAGACATTTTCATGACACCAAATTTTTTTAGAAATTATCATTTCAAACTAATTTATGAGGTTAAATATTCTGATTGTTTTTCTTCTTTTCAACCTCTTCAATTATTTTTTTTTCCAAAAATACTTCAATTTACAAAATTAAAGTATTTTGACCCCTGCTGAAACTTTCAGATTTGTATTTTTATGAAATGTTATTGCAAAATCATTCATGGATTTATACCTTATCATCAACTTTTCCTCAAAAACTTAACAGTAATTTAATTAGCTGGGAAGATGTATGTTAGTGCTTATAAATAAAGGTCACTCACCAAGTACGAGACAACATCATTATTAAGTTGTGACACTGCTAGTGTGATAACACCTGTATTAGCATCAATCCTGAACTGTGAGCTAGCGTCATTGTCACCAGTAATATCATAAACCAGAACGCTCTGTGTGTAACAAACAATTCAAAATAATGTCAGTAAATAAACACTTTTAAACAAGTTTTCTATTACAATGGAATAAAATTATTAAAAATTTTAAAATTACGAAAAATAAATGATTAAATACTTGTTTAACTTGCTCATAAAATATATTGAATTTTTGTACTATGTTTTACATTTACAATAAAATTCGATTCCAGTAACATTGGTTTCTAGGTCAAATTTTAACTCTGTTAGTCCTAACCGATTTTTGTTGATAACTTACTGGTTATAACCATTTTCTCCACATTATCCACATTTCTAAATCAGTGGTGAGAGACAATTGACCAATGTATTCAATGTCCACGGTCAATAGTCCAAGACAAATCTTAACAAGAGCACCGCTAGGCGGAGCATTATATGCCCGAAAGTGTTGTTTTTTTTTTTTAGTAAAGATGAAGCATTTGTAAGACATGGGACTAAAATAAAGTATTACCTCCTTCAAATAACAATCCTCCTTTGAAGTTTCAATATTGTGGTCCAAATGGAACTTTAAGTTATGCCCCAGAAACTGTTTTCAATTCTAAGGTAAAAGTGACCTTGACCTTTGACCTTGTGACCCCAAAATCATTAGCGGTCTTTTACCCAATATGGACAATCATACTATGAAGTTTAATCACAGTAGGCCAAATGATACTTAAGTTATATTCCGAAAACTGTTTTCAGTTTTTAGGTAATAGTGACCTTGACCTTGTGACCCCAAAATCAATAGGGGTCTTCTACCCAATATGGACAATCATCCTATAAAGTTTGAATATTGTGGGCTAAATGGAACTAAAGTCATGCTCAAGAAACTGTTTTCAATTTCTAAGTAATAGTGACCTTGACCTTTGACCTTGTGACCCCAAAATCAATAGGGGTCTTCTACCCAATATGGACAATCATCCTATGAAGTTTGAACACTGTAGGCCAAATGGAACTTAAGTTATGCTCCGGAAACTGTTTTCAGTTTTAAGGTCATAGTGACCTTGACCTTTGACCTTATGACCCCAAAATCACTAGGGGTCTTCTACCCAATATGGACAATCATCCTATGAAGTTTGAACACTGTGGGCCAAATGGAACTTAAGTTATGCTCCGGAAACTGTTTTCAGTTTTAAGGTCATAGTGACCTTGACCTTTGACCTGTGACCCCAAAATCTATAGGGGTCTTCTACCAAATATGGACAATCATCCTATGAAGTTTGAACACTGTAGGACAAATGGAACTTAAGTTATGCTCCGGAAACTGTTTTTAGTTTTAATGTCATAGTGACCTTGACCTTTGACCCCAAAATCAATAGGGGTCTTCTACCCAATATGGACAATCATCCTATGAAGTTTGAACACTGTGGGCCAAATGGAACTTAAGTTATGCTCCGGAAACTGTTTTCAGTTTTAAGGTCATAGTGACCTTGACCTTTGACCTTGTGACCCCAAAATCAATAGGGGTCTTTTACCCAATATGGACAATCATCCTATGAAGTTTGAACACTGTAGGCCAAATGGAACTTAAGTTATGCTCCGGAAACTGTTTTCAGTTTTAAGGTCATAGTGACCTTGACCTTTGACCTTATGACCCCAAAATCAATAGGGGTCTTCTACCCAATATGGACAATCATCCTATGAAGTTTGAATATTGTAGGCCAAATGGAACTTAAGTTATGCTCCGGAAACCAAATTGCTAACATTTTCAGTTTTAAGGTCATAGTGACCTTGACCTTATGACCCCAAAATCAATAGGGGTCTTCTACCCAATATGGACAATCTTCCTATGAAGTTTGAATATTGTGGGCCAAATGGAACTTAAGTTATGCTCCGGAAACCAAATTGCTAACAGACGGACGGACACACGGACGGACGGACGCCAGGGGGTATAACATAATATGTCCGAAATTCTTTCGGGCATATAACAAAAAAAAAGAGTAAATTATTTAAATCTTGTATATTCTAGGATTTGAACTTACACCAGCCCTAGGATCAATTGCATCTACGTCGAACACCTGAGCACCAACAATACGATCTTCTGGAATGGTGACTTCATACTCATTGTCACTAAAGGATGGTAACCCTTCACGCAGGATACGAATCACTACCTGGGCCTCTGCTGATCGAGGTACAAGACCATGATCAGTTGCTGTTACAGTAAACTACAAATAAATTTCAACATATTTCTTAAAAAATTCTCATACAAATTAATGTAAATAGTTTCTTTAAAGGCACATTATGCCTTAGAAATAAATAAACTTTTACGGGGAAACATTAATTTTATAATGTTTAAATAATGGTTTTAGAGAATGTTAGAAGCTTGTTACCTGAAGAAAGTACATGTAGCAATAAATGTGATAAAAAAAATGAAATGTCATAAAAGTAGCAAAATGTTAACAAAGTAGTATTTTGACTTCAATACAAAATTTACTATAAATGTACTTATTGCCAAAAAGCAACAGATGAAAAAGATGATTCAGGTAATTGGCCAATGAGTAAATTTTTGGTTACTATAAAAGTAAACCAAAATTAATAAACTTTTTAAAAATAAAATAAAAGCATTTATATATGAGGCATAATGGGCCTTTAACCTTTAAAAGTTAAAGGATGTAATCTATCACAGAATTATTGAGTATCAATGGTGGTAGATTTTGGATTCCAGCGTACTTGCCAACTAAAAATATTAGCTACCAGTGGTAGATATTCAATACAATTAACATTGGCTACTAACTTAAAGGCTGCTTCGGGTAATGCAGGAAATGTAGAAAAGAGTCTAGACTATAGATGCTTATATCATTGCATTAATAGTATAGTTGAGCTTATAAATTACCTGAAACAAATTTTCTGATATTTCAAGCAGGGAGACTCTAGCAAAGATGACACCAGTGTTTGCGTTAATGCCAAATACATTTGCCATCCCTTGGTTGTTGTTGTTGTTGTTGATGTTTAAAACCATGCTGTATCTGACGATTCCATTCACACCTTCATCGGAATCTCTGGCCGTTACATTGACAACTGACTCAAGGACCGGCTTGTCTTCACTAATTGTGACATCATAACGTCCATTGTTTGTAAATACTGGTGTTTGACTGTTTCTGATTACATTAACTGTAACAAGTACTGTTGACGACTTAGCTGGGTAGGCCAAATCCTCTGCTGTTACACGTAACTGCAAATTTAGATAAACAATAAAAATGAATTTCAAACCCCAAGTTATTATATCTTCAGCAAAAAAAGCAAACCAAAGTAAAACATATGGATAAATATATTGTAAATTGACCACATGTACTTCACAATTTTCAAAAAACAAATCTTAAAACAAAAGTCTACCTCTTATTAGTTAGAAATATTCAAAATTATTTATTACAAAATGTTGACGCTTTACTTTTAATTACATGCTTTACTAATATAATTACACGTATAATGTAACCACTAACCCTGTAAACATTGACATTTTCTGTGGTAAGCAGTCTATTTGTTGTAATCAGTCCAGATATTGGATGAATACTGAACATGTTGCTGAACAAATTGTTGTTGGATATATCAGTCAGATCGTAGTTGACAAGATTTTCTGGGGTTGTAGTATCAGCATCTTCTGCATTCACTGTAATAACGCTAGTTCCGATGGGGTTAAAGTCATAAATCGTGGTTTCGTAGCTCAACTCATCGAATACTGGTGCAAACAAGTTTCTATCGATAGTGATGAAAACTGTTTCCCTGACTTCAGCTACAGGTGCTCCAGTATCGTAGGCAGTCACCAAAAGCTGAAAGAAAATATAGACAATATCGTTACCTTAGTGCAGTAACGGGTTAACTCCTTATATAACTTAATAGGTGTTTACATGTACCTGTTACCGCACAAGGGTGATGGTATACAACCAAAAAAGCAATACCAACCCACAAACAAAAAATCCCCCCCCCCATAAGGCTGGCACAAAAAAAAACAAGAACTTTCTATTCCAACTTGATAAGCAAATTAGTAATTAAATATGAAATGCTGAGGTTCTCATAAATGTTAAAAATGTTATATTTAACAAACTTACTGTAAAAGTCTGGTAACGGTCAAGGTTATTAAGTCTCAAGCTTGTAGTCAAGAAGATTTCTCCTGTAACGGTGTTCAAATTGAAATAATTGGTGCCAGGTGTATATCCATCAAGTCTGTACCTAATATCACCCTGGAAAAAAAAATCAATAAAATCAAATTAATCATCAAAAGACTTATTAAGGGCATTTTATAATTGAATATGACAATCTGAAATACAAGTTAGTTAAAACATATTATCGAAATCTAAAAGAAAATGCTTACACTGACAGCAAGATGTTCTTAAACAGAAATCAGGACATTTTGTGAACAGTATTAAAAGTTATCTTCTAAGGATACATTTGTTATGAAATAAATTAGCTAATAACTGTCAAACTTAGCTAACCTTGAGATCACTGTCAACAGCTCTCACTGTGTATACAGTGCTATTGATAGCTTGGTTAATGCGAACGTTAGTGACATATGGAGTATTGACAAATCGTGGAGGGGCACTATCACGGAGTACAGTTATCTCAACAGTGGCCTGGTCACTTCTCTGAACACCTGTTGGCCTGTCATCAACAACACGGACAGAGAATGAGAAGCTGTTTCTTGTGGTCTCAGTCAATGGTTTCCTTAATGTAATTTCTCCTGTTCTTGGTGTAATATAGAAGAACTCCAAGTCAGTATTGTCACCTTGATGTGAGAAATACAAGGCATCCTGAAAAATTAAAAAAAAAATGTTTTCAATAAATGTCAATTGCAAATGGCAATTACAATCCATGCAAAATTGGCAATTAATTGCATACAATATGTAAATTATTACTTGAATATTGGATCTTATCAATTTTCTTAAATCTTAGAACACTTTTCTCTTGAGTTTGATTGGTTTGAATAATTTGGCTCATCTGGAGGCTTGCAGCTTTAAATATTCACAAAAAAATATGTGCCAGCAATATTTAAACTCGCAAATGTATTAAAAGATCATCAAGTATGATGACCAACAAACCAAAACTAATATTAAGTTATTGAGCACTTACTCCATCAGCATCTGCAGCTGTTACAGTCACAACAACTGTACCAACAGCAAAGGTGTCAGCAATGGTCCTTCTATAGATAGATGGGTTGAAAGCTGGACTATTCTGGTTTCTCAATACTTGAATGGAGAGGTCACCTCTTGCTACTTGACCTCTATTTGCACTATCATAAGCTGTGAATCTGGCCTGTAAATAGAAATCAATTAATTGGATGAGAAAATTTAATTAATTTATCAGATTAACAAATTTAAAACAATTAAAATTTAATAGAATCTGAATGTAAAGTGTCTGCATCTTAAAAATTCAACATTTATCTTTCCAACTGTGTAATACACTTGCTTTGTTGTCTTTAAAATTGTTTACTTTGTTCACTTCTTCCTAATTGGACAGCCAGAATTATACAGTGTAGTCAATTTGCAAACATGTGCAGGATGGCTTATCTATATAATGATAACATATGAGATTATACATTTTATTTCAGCTTGATTGTTAAACAAGTTCCTTGAACTTAAATGAAGTATTCCTATACAAGTACTATTTCCTGGATACAGTACTGACATCATAAGGGGGCATCGTTATGATCCAATTAGGGTTTTGAATTTACTACCAATTTAATAGTAACCATGATCACAAGGCCAGCATGATCACAAGGCCACCATGATCACAAGGCCACCGTTTCTTTTATCTATTATGGCTGCCAGCAATCATAAGGCTAAAAGCAAAATAAAATGGCACAATAAGTTTTCTTACAGTGTAGATAGTGTTCTGTGTGGTGTCTGATAACAGGCTGTTTCTCAGGGTAACTACACCAGTAGATGAATCTACAGTGAAGAAACTTTGAACTGGGAATTGTCCTTCTAATCCATAAACAATTTGGCCTTCTAGATCATCATCAACAGCTGTTACTGTGAACACAGATCTGGATAGAAAAATTGATGTGTATAAAAACAAGTCATTTCATCAAATATATCATTATGCTCGAGCTATGATGGATCTTTCCAGACAAAAATACAACCGTGTTAGTAATAAGACTACACTGAAAGTAATATCAACATGTTAACTTTCAAGTATTATTGACAGAAGATGAAGTGCTTGTCTGTATATTTTGTTTCAGACAGGAAACACGCTGCAGAAGTTAACTGAGCAACCCTTAGTAAGCTAGCTTGATAGCTTCTACACATGAAAGAATTCTGTGTTGAAACTGATAGACGACCAAAGATGATGGAACAAATCTTAACTATATGATTAAAAGTTTACCTCTCAGTTGGTGTATCTTCATCCAGATTTATAGAAGATGGAAGATTTGTGAAACGTGGTGGATTCAGGTCACGTAGTACAGTCACGTACACAGTGGCAGTATTCGATTGCGGGTTTTGATCACGATTGTCAGATGCACGTACTGTTAGCTATAAACAAAAATACATAGAAGGATTAAATCTTTCTACAGAATTTATAACTGCACTGAAATATACAATGCACTAATGGATACTGGCAACATCTGTCTATTTATAGCAGAGTTTATAGTTTTTAAGAACAAAACAATATCATACACATATAAATGTAACTTTAATAACAGTCATCTGTTATAAAAAAAACACTAATGGTCTGCTTTTCCATAGTCAATAATTTTATAACACAAGTGTTACTAACAAAAACTGGTATAAAGGAGTTTAACTGTATAGGAATAGAAGCTGTTTATACGTCAGGTTATTTTTTTTACTTACAATGTATTCCTGTCTGTCGGAGTTATCAGACACTAAATCAGTATTGACATAGACAAAACAAGAGTCGGCATCCACTTGGAAATATGTTCGGAAATTGTTTCCAATAACACTTCCAGATTCCGTCTGTAAACTACATGTGACTGCATCCTGAAGAAATTTAGCGAAGAGCATATGTAAAATAGAATATAAGCTTGTGATATATGTCTTCAAAATTCAATTGAATTGAATAAAAAAAACTTATGCAAATATAAAGTATATAGTGATTCAATTGCATTAAAATAGGGGAAAATACAATGATCTACTCCAAAGACAGGAGCATGGTATTTATATTTTTCAAGGTCATAAAAGCAAAAGGCTAAAAATTCCATTTTCAATTTTACATTTTTTAGAATGTAGTACATAACGTATTTTCAAAAGTCTGACTCATTATTTCTAATCATTTGATTAATTTTTTTAAACAGTTTCTTTATCATTAGAAAAACTCTTTAAATTTTTGGCTTGATTAAACAAAATGCAAATATCTTACGCCATCAGGATCCGAGACAGTTAGCTTCTGTATGTATGACTGAACTGGTGTGGTTTCATCAATGGTCAATCTGTATATTTGAGGATTAAATATTGGTCCATTCAAGTTCCTTAGAACTGTAATGAAGACTTCAGCCGTTGCCTGCAGACGTGGAGCTCCTGTGTCATAGGCCACTACTCGCAACTGTAAAAGTTATAAATCCCTTCGCTTTACTTCAATATCATGACATATGACAAATTAAGCAACATAATATTATATGGTTCAAGCCTGAAGTCATACAAGCATAATGGTGGGTCATATAGGAACTTTTAAGGTTTATCAATGTAGTAAGACCTAAGATGGCCAACTATGCATTTTTTCATACACATGCTGGAAAGTAGACAGATCAGCTAACATTTAGTAGTATATACCTACACATTCCTTATTGCTATCAATGTGCTGAGAATACTATATACAGTAAGTAGAAATAATAATACAATAAACTTAAAATTCTTCAATATATAAAAATACTTACTGTGTAAGTACCAAGTCTGATTCCATCATTACGAAGATTCTGTCTTACACGAATATCACCATCATCAATGTCAACCTTGAAGAAGCTCGGGGCAGGATAATCACCTATATCATTGTATTCAATTCGGTTCTGAAAAACAAAAATAAGTAGTATGATAGCTAGGGACCAGGAGGGATGTAACACATTTTCATTATGCCTCATGTACAGACTCAATCAAACTGAGTCTGCAATTTTCAAGTAATTTTGTTGTGATTAATGCTTTCGGGGGATCACCCTTCTTCCAGATTTTTAATCTTCAACACTGAAAGAAATTTAATTTACAAGTTGAAAGATCTGTGATAGAAATCACCTACAGAATAACTTGGATGGTAAACAAACTCGTTAAGATCTCACATTTACTTCTTTCACATCATACAAAAAAATGATCTCTAGAATTATACCATTTAATTTGGCTCAGGTCACCTGGTGACTTTTCCAAGTTTTTAAGAAGCTATATACTTACAATAAGTCCCTGTCTGGTAGCTGTAACCTTGATGATACTGTTTTCTACATCTTCATCTTCATTAATGGTTACCTGGTAACGGGCATTGTTTGTAAACACTGGTGTGGCAAGGTCACGTGTTACAAAGATAACAACATTTGCTGTTCCAATATTGTTGCTAGGGTAACCATTATCATTGGCAGTAACTCGACACTGAAAAAGATAGCATATACATGTATAATTAGTGTCAGGATTCTTATCAGATTAAAAATATAATTTTCATATCTTACTTAAATAGAAAGTTAAGGACAAGTTTCTTTGCAAATTTATTATGTTTATTATACTTTTAATAATTTGAATGATTTTTAAGAAGCGGAATTAAAGCAAACTTATTATCATTTTCTAAACATGTAAAAAGAGATGCTTCACTAGTAATCTTATGCTCGCTAGCCACATGGGTTCAAACCCTGTCAGGGGCCAAGTCGTTTCCTTGAGCAAGAAACTTTACACTGATTGCTCAGTACTGGTTGGTTCCACGATTGGATTTAAAACACTTATAGCTTCCTACACTATCAAACTAAAATAAATTCTGTATAAACCAAAGACGCTGCACTGGTGTATTATTACAATAGTAAAAAAGCTTACATTATAGGATGTAACACCAGTATTGAGGAGTGACCTCTGTAAACGAATCTCTCCATTGTTGAGTATATAGAACATCTGTTCACATAAATTGTTCAAATCACCAGTCAATGAATAAGTGAGATAATCCTGAAATAAATTTTTAAACACCGTTTTTAAGTAAAATTATATATTTATAATTAAAGCAAAAATATTTGATGGTTGGTTAGATAACTTCGACACTAAATCACAATTACATGTATTTCAAATATCTTGATTATCTGGGTGTATAATTAAAATTTTAACTCACCCTAAACAAAGTTTGGTTGAAAGTTTTTATGATACACTACAAAAAATTTTCATAGAATTTGAAACTGGTACTTTTTTAAGGTCCTGAATGAGGTATCCAAAACATGGTATTTTTACTTAAGTGTTTTAAATTTTATGCATATATTAATGAACAAAAACTAACAAGTTTAATAGAATGATAAAAATTTACAAAGGCTAATATTTCAATAGGACATACATTATCAGCATCACTGGCTGTCACTCTTATTATATTAGATCCAGTTTCAGTGTCTTCTGGTATTGTCTGCGTGTATGAAGGAGGTTGGAATACAGGAGCATTCACATTACGTCTGACAGAAATTGTGACGTCTGCTGTTGCTTGTTGATTGGGTGTCAAACTGTCGTATGCTACAACTCTCAACTGAAATATTAATATCAAACCATGATAGAAAACTGGGAAAGGAGTAATCTATCAGAAGCAATGACAACAAAATATGAAGATTGCAGACTGCGTTTGAAGAGCAATTGGTCTGAAGTCAGCGAGGTTTACAAACCAGTCACATCTTGAATAATTACTACTGATTACAATTCTACATTGTATTTACATTTTTAGTATTTCATTTACAAAATAATACATGGCAGTACATTACAAATAGTATTGAATATGTTACACTTATATTAGCAAATTGTGAAAAAAAATGTATTTCTTATACATTTTGGATTTGGATATGAAAACAGGCATCACATACTTATGTTAATTCATCTCCCTAAGTGTTGGAAGAAGAATGGCTGAAATTCGATAAGTTATGTAATGTTTAAGGATATATAAATGTAATTATAATTATAATTAGGTTTACTTTTTACTTTTTTGTTATCTACTATACTTGAAAATACACACAAACTTTAGTATACTTACGACATATTCCATATCTCTATCCGATCTCAATGTTCCTCGACTAAACACTTGACCATTGCTACCAACAAAGAAGAAACTTGGAGCCGTATTCAAACCAATTACACTGTACATCATCACACCCTGTAATGATAAAAAATATATTTTAGAAACCAAGGACTATTTATACTATACCAACATCCAGTAAAATTATCTGAAATTTCTCCAGGACTTGTTGCAAATATTCCATATTCATATGATCAAGTCATGAAAGAGTTGTGGTACAAAATGTCTGTTATTTAACACACACACAATTTTTGTAAGTCAACTGAATAAAAATGTTTTGGAATTAGATATAATTCTGATACTTTAAGTAGAATTTTATCCATTAATGATTACATGCATGGGCCATTCGCTTTTAAAGCAATAAACTACCATATTTCTTCTATACAAGCATTTTGGAAGCTTTTTTTTATTTAAAAAAATAGTATAATTTTATATACTAGCTTTATATACTTTAAACCCTTAAAGTGCTGGAACCAAAAGCGTTAAGCCTTTGCCACCAGTATAGAGCCAGGCCAGCCTGTACATCTGTGCAATCTGATCAGGCTCTATACGGTTGGCTGACAAACTTTAATTATTCAAATTGATATTCCTAAAATTGATATTGGACTGTCCCAAAAATGGAAGTGGGACAAGTCCAATTGAAATATTTAGCATGGTAAGGGTTAAAGTTTTGAATAATACCTGTCCATCAGCATCTGTAGCTGTGACCCTATAGATCTGTGAGGCGTTATTTCTTCCCTCTTCTATCGTTGTGGAATATGGAAGATTAATAAACACTGGCAGTACTGCCCTTGTAATGAGAATGGTCACAGACACAGTGGTGCTTCGTCTTGGATTACCACTGTCAATGGCTCTCATTGTAAACTATACAAACACAAAAATACACAATGACATCATTGAAACATCAATAGTTTAAAAAGTTTTAACGCGTCTTATTTCAAAATACATTTATATATTATCCAAGATACTAACACCGAATTGTTTTGACTGCATATCATTTTTACAACTAGAGCTAATAATCGCTTTCACTTAATGTCATATCAAAAATTGATACTAAAATCTATGACCATATGGCTTTACTTGGCTAACAGGTATACAAGAAGTCTTCACACATACATAGATTTTTATAACAAACAAAATATAAGTAATTACCGAATACTGGTTCAATGGTGCATTGGTAAGTGCTTGTCTAAGGTAGATTTCTCCAGTTACTTGGTTGACAAAGAAGAAGTCCAAAGAGTTGCTTCCAGCTATGTTTGATGCAATTGTATCCTCCACAATATCATATGTTACTGAATCCTTTAATGATAAAATAAAAATATTCTTCAAACTCCCATCTTGTTGCATTCAGTATTTCCATTTGTACATTGTACTTTTATGTCAAAATAGAAAGTTTTTAAAGCAGCAAGCCTGCCTCCAGATTCAAGCTAATTTTCATGAAAATCTTTGAACTGTTTTAAAAATCAAAATATTTTCTAGTGAACAAAAAGTAATTTACACAATGCAAATGACACTTGATATCTATGAAAATTACCAAAAATAGGTCACATAATGCAAAAATAGCCCTTACTGCATTAATCACACAGCAGAGATATGGTGATAAATACTGCAAAATCAGTCATTCATTGCATAACATGTAAATTATTTTTTTGAATTGTGAACATTTTTCTTTCTTTAATCTTGGTATTTTTTTTCAAGGAGGTTGAATTTCTTGAAACAGTTTGACTCATTTGGAGGCATACAGCTTTAGACCTATCATACTCGATATATTTAGGACAGAAAACATTACAAATGTCTCAAATATTCTTTTTGTATCATTAACGCATGTCAGTTAAAGATAAATTGCATAAGTGATAATAAGTGTTCATGTTTTTATTCTCTAAAATATAGTGATTTACATGAAGGTTCATGTAATCTAAATCTTGCTGATGAGCAATCAGTTGAAGTTTGATTTTATTACTTAACGATAAAGGTTTTAATGCATTTCATAAATATTTCATATCTTTTATTACACTCACACATTTTTTCAAATTATTTCTAGTTTGTTTTTTTCAAGAGCTTAGAAAAGACAACAATTACTAACCCCATCTGTATCAGTTGCTAATACTGTAAGTACTGGAACACCCAACGAGTATTCTTCGCTGACCGTCCTACGGTAAGATGCTTCCGACCATCGAGGTACACTCGGGTTTCTTATAACTGAGATCAAGACATCAGCAGTGTCACGGAGGCCAGGATCAGCTGAATCGTAAGTTATTACACGTAGGGTGTAACGATCGCGAGCTACACCATCCTCCTTGAGGGAACGTCGCACATAAACGTTTCCACTTACACGGTCTACATCAAAGAATGTTTGAGCAGGATATATGCCAATTGTCTCAAAGTTCAATGGGCCCTGTAAAATAAATAAAAATAAATAAATTTCTTCATTATTTTTTTTTTCAATAATTTTGATCACTCCTCTTATCAAATTCAGCATAAATCAAACACTAGTTGTTCTGATCATTTTATTTATCAATGTCAATAAGAACTAATTGAATTAACGTTTTAATGGCCACCTTTATAATGGCCAGATTCCAGTCAAAATAGATGTAATCAGCTAATGGTGAATGTCGGGTTTTCAAAGTTAAATTCCCCAACACAAACTTTTTTACTACTATTGCTTCATTGTGCTGTACTGTTTACAATAGTCAACCTATTGCCAATAATTTGGAAATTGTAATAGTAAAAGCGTGTATGTACCCCAAATTTGCATTGAAAAACCCAAATTATTCTAAATCTTGCGGTATGTCTTTTTCTAAACACTTCTCAATATATATACAAGAACTCATTACACTGGCTAATACATAACACCATTAAAGTAACCCAGCAGAGAAAAGCCCAATATGTTACTTAAAGTATACAAATTTAATCAGAAGGAAAAACATATTAACTCTCTATATTAATTGTAATTACCTGTGGGTCTTGGTCAACAGCTCGCACAGTGTAGAAGGTCTGGTTGAGGGGCTGATTATCATTTATTTCTACTTGATATGGTTCCCTTATGAATTGGGGCGGATTCTGATCTCTTATGATGTTAACTACTACAACAGAATCATCGACACGCTCTGGGTTTCTCTGATCAGAAGCTCGAACCGAGATCTAAAAATACAATTATATATATAATGTATGTACAATGTACAAGTAAATTCAAATTTAAACAAAGCAATTTCTATACAAAATTACATACACTGTACAAGATAATCACTGAAGAAATGCAGAAAATGTATCAATGAAATTGGTCTACTGAACTGTCCATTATTTGTATGAGTGACTTTTTAAAAAAATAAATTTATTGCCATGTATGGATTTAATAATTAGTACTATTTCATGTATTAAGATTTTATGTTGGAGGCTGCCTAAAACTTGGATGCTCGAAGTCGCAAAGGTTTATCACTTAAGTTACAGCAGAATAAAGGGGAAGAAATACAATTTCCGTATTTTAAAATTTCATTTCAAATTCAACCCGTATTCATTCCAATGAAATAATCTCTTTATTTTTCAATGCCTTATTTATTTCTTGACTATGTCAAATAATTTTAAAGATGTACAATGTATTTGTAAAATAAATAAAAAATAAATGTAAATAATACATAAAAATATACTAATCATGCATTATATATTTTTCAATTAAATTGCAACTAACTACCTGAAGTCAAAATACATAAACATTTTTAAAAAAGGCTTATATATATAACTAAAAAATTAATGTGCATATGAGGAACAAAAGCAAAAGTTAGGTGTAATAAAACAACTGCCATAAAATATGCCTATCATTTATTATTGACAAATACAGAAAATGTATCATAAGTATGCAAATGAGGCTATTCCCAATTTTATGAAAAATAGATTTTGGATTTTTAGTTAAAACATATTAATCAAAATCTAGTGAAGACTAGATTCACCATTTTTATAGACGAGGCCAATACTGATAATGTCATATGATGACTTTCAATTGTCATGGAGGAGAAAACCTTCCCATTAATTTAACATAAAAAATATTTACATGCTTAATAAGCTTTAAACCAATTCCAGTATGGGGTAAATTATTCCACTTGAACGTCCTTGTATTAGAAAGAGCATCGAAACACGAGGCTACCCGATTTGTACAAGGGGGCATAGCGCCTAAGTGTAAATCTTACTGCCAACTGTTTTTAATGTTCTTTCTCTTTTGTATCATTGGCAAAAATAATAAACGCACTTTCCATGTTGTCACAAAAAGATACTGCAGAAAACCAATGCACGAGCATCTGAATATTATTTTTCTATCGTTATTCCTTTCCCTGTCATCACAATACGTAAACCCCAGATAATATACACCAATCCATGAGCATGCTTATTTTATCCCGGACAAAAAGTGCAGTCAAAGTAAGAGTGTGGTAACTAATACCTGCACTTCTGTTAATGTACTGTGTACATATGGCTATGATTTAACTTGTACACATTTGACACGTTTTCAATAGAAAGGTCTCCAAACTATGAAACAATAATCATTTAATCATCTCTAACCGGACATGCCATATATTTGTGTGAACAATATAAAACATAAGTCTTAAAGCATGCAGTCTAGGTAGCATAGAAAGCTTGTGTAAAATATATTTACTACAATATCATTGCTTTTCACTCTGGACAATCAATTACAATCATTAATCCTTACTTTACTGAATTTGTATAATGGACAAAAATAGCCAATATACAAGATGCAACATGCTTTATTACATCTAGCATAATCAACCTACTTAACTGCTGAATTACAATGTTTGATTTTTTGTTCAATTGTGAAAAGTTCACTGAGTTTAGATTGAAAATAAACCCCAATCCTACAGGTATTTCCAAAACTTTTTGTCCAGTTAATCATTAAAATATTGTAATAAATATATGTCAAGCTTAACATTTTAATGGCTTCAACTAAACTACTAATTTAAATTTCAAGCAATAATTCTAAATAAGAATATATATATCATCGCCACATCTACCTGCAATCGGTCCTGAAATAGCATAATACAAGATATAAATAACCACAGAATGTTCTTAAAATAATAATCGAGTTATAAACATAACATTACATTGTTAAAGGTGTATTCACCGTCATATTCTGGTGGCACAAATCTTTGAAGAAAACAAAATGGCAAATTATAACAAAAGAAAATATTCCTTTTCAATATCATGATCACAATATTACAGGGTTTTCATTTTTATCTGAGGCAACAGATGCGCCAACAAAAACAACCAATTTGGCCAATTAAGGGTCAAGGGGGACATTTTAATCTACAGACTGAAAATACAACCCATTTTAACAGCATTTTAACCAATTTTTACAGCATTTTAACCAATTTTAACAGCATTCAACAAATTTTAGCAGCATTTCAACAAATTTTAACAGCATTTCAACCAATATTAACAGCATTTCTACTGATGATATGGATCGCCAATCTATTATTAATGAAAACCCTGTATTAGACATTTGCACACTGAATCCAATTAACAAGGAGATGACAAGTATATCATATTCCTTAAACTGTATACAATTTTGTACCATTACAAGTACCAAAGTAATCAGTTTGAAATCAAGAAAAATTTTATGCCACAATTCCATAAAAAAAATAATGCATCAAATTTCACTCCGCTCCATCAATGAAAACTTGACACACTAATGTTTTTCCTTTACTTAAAAATGACTTGACCTTGACTATTCTGAATCATATCATTCTATGTATTTCAGTTATTTCATTTTCTTATCCATCAATGTATTCAATGACCATTTTATCATATAATCAATTCCACCATTTTCTTATCAATCTCCTGGTTTTCTTATTTATCAATGACTTGTGTTCAAAATGATCACTGAAATACAACTATTGTAGCTCCATCAATGACCAACATCGGTCAAGTTAATACCAGAGTATACCACTCAAAATTTTTAATTCCAGAACTGTCCTGTTTCAAAACGTTACACCTCATCTTAGTGTTATGATAGATCCTTATTATAAAATACATGAAATGAAAACCTTAAAGAATGACCAAAACCACAAAACTTAAAATGATACAGGCTTGCTTTGCATCTGTTTATGGATGGCACCCATAACACCTGCTGAATGAAAGAAAATGACATAGAAATATGTATAAAGTACAATCATTCATAGAGCAGCTAGTTCCATTATTAAAATACTTACGCCAATTTGTATTTCACTAAAGTCTGTTAGAGATTTAACAAGCCAGATATTTCCATTGTCTGGATGTAGGTAGAAATGATCACGAGCAATGTTATTTGTGATCACATCTAATAAACTGTAACGAATGACATCCTGAAAGAAAAATATGTTGAAACTAAACTTTTTGAAATTTTAGCATAGTTTGTAATTTTACAATTTTTCATCTTTAATGTCCAATTTTTAAGAGAAAATTAACTAGAAAGACATTTTGAATGATTTTTATTTAAATAATGCATATATAAAATTACAGAAATAATAATGTCAGATAGGTTCTTATATAATTATATTTCCAATATATATACAGTATATAAACCCATATAGTATTATTGAAGAAAATGACTTAAGATAAATGATTTTTATTCCAACCTTAATGAAAAAATACAAAACTACCCCAAAATATATCTGATAAATCATTTCATTTTCCAAGTAAAGACGTGACCTAGTGGTTAAGGTGTCTGCCTATCAATCCGGGGATCACAGGTTCAAGCCCTACTCTGGTCTGGAACTTGTTTTGCAATTGAGCTAAAATAGATAAGTTTAAACTAACAAGTATACCCGTCTTATCTATACCAGTCACTGATATTTGGGACTGAAAATTGGCACAGGCATACCCGTTCTGAATGTAATTACAGGGTTAAAATGAAATTTTCACTTACTCCATCAGCATCATTGGCTGTGATTCTATATACACTGGTTCCTACTGTAGTTGATTCTGGTAAATTAACAGAGTAGGGTTCTTCCAAGAAGATCGGCTCGTTTTCATTTCTTGATACGCTGATGACAACAGTTGCCGTGGCAACTTCACGTGGAACAAGACTGTCATATGCACCAACACGTAGCTGAAGAATTAAATTACAACCAGTTTTGAGGCTATTTTTTACAAAAATTATTTCTCTTATTTTAGATTATTGTAGTCTATTGCAAGCTAAATAACTTATATACATAATACTTTCTTATCAATCATTTAGTCATATTCATAATCCTGTGTAGCCTATAGTTTGTTTAAAAACTTAGTGATTTATAAGGGGAAGACCTCTAGTTGCAACTCTGCGCATTTTTTTCAGACAGGAACACTGGAGGACGTTAACTCCTTAGTAACAAGCACTTACCAAAGAAAAAAAAAAGAAAAAAAGAAAAATACAGATAATTTATACAACATTTTGATAGGAATTAAATACTAAATACTTTAAAACAAATGAATATTTAAGAATTTGTAAAATCTTACAGTGTATGTGAGTGTTCGATCAAGGCTCAGATCTGAAATGACTGTAACTACACCGTTGTCAGGGTTCACTGTGAAATATCCAGGTGTAAATGAATCACCTAAAACAGTATAAACAATGTCTCCAATCAGATCATTGTCTCTAGCCGTCACCTGGTAGATACGCTCGTTCTGGGCTTGACGCTCCGATATGCCAACACGATATGGATCATTAATGAAGAATGGTGGTTGATTACGTTGAACATTGACAACCACGGAGACGTTTGTGTATTTTGTATTTATTCCACGATTATCATTAGCCTGAACAATCATCTGTTAAAAGAAAAAAAAAGAAATTAAGGTTAGAAGAAAACATACGAGGGGTGTTCAAAAAGTTCGTGGACAAACCGTATAACTTTTAACTCGTTTATTGAAATTACATAAAACATACATTGTTGGATAGACCATTATCATCCCAACAGATACATATCAATATGAACTACAAAACTATAAAACTACATCAACAAGGATAACAGAACTAACATACATATAACATTACCGGCGCACAATACGGTGTAATTATCACGTCAACAAATAACGTCGTTGACGTCGTCGACAAATATAGACCGATACATGTTCATTCTTTCACAATTTTTCAAAGTACCGTCCATTACACTCTATACATCGTTGATGCCGATGAATCCACATTTTAAAAACACTATCAAACCACTCTTTTGTTATCTGTCGTATTATTGATACAGTCTGTTTATTTTATTCTTTCAAATTCTCAAATCGATGGTCCTTAAGCATGTTCTTTATGTGAGAGAATATAGTATAGTCGAAAGGTGAATATGGAGCATGAGTTAATTGTTGAAAACCTAGAACATATGAGGTGGAGCATTATCCTGATGAAACCTGAAACTTTCAAGCGGAACACCCGGTCGCTTTTTTTTGAAGTGCGTACACTAAGTCACGGCGTAGCACCTGTTGAAATAAAGAAGCGTACACAATTTCTCACTACAGGTATCAATGTGAAAAGAATTTTTCTCTCTTAAAATAATACAACACGTGTTTATAAATAAAATATTATTATTTGTGATGATTTGAAAATAATATATACATATTTATCTATCTATTTTCCTACAACTACCGTTAATTTTCTGACATTATTATAAAAACATAACACTCATCATGTGATTGATATTTAACGTGCATGTTACATTAAATGAAGGCACTAAATAAAAAATAAAAATATACCTTTGAATAATATTAATCTGCATTTATGTGCGTATGTCATGTATGTGTCGGAACAGCATGGCAGAGGATCATTCCTTTCCTGTCAGCAAACATCACATACATTTGCTTGCCTGCAGACAGTATCGCACGGGCTTTCATGGGTGGAGGAGAGCCTGAACGACGCCATACTGCGGACTGCGTTTTCGTTTCTGGGTCGTGTAGAAAAAGCCAGGTCTCGTCAGTGGTGATGATGGAGTCTAGAAAGCTGTCACCCAAACGCTGATAATCATGCAGAAACTTTCTTGACTCTATTACTCTTCTTTCCATCTCGTGATCTTTCAATAAGCGTGGTACCCATCTTGCGTGAACCTGAAAATAAACATAATAACATAAATTAATAGCCAGTGTTTTAGTAATTGTTCTATGAAGGCAAATGTTCAATATGCATGTTTAACACGGATAACAAAGATTCAATGTATGCGATGTGTGCATTATGCATAAATTTTTCCGTGTGTTTAACATTTAATAAGTATTCATTTTTCATCGGGAATTTTTTTATCAATTGGAAAATAATTTAAATTATATCAACATTAAATAAAGAAAGGAACAAAAAAGACAAAAATAACAACAACAACAACAACAACAACAACTTACCTTTCTCATATTCATTTGCTTAGTGAGTATGTTGTGTACACTTCCTGTACTAAGTCCAGTTATGTCACACAACTCCCGCACCGTTAGGCGTCGATCTTTTTTGAGTGCGTCAACCAATATTCGGTGCTATGACACGCCAATCGACGTCCGTCTTCCAGACCTAGTATCATCTTCTGTGCTTTCTCTCATATCAAGAAAAGCGTTTGTGCCACTTAAAAACTAATGAACGTGACACAGAATTACTTCCTCTAGCTGTTAGAATCATTTTGTGGGTTTGTGTTGGAGTTTAACCAAGATCTGAGCAAAACTTTATCACGGCGCGTACTTCAGACCTTTCATTTGACGTCATTTTGATGAGATTTCTGGTTTCTCATGTTATGAACAACATTTGGTTCCAACCGTTTAGAGCGTTTAAATTACATCACATTTTGAAATGACGTCATATAATTGTAAATTGACGTTTTCCCGCATTTTCACTTGAAAGTAACCGCTTTATTTAATTCAGTATTGGTTTAAAGTTAAACGTTGTATGAAAATTTCGGCTTGCGCCGATGTTGCGTTGCTATGGTTATTAAAATGCACATAGATTGTGGAAGAAATAAAATTTTAAAATAAATTTATAACTAACTTATAGAAAGAAAAACACACTTTCAATACATATCAACCAAGTTGATTTTATAGAACCACATAAAAATTGACAGCAATAGTCCACGAACTTTTTGAACATACCTCGTACATTCAATTTCTAAACACTTTATACAACAGCTTATTCAAAGTGATGAATTAACAAAAATGTTCTTCTTGAATTACAAGTCTACATCCTTGCTAGGGGTTGGACATTATCGTGGCGATAGAATTGTGTAAAGATGAATGTAGTGTTACCATTTACTCAAAACTGAAGCAATATACGACTCATTGCTACAATCTGTTTATAACAAGAAAATAACATCAAAATTATGCATTCCTTAATCTTTCTTTTCAAGAAACTTTAACAAAAAATGTGCAAAAGCACAGAAATGACATACAGGAAACTTTTTTGTTTCCCTTCTTTTTTTTTTTCCTCTAAGACTAAATATAAAAGATTTTTTTGGTGAATGTCACCTAATAAGGCTTCTGTGAAAAAGACAAAAGTTGGAATATTTGAATGTGAGCTTTCTTTACAAAAATTTATAAGATAATATATTAAATTTTTACCCGAAAACTCACATTTATTTTAATGAAGTACTTTTAATTTTTGAGTGATAACCAACCAAACTTACCGTATATCTGTTGATATTTGGATTACGGAATAATTCCCTCCTCAAGATAACATCACCTGTATCAAAGTTGACCAGGAAGTATTCACTAGCATCTGTACTTGTTGAAATCATTTTGAAGGTCAAATAGTCCTAAAATAGAAACAATAAAGGTTTGCTGGTAATAAATAACCATTGTATCAAGAAATTTTTCATCTTTACACAAAAAAACAACACTTCTGTCAAATTGCTCAATTCAAGTAAATTTTTCCACTTTACAAATCTTGAAATCTTGTCACTTTCCTTCCACTGTCAGCAAGTTATCATTAACCTTCATACACATGCTTGATTGTAGCCTCCATAAATATTTCAGTTAAATAGGTAGTCTGCTAAGAGCTACCTTATTGCACACCTTTTACACTAATCACCTCACAAGCCAACATTTGGCTACTCGGACACTAGCCCTTTCTATCAGCTGAAATCTGTGTCAAGCAAGGATCTATAATTAATAACAGTGCTTGGTATAACACTGCTCAGGACTGAACTGGCAACTAACCAGTCATTGAACTGGCAATCTGCAATTAACCAGGCATTGAACTGGTAGTCTGCAAGTAACCAGGCATTGAACTGGCAATCTGCAATTAACCAGGCATTGAACTGGTAGTCTGCAACTAACCAGGCATTGATCTGGCAATCTGCAATTAACCAGGCATTGAACTGGTAGTCTGCAAGTAACCAGGCATTGAACTGGCAAACTGCAATTAACCAGTCAGTGAACTGGCAATCTGCAACTAACCAGGCAAACACAAATATGACGTCACAGTAGCAATTTCACCTTGGGTAATGTTTACTCTTTCACATCACTAATATTTTTTTGCCCAAACTCATTCAGAACTACCTGGCATTTTTCAAAATCATACCGGTATGTAAAATCAAAATTAAAATAAAATTGAAGTAAAATCTCCTGGGTCTACTTACATTATCGGGATCCGATGCTGTAACATCTACTGCAACATTTCCAAGAGGGAAGTTTTCATTAATTGTCACTTCATAACTTGGCAGACTGAATCGTGGGGCACTTGGGTTACGAATCACATTGATTCTTACATTTGAAAAGCCTTTGTTGAATGGGTAGAAGGTATCATAAGCCTCTAGTCGCATCTGAAATCAAGAGCAATTTCCATAATGTATTTAGCATACACACTACAAATTGTACACTACAAAACATTGAGCTGAACAGCAATGTTTTTTAATAATCTTTCAATAAATGAGAGAATAAGTCTATTTACATATGTAGGCATGTACAAGATTTTCCCAATTGTGATATTGACCTCAATGATTTTTATTAATAGAATTTTAGCACTACCGAATAGGGATGGGGGGGGGCATCTTACTGTAAACAGAAAAAAAGAATAGAGTTCATTCTGTAAACAAAAAGAAAATAAAAACAGAAATGGCCCATTCCATTTTGGGCAGATGTCCGCCTGTCCATACTTTCGAACTAAACATCAAAAGTTTGTATTACATTCCAAAGTCTTGGTGCCAAGTGAATGAAACTCATATAGTATAAACCAGTTAGCACCAAACTTTTGATTTTAACCCTGAAGTTTGAGTGACCTTGACCTCTGAGCTTGTCCTTATGAAGTCATCTTCATATGCTGAACAGTGGTTTCAAATTTCTTAACAACAGTTGACATGAATTAATGAACTTCTCTATTTCCAGACTTTCCTATCATTTATATTCTACTGGGCACACCATAAAAAGGCACAAAAACTATATTTTCTAGTACAAAAAGATAAATTATTTACTTACATTGTAGAAAGTTACACTTTCTGAAAGCAGACTTTGCCTGACAAATATTTGACCATTCTGATCAATTCTGAAGAAAGACAATGCCGATCCATCACCTACAGCCTGATAAAATATCTGGTTCTGAAAGTATAAAAGTATGATAATATGACTAACTGAAACATCCCTATCCTTCTGTTGAGGCATTTCTTTTCATTTTACACAAAAGTCAGATTTACAGACAGGTTGCATTCAATTGTAAAGGGAAAAAATGCAATTTTTTTTTCTTTTGAACATCAACCATTTTGCCAATCTTTTTTTTACCATTTTATAATCAGTAGTTCTATGGAAGGGCCAAAGAATCACTGTTGTAAATTTGCTTTGCTCCAATTTTTTTTAGTTAAAATATTAAAATCTATATGCAATTTCAATAGTAAAAGTCAGAACTGGTAAATACATTTTGTATATTGATATAATTTTGAGATGTAATAATATGTTGAATAATAATTGTATAGCTAAAAAAAAAAAAAAAAAAAAATACAACGCAAAGTACTGCAAAAAAAATTTAAAACAGTTTTTATAAGTTTTTTTTTAGCAAAAAAATAAAACAACTAAAATTGGTACTTTATGAATGTAGTAAATACCGTACCTTAATATCCTGATCAGTTGCTCGAACAGATATGATAGGAACTGAACTATTGACTGGTGAAGTCTCTGGAATAGTCACGGTGTAGTCAGTCAGATCAAAGCGAGGATCAAACTGATCTCTCTCAATCTGTATCTGTACAGTTGATGTTCCGAATTTCTCTGGGTAGGCATGGTCACGTACTCTTGCTGTGAACGAATATGTATCTCTGATAGCCAAGTTCAAATTTTTCTGTACGTACACACATCCAGCTGTTGTCATGAAGAAGTACTCGGTGGCAACATCATTATTGTTCAATGGATTATTTACGCCAGTAATTTCATAGGAAAGTAAATCTCCATCTGCGTCATTGGCCGTCAAGCACAAAACTAGAGTACCCAGATTTACATTCTCACTTATTTCACGTACGTAGAAGTTATCTTCAAAGATGGGACTGCTTGGATTACGTATTACATCTATATATACATCTTCACGAGCCCTCTCAGTAGGGAATGCAGTATCATAAGCTTCAATTGTCATCTATAAAAAGTTTGAAACACAACATGAGAAAACAACTAATGTAAATAAGTAATAAACAATCAAAATTTTAAGTAATAAACAATCAAAATTTTTTCATACATTTTTTACAAGCTGTAACTGCTGGAGGATACATCTCTTGTATCGCAATTTTAATTTTACTACCAAGTTTGTAAGGAATTCAAAAATGAAGAAAAAATCCAAAGGTTTGAATTTTTATCACAATGCAATACTTAAGGTCATGTTGCAAATATACTCGGGTGCAAGTTATCAGTCAGCATGTACCAGTAACTCAGAATTTAGAGTCATCAACCCATCTTTATGTTAGCTAGATATTTTCCTTAAATGAAGAAAGCCAGGTTAAAGGCCAATTTTAAGTAATATTAGTAATTAAACCAGTATTTGAAGTAAATGACAAACCACTTTGAATGTGTATTTTTGTTTGTTTGGTATTATGTTGCATCGCCACAGTATAAGTCATGGCGACTTTCCAGGTTTACTGGTGCCCTTTCATGCATTATTTCTGGCTCGAACTGGCACCAAAGTAGAATCTCACACACAAACACACAAAATAAAGAATAAAATAAACACAAACCACGTAAATGAGAGATGAGTACTGTTCATTAACAATGCTTCTGTACATTACAATATCTCCACTTATTTCATTCAATCGGAAGTAGTCTGTGGCAGGGAAATATCCTACAGTTTGGTAACGTATCTGACCCTAAAAATAAATTCAATTTTTCAATTAGGTACTACTTTCTGACGCTTATTTTTAAGTTCAAGACAATAACAATAGTTCATGATGAAACATTTTCCAATACTTTACTTATTTGATTTTAAGCTTAATTTAAAACTTTAAATTAAATCATTTCCAAAAATCAACCTTTAGTTTCTAAATTTTCAATGAATATTAAATCTGAATCCTTGAAAATAAAGCCAAATATTCTTAATACATTTTAATTCATGAATATTATCTATTTACCCTAACTCTGCTGAAAACCAACTAATATTAGCCTTTGCCACCAGTATAGAGCTGGGCCCGACTAAACAAGTGTTGTCTGACCTGGCTCTATACTGTTAGCAGTGTCACTTAATTTCTAATAGACCATTCTTAATTTAAAGCAAGTCAAATCTACTATACCGATTCAAAAGAATAAGGGTAAACTTACAACAAGGTCATTATCTCGTGCAGACACAGATATGATAGTGTCATTCAAACGTTGGGATACTGCAGTAATTGTCCTTCTGTATGGTGTATTAACAAAGAATGGTAACTGATTGATCTGTCTGGTAATGCCAATTCTAGCTGTAGCAAAGGCACTTCGTGTTCGACTTCTTGCTTGAATTGTTAGCTTAAAATATAAAACTAAACTAAGCATCAACAAGTTCACAGCTTAAACTTATTATTATTATGACTTGAAAGGCTGTTTTCTAAATTCATTTGCTCTTACAAAAATCTTAATTTTCTGTGATGAAGAAAATTTGGTGGTAACAAGATGTTAGCTAATGCTGCTGCTAATTAAGCTTAAGATTACATTAATCCATCAAATTACTTTCCTGAATATAACCATTTAATTAAAAACATTCCTTTTTACTCTCAATCAGAAATATGTTAAGACTCGGCTTACTGCTCGAGAACCTTACGGAAAAACTAAATAGATCATGAGTGAAATGCGAGACAATTATAAGTCAGCTAAAACAAATGGTTATTTGCATTTGTTTTGATTTTTTGTTGTTTTTTTTTTCAGTCATCTCGACCTGTAAAGGTCATTTAGACAATTTCAAGTTTTACCGATGGAAGAAGACCTCAGGTGCCCCTTTGTGCATTTTTTTAGGCACAAACCAGCACATAAGAAGAACCACAAGCCTTCCATAAACTAGTTTGATAGCTTCCTTACATGAATGAATCCAAAGTCCGACAGAATTTAAACCTAGAACATTTATAAGTAAATGTAAAAAGTTACCAGGTATTGAGTAATGAAGGGGTCTCTGACAAGATCTCGCCTCACAGAAATTTCTCCAGATTCACGATCAAGGTAGAAGTAGTTAACACCAGAATCTGTTCCATTTACAAGTGTATAAGTCACAACATCCTGTATAGAAGAAAAACATTTGTCACAATACTGGAAATTGCATAAAATGTTCAGAAAAAATACAATAACCTACCATTCGGACACAAATATCAGGGTGTATTCATGTCTGGTTGGTAAGTCTGCTAATCTTGGCTTACCCTAACCTAAGTATCAGTTTTCACCAGAGTTTCAGTTGTATGTTGGCAGGCATTTACCCAGTAAAAGTGTGTGTGTGTGTATAGACCCAGTTCAAATACATGTACTAAGCTTGTTTGTCCTAAAGCATCTTCCAAACTTGTCTGTATGAATTATTTAATTAAGAAGTGGAAGACAAATGGCGTTGCTAAAATTTTTGCCAAACAAAATTGTGACAGAAGTAAAAGTACAGACAATCTATTCAATTCATCAAAATGGAGATAATTTGTAGTTGGACAAAAAGTCATAACTATTTCTGCAGTAAATCGTAAGCAAATTCCCAATATAGTATGAGAATTCAAATGCATTTCTTAACAGACATGATTAGCAGGTGTACAGAAAGGCAAAAATGTATGAAAAATTACCCTATTCACATGGAAAATCAAACCTAACAAATAACTATTGACGTACAATAAATAATAAAGCAAACAATATGGTAAAACTCACCCCATCCTGATCAACAGCATCTACATCAAGTATGCTGCTACCTATTGGAGTTGTTTCTGGAATAGTGACTTGGTAGGTGGCAGATGGTGTGAACACAGGGCCTACCTCATCACGAATGACTGTAATTAGCACCGTTGACGTGTCACGAGCACTTGGATATGCTGTATCGTAAACAATTATCTCAAGCTGTAGAAAGATAGATAAATTCTGCATAAATCTCCATTCTGATAATATATTTACATTTGTCAACATCAAAACTGTGTAAAATTATTCAACAGAATTTTTTTTAAAGTAGATTTTTCATCTTTTCCCTGCTACATTTTTTTATCATAAACTCGCATTAACTTATTTGAAACCAAGTCCAATCTCACAGCCAAAGCTTTCTTGTCACGGCACCATAAAATTTGAGGATGTGATTGTGAGTAAACTAGGCGTTATGTAGAGTTTGTTTCCTTTGTCAACACTAAATGTTTACATACATACATGTAGGAATTGAGGTTACATTAAACACAAAGATTTCATGCAAAAGCGATGTTACATGATGTTGCACCAACTCTACAAAAAAGAAAATATCTTTAAAAGACTTCAGATGGTTTAACACAAGCCAATTTTCAAGTTGTATATTATGAAGTAAATCAACTTACACTATATGACTGCCTGTTAAGACCATCCTCTCGAAGACTCCTTATAAGACGTATTTCACCATCATCTGAGTCAATCGTGAAGAACGACTGTGCTGGATAAATGCCAGTAGCCTCGTATCTTAGTTGTCCCTGTATAATAAAAATGCATATTTACAATAAAGAGACAAGTCAAGAAATCAATTCCATATTTTTATTAACTATATATTCATGCAATTTACTAAATTTTACTGTTGAAAATTATTCAGGACTAGGTTAAAGCTGCTTTTTAAATGTTAAATTAAAAATACCCCCGAGGAATTTTTGCGAGATGACTTTTTATAATTAGTTTTTTTTGTAAAGATCACATGGCTGGGTTTTTTCCAACTAGTGGACCACTACATCATGCACCCATGAAAAATTTACTGGCGGGAAATAAATATTTCACCTGCAAGTCAGTATCCCTAGCAGACACACGGGTGTAGATCACATTGTTGTTGTTAGTATTGAAGATATTCTCGCTAATCTGGGTCTGGTATGGTTCGTTAATGAAGAATGGCGGATTATTATCTCGTATTACATTCACTGTCACTTGAGCAACATCGGTTCTTTCCACAACACGCTGGTCACTGGCCCTCAACGAGATCTAGTATACAGATAAACAATAAATTAACATTTACAATTCAATTTTTTTAGTTACATATTTGTTACAATTGTATAGACAGTACAAATATAAGTCAAAACATGGTTTAACTTGAGCTTTAATCATTTAGAAGAAATAATATGCAAATACATGTTTAATAAATAATAGTCTATTAATTCTTTTCTTAGAACAAGCATAGTCTGTTTAAGGAACACATTAACAGTTGACTTCTGACACTAGTGAGCATTAGTGAAGGCCCTGTATTGTGCATAATTGATATGACAGCTTACACTAGGACAAATGATAGATTATCAATAAAAATAGCTCAATATTATCATACTATGTACTCATGATCTAAAATTGAATATTGCACATAAATATGACAAAGAATGTTAGAGAGAATTTTTTTTACTTACCGTGAATCTGGAAATGGTTGTATCAAGAAGTGATTTTCGCAGATATATGTCTCCGAGATCTGGAGTAACGTAGAAATATTCTTCTGCCAATGCATCTCCAAGCATAGAATAGCGTACAACATCCTAGAATACAGAGGAAAATTCACATAGTTTGATAGAGAAGATATTAATACAGGAACTTGTTAAGGAGCTGAAATCAAATTTTACTCATATTGCTTCTTTCAATCAAGATTTTGTTTTTGTTTGGGTATTATGTTTTACCAAAACAGTATAGGTCATATAGCAATTTTCCAGCCTTAGGTGCCAAACTTTGTATTATTTTAGGCACAAATGGGCACCTTTTAGAACCATCAATGTTCCATAAGCTAACTGAATAACTTCCTTGCATGAAAGAATCTAAGGTCTCTTGCTGGATTTGAACCAACAGCAGTGAGGGGCAAGTGGTTTGAAATAAACAACCTTAACCACTCTACCACGGACACATACATGACCTAAGGTGAGGGTTTTAAAATATACCAAAACTTGTTTGTTCACATAGTTAGCTTCCATCTTTTGCTACAATACAATTCGTTAAGACTTATTATTTTACTTCACACGACACAGTATAGGTCATATGGCAACGTTCCAGCTTTACTGGTGGAGGAAGACCTCAGGTGCCCTTCTGTGCATCATTTCAGGCACAAACGGGCACCTGAGTAGAACCACCAAGGTTGGATAGCTTCCTCACATGAAAGAATCCAAAGTCCCTGTCGGGATTCGAACCCACAGTCGTGAGGGGCAAGTGGTTTGAAGTCAACGACCTTAACCACTTGGCCACAAAGGCCCCAAAGACTTCTTATTTCAGTCATGGCTGGACACCTGGGCATTTAAACAAGAGGGCCATGATGGCCCTAGATCGCTCACCTGAATTATCAAACTCATCCAAACAATTACCTAGACAAGCATTCTGACCAAGTCTCATGACAGGTGAGTCAAAAATGTGACCACTACAGTGTTAACAAGGATTATCCATATTTGAGCAGTGCGACCTAGTTTTTTTACCAGGTGACACATATTCAAACTTGACCTAGAAATCATCAAAACAAACTTTCAGACCAATTTCCAGGATACTTGGATCAAAACAGTAGCAACTAGAGTGTTAACAAGATTTTTCTATTTTTAGCTCCGGTGACCTAGTTTCACATGCGATTTCGAACTAATCCAAGCAATTACCTAGACAAGCATCCTGACCAAGTTTGATGATAATCGAGTCGAAAATGTGACCACTAGAATGTTAACAAGGTTTTTCCATATTTGGGCGGTGTGACCTAGTTTTTCATCCAAGATGACCCATGTTTGATCTTGACTTAGAAATCATCAAAAAAAACTTTCAGACCAATTAACAGAATATTTGGATCACAACAGTAGCCACTAGAGTGTTAACAAGATTTTTCTATTTTTAGCTCATGTGACCTAGTTTTTCATCCGAGATGTCCCATGTTCGATTTATTCCAAGCAATGACCTATTCAAGTTTCCTGACCAAGTTTGATGACAATTGAGTCAAAATTGTGACCACTAGAGTGTTAACAAGGTTTTTCTATTTTTAGCTCCTGTGACCTAGTTTTTCATCCGAGATGACCCATGTTCGAACTCATCCGAGCTATCACCTAGACAAGCATCTTGATCAAGTTTGATGATGATTGATGCAAAAATGTGACCGCTAAAGTGTTAACAAGGTTTTTCTATTTATAGCTCCGGTGACCTAGTTTTTCATCCGAGATGACCCATATTCGAACTCATCTGAGCTATTATCTAAACAAGCATCCTGACAAAGTTTGATGATGATTGGGTCAAAAATGTGACCACTAGAGTGTTCACAAGGTTTTTCTATTTTTAGCTCCTGTGACCTAGTTTTTCATCAGAGATGACCCATGTTCGAACTCATCCAAGCAATTGACTAGACAAGCATTCTGACCAAGTTTGATGATGATTGGTTCAAAAATGTGACCACTAGAGTGTTCACAAGGTTTTTCTATTTATAGCTCCTGTGACCTACTTTTTCATCCGAGATGACCCATGTTCGAACTCATCCGAGCTATCACCTAGACAGACATCCTGACCAAGTTTGATGATGATTGGGTCAAAAATGTGACCTCTAGAGTGTTCACTAGGTTTTTCTATTTTTAGCTCTTGTGACCTAGTTTTTCATCCGAGATGACCCATGTTCGAACTCATCCGAGCTTTCAACTAGATAAGCATCCTGACCAAGTTTGATGATGATTGAGGCAAAAATGCGACCGCTAGAGTGTTCACAAGCAATTGTGGACGGCCGGACGGACGACGTACGACGGACGACGGACATAGTAGAATGCAGGAAACAAGATTCATGTCCAAGGTAAGGAGGGATTAATGATTAAGAATAGCAATAAAACTTCATATTGTGAATTTTCTATGACTAAAACACATAATGCTATAACATGAAACAAAATCAAAAGAAGGTTCATGTTTACCCCATCTAGATCAATTGCAGTGGTATTAACAACTATGCGTCCAACACTGTATGTATCCGAGATAGTGACAGTATATGGATCATTGATGAAATTTGGTCCACTTGGATTCTGAATGACGGAAATATTAACGTTGGTGACATCAATTCTTGTCGGGTCTGCTGTGTCATAGGTCTGAACACGGAACTGTAAACACAAGGAACATGATAAAATATCACATTAAACTTCTATTTTTTCCTAAAAATGGTTTTCTAAGCTTGAACTTTTTCTTTATGTAACCAATACACATACAAATTTCTAACACTATTTCCAGTTTGAATGATTAAAATTGAACTTGCTATATTTATAAGAAGGAAAAACATATTTAAGGATGTTTTAATATTAAATATATACATTATCACATAATTGTGTTGTTGCAAATAAACATTGATAAACTTTCAACATAGATCACTTAAGTATTCTTGCTATTTGTCAATTAACTGATTGATTTAGTGTATACTATTGTTCTTTCACAAAAATCGTGAAAATAAATATGCTAGAAATATTCACTCCAAGTAAGAGAGTAAAATTAACTTAAATTTTTTCACCACCACATACCAGGGTACATGTACATGTAGTTATTTTTAGAAACTTACAGAGTAAAACTGAGGTCCATAGAAAAGATTGTCAAATTCAAGTGTAACTGCGCCAGTGTTGCGTTCAACTGCGAATGGGTAGCTGGTTGTGATTGCCTCATAAACCAAGGTACCGGCTAGATCATTGTCACTTGCAGTAACTGATAATACTGTAGCACCGACTGTGAAAGTCTCCTCAATGCTGCGTGTATATGGCTCGCTGAAGAAAACCGGTGGGAACTGGTTCCTGACCACACTGATGGTTCCAGTTGTATTGGCACATCGTGTGGGTAAGCCATTGTCACACACCCGATAATTCAACTGTAAATTCAAAATATTTGAAATAAAATTATCAACATTTCTTATCAAAAAAAAATCTAAATATATCAAATTTTGGACTTTTCTTTTGAGGGTCCATTGTTCCTGACTAGCTAAGCTTGAATATCAAACAGTATAGAGTTTGACCTTAATACAAGTATACAATAATAAACCAGTCTTACTCTATACTCATAAGCATTACATGCTTATAAAGCTGCTTTTATTATAAATAGGGAAATAGCTTAAACGCTACATGTATAAAACATTTAAAATGAAAAATTATAGATACCAAAAGCAAAATATTTTTTTAAAGGGCCATTATTATTCCTAAGAAATAATATCATTGTCATTTCTCAAAAACTTTATATTTTTGGTATCTTGTTACATACAGAAATTGATTCATTTGCCACATTGTGGAACTATCTTCTGCTACTTTTGCTCTATTGGTAATTGGTTAAATTACAGTGTATTAGTATTTTGTATGGAAGTCAAAATACTAAATTGTTACATTTTGCTATTTAAATGACACATTACTGTGCATGTAGCCTACTTGTTTAGTGTAAACTTTCTGCCTTTTTCATTTTTTTATTAAAAACCTTGAATTTTAATAAAAAAAAAAAAATTCAATTAGACTTTCTTAATACAAAATACAAAGAATCTAATTATTTAAAAGAGGCTTAGGGGCTGAATGTTAATTTGCCTTAAATATGCATTATCTTGAATGAAAAAAACAATTTACAAAAATATATCTATAACAAAACTATTACAGAATTGCGATTTCAATATAAAAAATTAGAAATTAGTTCAGAATATTGAATAATGAATTAATAGATAGATATAAGATAGATAGAATTATTTAACTTATGAATCCTGAAATTACATGTAATAACTGTTTATTCTTACAATGTATAACAGAAGTTACTCATTATATAGAAATGTTTCACTTAGGACAATATAGTATTCGCATGTATCTGAATTTATAGATAGTCAAATATTATACACTAGCATCACAATGTTGAATATAAAAATCGAAAAAGCATATCTGTAAATTTGCGCTAGAAAAAATTTCAAAGTGTAAATTTAGGTTGTACCCGATTTCAAAATTTGTTTTAAAGACGTTCACAATTTTAAAAATCTAGTATATAGATGAAACATCAAATTAATAGGCAATTATTCTGTTATCTTCAATTTTTAATAGAGCATGATAAATCCTAGTTGCTTTAACTAAAAAAAACTCTAACATAAGGTGTTCATCCATGAAGTTTAACCGTAAATTGCAGTCGTTTAAAGGGCTTTGACTGTTAATAATAAATCTCTAATTTATATTATGAAACATGAACGGCTTCATAAGACTGATTCAATAGTTATAAAAATTTTGGAATGTCAGAAAAAATTCTTTTTTAACTACATTACATTAATCTGATCATCACTGTACATTCTGAACAATTGTCCATCGCAGTTGTTAAAGGAATTGTATTAGCATATTTTTTTGGACTTGATTAGCATTTTTTTTTCATCAATCAACAGCTGTCACATTCTGTACAACACTTCCAATGGCAGTTGTCTCGGGAATAGTATTAGCATAGCTTGGCAGCAAGAACCGTGGACCATTTGGATTACGAATAACTGAGAACAGAACAGTAGCTGTTGCAACTTGGTTGGGTCGAGCATCATCAACTGCTGTCACTCGAGCAATGTAAGATGATGAATAACCATAATCCAACCTCAAGTTGTTGGTGGTTCTGATAACACCTGTTATACTGTCTACCTGGAAGAAACTCTGCGAGGGATAGTCACCAATCATGTTGTAGCGAATGTTTCCCTGTAAACAGTGAAATAAAAAAATGTTTTAGTAATGTACAACACAGCCTCCATAAATTGAAAATGCAAGTTCTCAACTCAAGTACTTTTTTACACTAGTACAATGCCCTAAGAAAAGATGCTCAAGTAATAAATAAATAAAAATGCTTTACTGCATGTCTTAACTTTAAGCATGCAAAATACTGTTGTTAAACATTAAAAATATAAACATTATCTTAATTTCTCGACATAAAACATGAGTTTAAGACATTTACTTTATGTCTGCAAATTGATTCTAGTAACATTTTAAAGAAAATCAAATTCTACCTAAAAAATATCAAAATATAACCTTTTGAATCAAGGACTAAATTTTACTATCATTTATCAAACATAACATTTAAAAAAAAACTAACAACAAGATCTTGATCTGTAGCAGTAACAGTGTAAACAGAGGCCCCTGTCTGAACAAATTCATTCAAAGTCTCCCTGTATGGCTGTCTAATAAACACAGGTGGGAACTGGTCACGTATTACTGTTATGAATGCTTCAACAAAGCCTGTTTTTTCCGGACTGCTGTTGTCATTGGCAACAATTGTCATCTGTAATAAAGTAATCACTTGTATATTATACATTACAAACACTAAACAGGAGGTGTTCTTACAACAAGAACATCCCCATTCTGTCAGTCACAACAAAATTTTAACTTCTTAAAAACCATAATTTTTTTAAGCATAAATGGTTTATTTTTCAGAAGTTTGTTTATGTGGTATAATTTAATAGATTTAATAGATAGCATAATTTTTTAACAATTTACATAAAACTAATACCAGTATGTAAGGCAGTAGGGAAAGTTTCCAGTACTAATGGTGAAGTCTTTCTAACCTCAGTTGTCTTTTTAGTAGAAAAATCAACTTTCTGTAAGCTAGAAGGTAAGTTTTTACATAAAAATGTTTTCCAAGTTTTTACACCAGTATTTAAAACATAATTAAAAACTAAAATACTATTCACCCTGTATTCAGTTTGAGCAACACCAAGTAGCGGAGCTCTGACACAGATGACACCTGTATCTGCACCAAGACTGAAATAATTCAACGTGTTAGTCTCTCCTGTAGCTGCGTAAGTCACACGATCCTGAAAAAGAATAAAATGACAAGTTGAGTAATCTTGTTACCTTTAAATTCACTTGCAAAACATTTATTTTATATAAAGTCATTGAACCAAATATTTCAACTGCTGGCCATAGAGACATGGTACATGTATTGACCATTTTTTATTTAAAGAGTATGAACAGTTGGATTTAGTTATCAAACAAAGACACTTATGGTGTAATGCCACTCTATTAAAGGAGGACCTCTGAAGCATTATTTCAAATGATAGCACCTGAGAAAATTATTGACCTATATGCATATTATATAGCTTTGTCACAAGAATTATTGTAACCAGTCCAGAAATGATTGTATACATTTCTTATTCATCAATCTTTACTCCTCAAATCGACACAAAATAAAATGATCGCTTAAATTCAGGTGATATCTCAAAAATGTTTCTAAGAACATAATGAGCTGAGCATTTATTTTCAACCTTCTTCATCATCATGTTGTACTTTTTTAACATATGAAATATTATAACTTACGCCATCATCATCAGTTGCTGTAACAGTGATAATACAGGTTCCTAGAGCAATGGTTTCGTTGATTGTTACGCGATATGGTGACTGAAGGAAACTTGGTGAATTCTCATTCCTGTTCACAGAAATTGTGACAATCTCTTCTGCTATTTGATTTCTGTAAGCTGTATCATATGCCTGAACTCGAAGCTACAAGATAAAAATTGAACATTTTTCTTCAATACAAATATAAGTATGCCTTTCTCAGAATTTAGATTTTTTGGTATGTTTTTTTTTATATAAAATTTATAATTTGTTTATTACTGCCATTTTTTAGATGATAATGCAATGATGGCGAATTAGAAAAACAACTGCTCTTGCCTTAAATATGGCTTTTGTAAGTTTATCTATTCATTTTACAAAAAATTATGTACCTATTTACATAAAACAAAATTCATTTACATGCTTTACTCATAAAAAATGGCCTTAAGTTATACTAGCATTCCTTATTATGAGTACTAACTTTTCATAGCTTACATATGTTCTAACAAGAGCGATCAGTAATCACATGTGTCGCCTCATGATGGCCAATTTCATGTTGGGACAAATTTTGTGACAGACGGACAGACAGACGGACAGTGCACAACTAGACTAACCACTCTGTACTGATCATTCCTGTAAAATTTGGATAAAATTGCACCAGTAGTTTATGAGGAGTAGTCCGGACAAACTTTTGCGTATCTGGCAACACACTGAAAAAAACACCTTTTTATCAAAGGGCCATAACTCCGCCAAAAATCATTCAACCGGAAAACCCGTGCAATATGCGCAAGGACTTGAGCTACAAATCAATCCTGTAAAGTTTCATTGAAATTGCATAAGTGGTATAAGAGAAGTAGTCTGGACAAACTTTAAAAATAAAAATTATTAAAGGGCCATAACTCAAACAAAAATCATTGAACCGGAAAATGCTGACAATATGCACAACTAGACTTGGTACTGATCATTCCTGTAAAGTTTGGATGAAATTGCACCAGTAGTTTATGAGGAGTAGTCCGGACAAGCTTTTGTGTATCTGGCAACACACAGAAAAAGAAACCTTTTTATCAAAGGGCCATAACTCGGCCAAAAATCATTCAACCGGAAAACCCGTGCAATATGCGCAAGGACTTGAGCTACAGATCAATCCTGTAAAGTTTCATTGAAATTGCATTTGTGGTATAAGAGAAGTAGTCCGGACAAACTTTAAAATTAAAAATTATTAAAGGGCCATAACTCTGACAAAAATCATTGAACCGGAAAATCCTGACAATATGCACAACTATACTTGGTACTGATCATTCCTGTAAAGTTTGGATGAAATTGCACCAGTAGTTTATGAGGAGTAGTCCGGACAAGTTTTGTGACGGACGGACGGACAGACGGACAGACAGACAGACAGACAGACAGACAGACGGACAGACGGACAGACAGACGACGGAGAAGTGATCCCTATATGTCGCCACTACTCCGTAGAGGCGACACAATAAAAATATGTTCTAAAAATATATCTTAAAAAAAACATATGAATCTATCCAAAGTACTGTTTAGCATGTAAACTTTTTATAACTCAAAATGTAAGCTACTCATAACTGACAACAATGTATGTTACTCATAACTAACTTTCCATGTAAGCTATTTATAACTGAAGGCCATGTAAGCTATTTAAAACTTAACTCAAAATGTAACCTGTTTATAACTTACAATGTAAGCTAATTATAACTTACAATGTAAGCTATTCATAACTCACTAGCAATGTAAGCAAGTCACAACTGATTGTCATGTAAGTTATTCATAACTTACTTAAAATGTAAGCTATTCATTGCTTACAGTGTAAGCTACTCAAAAGGTAAGCTATTCATAGCTTACAATGTAAGCTATTCATATTTTGCATTTCATACTCACTATGAAACTATTCATAACTTACACAATCATAGTATTTCATGAAATGCAAAACTTTTTTCACCTTACCATATATTCTATAAATAGCTTACTGTCAACATTTTATGCCTTGTTAACTTACAGTGTATTGGAAACTAATGCCTGTTCTAAGGTCATTCTTTGTGAAAACCTCTCCAGTATTTGAATCCACACGGAAAAAGTATGGTGCGCTATCATCTCCAACCACAATGTACTCTATTTCTTGCTGTAAACATAGTAAATGTCAACTCAAGGGTACAATTTTCATTATTTTCAAAAAGGTATACCATAGTTTCAAATATAAGAATTTTCTGGTCGAGAACTATTTCATCAATACACATTTATCTAAATATGAAAATGAAGTAAATAGTATTTTTCAGTTTTATTTGAATTTACAGAAATTGTTAATTTTACTTCCAGATAAATCCTATAATTTTAAGAGAACCAAGCCACATAAAGTTGCAATACAACATCAATGCCATTCTTAAGTCACATCCTTACAAGGTTATTAAAAGTATTGCCATTTTTAAGTCACATCCTTCCAAAGCTATTAGAAGTATTGTCATTTTTAAGTCACACCCTTCCAAGATTATTAGAAGTATTGCCATTTTTAAGTCACACCATTCCAAAGCTATTAGAGGTATTGCCATTTTTAAGTCACAACTTTATAAGGTTATTAGAAGTTTTACCTCCAAGTCTGAATCTGTGGCAGTAACTCTGTAGATTGAGGAGCTTGATGCAATATTTTCTGAAACTGAAGTCGCGTATGGTGTCTGTCTGAACACAGGTGGCGAGCGTGTACGTGTGACAAAGATTGTAACTGGAGCCAAGGCAAATCTCTCCTGAGGGAATCTCTGATCTCGTGCTTGTACTTGCATCTGTAAACAAAAAATATCTCTATCATTTTAATACGTTACTTTCAAAGCATTAATTAATTCCTTTACAAATCTGTTATATATTATGGTCATTTTTGTGAAACTGTAAACATGTTTGTAATGAAAATTAGACTTAAAAACTGTTCTAAAATATTTGAAAGTATAGAGGCGAGGGCAGATAGTCAAGTTGTGCAATTTAGCCTATGTTTTTGACTACTTTTTTCTCATTTGACATAACTGGATAAAACTGTCCAAATCATGTCTGTATCTGTAAATAGCAGACTTTACAGCTTCAGATTTCATAATACTTTCCTATCAACAATGAGGTACTCTTTCTTCTTTTTATTTAAGGAAATATGTTACCTGGAATCTGTTTTCTTCTAAGCTGTCAGTGTACAGGGGCGTTTTCAGGTAAACAAGCCCTGAGCTCTCCAATATATAGAAGAAATCCAAACCTCTGTTGATATTGGGGTTAAAATTATCATTTTGGCGGATAAATGAGTAGCGTACAATATCCTGAAAAAAAAATCAAATCACCACATGATTATAACATACATATAACCTTAATTGTTGTTGTTTTAATTCTTTTTGTCTCAAGAGTAAAGATACATTATAATTATAGGAAGTATTTAGGAATATAGTCTTAATAACTGGTTAATAAATCCATCAAAATGTATTTTATTGTATGTTTGTTTGTTTCATTTTACGCCTTTTCCCAACAGTATTCTAGTCATATAGGTGGGTAGTTTCCTAACCATCGTTCCTGGAGAGTTACACCAGTACTAGACTACCTTCCTCCATGCTAAACTACCAAAGCATCTCCCGGGGATCGAACCCACGCCAGAGAGGTAACTGGATTAGAAATCATCGACTCTAACCCTCGACCACGGAGGGGGTTTGTTTGATTCTACGCCTTTTCCCCAACAGTATTTCAGTCATATAGGCCGGTAGTTACCTAACCATCGTTCCTGGAGAGTTACACCAGTACTAGACTACCTTCCTCCGCGCTAAACTACCAAAGCATCTCCCAAGGATCAAACCCACACCAGAGAGGTAACTGGATTAGAAGTCATCGACTCTAACCCCTCGCCAACAGAGGTTTATTGTATAACAGTATTGGGGTAGGGATGTACTGAATGGATATGCATATTGACCTGGCTCTAAATACATGTATGTGTCATATGTGTGTGTGCGAGTTTATTTATACTCGCCACTGGTTGCCCATTGGGCGAGTCCTCATTTCAGATTTTAGAAGATAGTGCAAGATACAGAGATGCCCAAATTCCAGTAACTGCTCCTGGTTCTTTAGCATGAAAATTGTTAAGGCACTCTCATTAAAGACTATTTAGAAATTTTAGTTAGCCAGCTTAGGAATCGAACCCACCATGTTGACATAAGTTTCACACTTTAACCGACTGAACTATGTCGACTGGCTATGTGTCACACATGGCTACATAACATTTAAATAGAAGGTAAACAAACTTCAACACAAACTTACACTATCTGGATCTGTCGCAGTAATATTAAAGATGCTTTGTCCTAGTGAGAAATATTCTGATATTGTAGTCTGGTATGAGGTTAGTTCAAACACTGGAGTGCTGGGATTACGAATAACCTCTATGGTAACAGTTGCCGTGGCTACCAGGCGAGGTGACAAACTGTCATAAGCTGTCACAACCAACTGTTGAGAGAAAATTGTTATTTGATGTTGAAATTGTTAAAATAAGATAAAAATGAAGATATGCAAACATGTAAACAGCAGTGCAGGTTGAGAAATTGAATAATCTACTGGTTTTGGTTCCAACTAACCTTCATCAGAATGATAAAAAATTTAAATCTTTTATATATAGTTGGAGAGAAAAGGATAATGCTCAGTTCAAGTTTAAATGCAGTTCAAATGCTTAGTTAAATAATAACCAAGACCTGAGTATGCCCAAGTAATTAATTACAAAGCATTTTGAATGATTATCCATGCATTATTGTACAATAATGCAAGAAAATAAAGTTGATGTTTTTATTTCTTTTCTAACATGTATATAGAAAAAAGAAAAAACAAGAGCTGTCGGTAGGACAGCACGCTCGACTATTCTAAGTGCTTGATGGTAAAAGAGCCTTGCATGATAATGTTAAATTTTCTAAGTTCACAAAAGGGCTATTTTTTTTATAAATTCATGTTATAGGCCTTGAGAGAGAGTCTTATTATACAGTATTGGCTTGACTATTCGGAAGGTAATGTCACAAGGGTGTTTTATTGAGTATAATAATACTAATTACCTATGAATACATAAAATTGGCAGAAAAGGAACAAAGGCTTGTTATTAAGATGTTTTTTCAAGTAAATCACTGCTTTATTATTATGAATGCATAAAATTGTCCCAAAAAAGGCACAAACCCTTCAATAGTTATGGAGATAACAGTTTACAAGCAAAACTTTATCATGAATTTCTAAGTTGAAAAAGGGGAGAAAAATCAGCCTGAATGCAAGATAAAATTATGAATCTTTGTCAGTGACCTACAATTATGGCCCTAAATGCATATGTGAAGTTTTAAATAAATATCTTTAATAGTTATTGAGATTTGTAAAACTTGCATGTAATCATTAACCAAGAGACTAAATAGAAAAGGGGATATGAATCAGCCTAAATGCAAGATAGAGTTATGGAACTTGGTCAGTGACATACAATTATGACCCTAAGTACATATATCTTTGAAGACCTTTAACCAAAATTTCTAAGTTTAAAAGGGGCAAATAATTCTGCAAATATTGCAGGCTGAGTTATGCAATTTTGCAAACTGATGTACATTGTTACTATAAAAAGTATTTTAAATTTCAATTGAATATCTCAAGCAATAATTAAGATATTTGACTTTACAAAAAAACTTTAACCAAAATTTCTAAGTTCCAATGGGGCATAATTCTATCAATATTGTAGGCAGAGTTATCCAACATGTCAATCTGATGTACCTTGTTACTATAAATAAGTATTGTAAGTTTCAATTGAATATCTCAAGCAATAATTGTGATATTTGACTTTACAAAACAACTTTAACCAAAATTTCTAAGTTAAAAAGGGGCATAATTCTATCAATATTATAGGCAGAGTTATCAAACTTGTCAATCTGATGTACCTTGTTACTATAAATAAGTATTGTAAGTTTCAATTGAATATCTGAAGCAATAATTGAGATATTTGACTTTACAAAAAACTTTAACCAAAATTTCTAAGTTAAAAAGGGGCATAATTCTGTCAATATTGTAGGCAGAGTTATCAAACTTGTCAATCTGATGTACCTTGTTACTATAAATAAGTATTGTAAGTTTCAATTGAATATCTGAAGCAATAATTGAGATATTTGACTTTACAAAAAACTTTAACCAAAATTTCTAAGTTAAAAAGGGGCATAATTCTGTCAATATTGTAGGCAGAGTTATCAAACTTGTCAATCTGATGTACCTTGTTACTATGAATAAGTATTGTAAGTTTCAATTGAATATCTCAAGCAATAATTGAGATATTTGACTTTACAAAAAACTTTAACCAACGCAGACGCCGACGCGGACGCTGACGCCGACGCCGGGGCGACTACAATAGCTCTCATATTCTTCGAATAGTCGAGCTAAAAATATGTTGAACTACACATTTTTCACGATGTCAATTGGTTTATTGACAACACATCTATTGTCATATGACAAGTAAGCATTCCTTTCCTATGCAATGCATACAACATGTAAGTAAAAAATAAAATGAAGAGTGTTGGAATAAAAAGTGTTGGTTTAAATGAATTAGAGGTTAATTTTCAAAATGAAGTAAAATTTAAAATCATGTTACAGGTTACATTTAGTGAAAAAACACTTTCTATATAATATAGACTCAGAAAAAAATTGGAGTGTACTTAACACAATTATGCACTTATTTCAACTTGGAGCACATTTAAAAACAAACAATAAAAGATAAGTCATGTATTTAATAACTTCGGTAAAAAAAACCCAACCCAATCAATAAGAAAATTTGGACAGACATGTCTTAATCTTGAGATCACTTATCTATACATCTGAAAAAAATATTTTGACATAGTGTAGAAAGGAAAAAATAAAATGAAATCAAAACAAAATGGGCCACTTACAATCCTTATTATATTACAATCTAATTTCTAATGTCAGGAGTAAACCTATATTAAAATATTGCAAATGGTTTACCTCAAAGTTTGATGTTGCTGTGGAATCCGTCCTCAAATTATTACGTACACGTACTTGACCATCATCTGAATCCACGGAGAAGTAGAATGCGGCATTGAAATTACTGGCCAATACATCGTAAACAATTTGACCACGCAAGTCGTTGTCTGTAGCTGTTACTCGATAGATGTTGTCACCAACCTGGCGGTTTTCTAGAATATTCACACTGTACGGGGTGTTGATGAAAATTGGTGGGTCCTGATCACGTACTACCGTGAAACGACACGTTCTTGAATCGGTTCGCACTGGGTTGCTCTGATCACTTACAACAATTGTAAACTGTATAAAACAAAGAGTAGTTCAGATGCTTAAGCAACATACTTGTGTGTACCTTGTTGAATCAGTAGGGGCTAGAATAAACTAATTGCAAGTCATTTCAAATATTTAAAATCTCAATCTTATATCCGATATTAATCTGCATATAATCATAATAGACAAACTATATTTGACATGAAATTAAATATCTTATTGCATAAAATCATACTTCTACAGGATCATTGTTGCCTAAATTAATGTCAAGATATGATTGTTATTTTAACTAGCACTTATATAATGTAAAATATCTAAAATGTGTATGGAATATAATCAATTTGTCTCTTAACAATTCAGACAATACTTGATAATTTTGCTACCTAGAATAACAATTTACAAAATTGATTCAACTCTTACCTGGAACTCAGAGACCGATGTAGATGTCAGCAGATTTTTCAGGAGAATGTTACCATTTTGAGGGTCAATGAAGAAGTATTCCTGGTCAACTTGGTCAAAATTTGAACCAAAGTAATATCTCAACACATCCTAAAATGGTAGACAAAGATCTTTTACTCCCTTTACATCTTTTACTCCCTTTACAATCTTTTACTACCTTTACAATCTTTTACTCTCTTTACAATCTTTTACTCCCTTTACATTTATCCTCTTTCAATTTGAAATTATTCAATACTTAATTCATTTGATTTTGCTATCAAAATGTTAATTTTAAAACTATTACAATACAGAAACAGAATAAAGTTTTGTCTGCTTGAACAAACAGGCAAATCCAAGTTCATTAAGATTAAATCTTATAAAATTTCAACTGAAACTTCCTCTTCTAAATTTAATTCAAAATGTCAATCTACGTTTTCATATGTTCAAACAAAGATTGATATTTAATCACAAATACTTTTTTAAAAAAGTGGAAAAAATACACACCCCATCAGCATCAGTGGCAGTTGAGTTGTACACTAAAGATCCAATTGGGTTATTTTCAGTGACTGTAGCACTACAGACTTGGTTCACAAACAGTGGACCATTTGGATTCCTGTTAACTGAAATAGTTGCCGTGGCACTGCCATACACATTCGGGTATGCTGTATCGTAGGCCAGAAGTCCCAAATAGTAGACATTCGACTGTAGCGCATCTGTGAAAACTGAATTCTTCAATCGGATTACTCCAGTAACAGAATCAATTTCAAAGAACTGTGGAGCTGGGTAAATTCCATTTGCTAGATATCTGATCTCGCCCTGTTACAACAAAATATAAACTTAATGATGATGAACGTATTACAGTAAATCAAGATCTGTCACAGTAGTCATTAGATGGGGATTTTCTTATTATTAAGACCTCAAAAAATTAGGCAGTTGATAAATAATTTGCAAAAATCCAGCGTTTGATTTGAAATTACCAAAATTTATTTTAAAGGTGTACAGTACATTACTTCTGAAAAAATTATTTTTAGTCTAAAAATTTGGTCTTGATATGACAAAACAGAAAAAAGTTACAGGACAGTGTTTCTTTTATTGAAGTGAATTTGATCAACTGTATTCCAGTCTGCCCATGCACTGATGTTATTTAAATATGGGAAACTGGTTAAATACATACAACAAGATCTTGATCCGTAGCAGTTGTCAACTGCACAGTACTGTTAATAAGCTGGTTGCGGTTGATGACTGTGTTGTAAGGAAGTCTGGTAAAGACTGGTGGGAACTGATCCCGTATGATCAAAATACGGGCTACAGATGTTCCACATTGTTGATCAGTTCCTCTGTTATCACATGCCACCAATCCAATCTGAAAATATGTATACAACAAGCATAATTCTGTATTCTTAATAATACATTCACTTCTTTTACATTTTTTTTTTTTGCCAAAGAAATTGTTAAATTTTCATTATGAAAATCTACATCAACCTATTTGAACAAGAAAATAGTGAATAAATAATTGTCATTGTATAAATAGCATAAATATTTTATTCATTAATAAAAACAAGCAACAAATACTAAAATATAGCGTCTACAGTTTCCATAATATAAATTCATGTAACAGACTCAACCCAATATGAATTTGGTTAATCTAATGCATTTAAATAACAAAACAAAATACAACACCACAGTTCAATCTTACTGCAGAGAGGTCTGCCGACTAGCATGTCTATACACTGGTAGAAAAAGGCAAGTCTGGAACCAAGTTACTAGCCTTTGCCACCAGTATAGAGCCATACCAACCAACACATATAATTATGCCATCTACGTTTCAACAGGTAAGGGTTAAAAGAGGGTTATCACAACCACTTACATTGTCTTCACTTTGAGCTCCTTCTGTAAGTGGTTTTTTCAAGTAAATGATTCCAGTATCTGCTCCAATGTAATAGTATTCATTTGCACGATTTGTATTTCCAAACTGATCTCCGCTTATAGAATATGTGATCCTATCTCCATCTGAATCAGTCGCTGTTACACGCAGAATTTCAATGCCAAGCCCGTAGGTTTCTGGGATGGTTTCGGTATATGTTGGGAAGTTGAACGTTGGTGCAAAAATATTACGTCGTACAGTAATAGTTACATCAGCAAAATCTTTATTGAGTGGATACGCAGAGTCGTAGCATTCAATACGAAGCTAAAAACAAAAAGGAATTAGAAAATTATAATAATTTAGTAACTGGATATAAACATCCATTGAAATATGTTATATTATACTTAATGTTGTCACTGACTCAAAATGTGCAAAACAGAATTGTAAAATGTCATAATGGGAAAAAAAACTTAATTCAACATGATTAAAAACATTGATATTAGTGCAAAACATTAACATTTTAAACTGAAACACTCTCCAAAAAAGATTTAAAAGTGTTACATCTACAGTATATAACATCTTGCATAAAAAGTTTTTAGAAAAAGAAATATAGTCAACAATTTCCCCTCCAAAGTACATACAAAATTTAAACAGCCAAAACAGAATCATCCAAACAGTGACAGTAAAAAATTAAATATGACCAATGATATTTAAAGATTTGTAACAATATTTAATTGAGCCGCGTCAAGACAAAACCAACATAGTGGTTTTGCGACCAGCATGGATCCAGACCAGCCTGCGCATCCGCGCAGTCTGATCAGAATCCATGCTGTTCGCCTTCCAACCCTATGACAAGTAGAGAAACTGATAGTGAACAGCATGGATCCTGATCAGAGGCGCAGGCTGGTCTGAATCCATGCTAGTCGCAAACCCATTATGTTGGTTTTGTCATGACGTGGCTCAATTAAAAAAAACCCACCTCTATAAGCTTCATAAAATTTAAAATATCACAAACCATCTGATATCAATCCTTAGAATAGATAAGCAAAAAAAAAGAAAGACCTATCATAAAGAAAGACTTACTGTGTAAACAGTACCAGCATGCTGTCTCAATGCAGCTGTATCATAAAGGAATACATTTCCATTGTCTGCATTAACACTAAAGAAAGCAGATCCTACGGTATATGGCACCGTCTGATAAACAATTCTGCCTCGTAGATCCCCATCAATGCAAGTCGTCTGCCTAATAGTGGTTCCGTTAATGTCAACTTCTCGGACAACACCGGAATAAGGTTCTTGTATAAATTGTGGTGCTTGCTGATCTCTCTGTATTTGAATGAAGACATCGGCCAGATCTGTCTTCACATTGACCCTCTGGTCACTTGCTTGAACAGTAAATCTGTACTGATCCTCGCCAATATTGTACATGTATTTACTCAAAGAGATAACACCCGTGGATGGATTCAGGAAGAAAAACTCTGATGCCTCCGTGCCATCAATTACTGTATAACGAATAACATCGTTATCACGGTCGTTGGCTGTAACTTGAAGGATACTACTACCAACAGCGAGGGTGTCCTGAATAACATCTTGATAATTGTCTCTGGTAAATATTGGTGGGTTAGCATTACGAATCACAGTGATGTTGACAAAAGCAGTAGCTACCTGTTGTGTAATTTGTCCTTGTGCAACTGCCTGGATTTGTAACCTGTCCGGAGAAGAATCCAAACCATTAAAATTGATAATACAATACAATGCTTCAACATGTTCAGTAAGAAATTTTGATAGAAAAGTTATAAACTTCAGTTAGACAGTCATATTGTCCAAGTTTAACAGATTTATTCAAATTTTTGATAGGATGGTCTCCATTGTTCAGTCTATTAAAAATAATTTGTAATCAACAAAAGAGTATAATTATCAGCAGCAGTTAAACAAAAATATCACTTACCTATAGAAGGTCAGATATGAAGGGTCAGTTCGGAGATCTCTTCGTACAAAAATGTTTCCAGTAACTGAATTGATTGCAAAGTATGTACTACCTGGTTCATAACCAATGACGCTATAAACAGGTGTCTGAAATTGTTAAACATAATTGTTATTACATAATTTGTAAAGTTGTTTTGGTTTTAATTTTTGCAGGTACTATATTTACAGTATCGAGTCAATGATGAGCATATATTCTATTTCTATATTTATACTACCATGTGATAGCTGAGTATCAAAAATCGAGACTTCTAGAAATCAAAACTTGAAAATAATCAATACAATTAGCATCACAAAACAGTTGGTTTGCTTTAATTCCTAAAAAGTTACTAGATAAAACCATTTCTTTTTTTTTAATTTAATTTCATTCAAATACCTGTTAAGAATTTGATAAAACATAATTTACAATTATGTAAATCAAGCATTCTGTTTTATAAAAGTATTTTACTTTAAGTCATTATGTAACATGTAGTAAACATGTTTTTAGGAGAATAAAATAGGATTCATAGAGTACGGATGGGATGAGAAAATATGAGGAATATTATAATATTCTTATATCTTAGATACTATTATCATTTCTTACCCCTGGGTTTGCAAAGGCTTGAATAATTGTACTGTTCACATTTTCAGTCTCTGGAATGGTTACAGAGTATGTGGCAAGGGTGAACCTGATTGCATCTGTTTCACGAATCACATTTACATTCACGGTTATCGAAGTGAACCTCTGTGGAACGCCACCATCTTGAGCACGAACGGCCAACTGAAAAATGTCAGCAAATTATAATATATCAGTGATTTGAATTGTCAAATTAATGCTGAGTTCAAGTTCATATGTATGTGTTTAACTAATGAATTTCCCAAAATTGAATTTTACTTGGTGTATATTTTCACATGATGAATATTTATTATGATAAATAAAAATAAATTTTAAAATTTACAAACAAGCCACACAAACACGAACATTCAGTAATTATTTATTGCAGACATTTCAGCTAGATGTCTTTGTCAGTGCAAAACATAATAAAATTTTTAAAAGCTACGTCACAACGGAACACATGTAAACATGCGAAACACGTTAGGGCAGTTATCAGAAATTTTTCTATGAGAAATTTTTCTATGACAAATATTAACTACATATAAATATTATAATGACAAATTACCTGATAAAAGTCCCTGTTTGTATTAAGAACTGACCGTTGTAGAGTTATAACACCAGTGTTAGGATTAACGAAGAAGAATTCTGCATCGAAACTATTCTGATCAAAGTACGAGACAACATTCTCTGGAGCCTGAAACATACCACATTGTATTACTTTATATTAATCTTGCAAACATAATTATTAAGTAGTATAATATTCAACCCTAATCAATTACGGATACTACGTAAAAGAAATATTCGAACACATTTTGTAAAAAACAATTATTTGAATATATTCCAACATAGAAAACTAATATTCGAACGTAAGACAATAATTTATAAGGATAACAGAACAAAACTCAGTGCAAGGATATAACTGAGAACATAATAGGTTGCCAGGATTGATACAAGTTACCAGGTAGTTCAAAACCTCAGAGTTGTTCTCCATCGCAAAAAAAGTGGTGTGAAAAGAGTATGTTTAAGTCTGAAGCATAAGTCGTGTACACTTAATTTGAGGAACAGGTAACTTTTCAAGTATAGTACTTGAAGCAGTAGAAAACAAAGTTATTACAGGGGGCTCAAAACCTTAATTTAATTATAGGATCTATTTTTTTTTAGCAGAAATTTCATTATTATGGGGTTGGGTTTACATAGCACCAACACAAAAGTCATATTGCAACTTCCCAGCTTAAATGCTGGAGAAAGAATTCAGCTGCCCCTCTGTGCATTATATCTGGCACCCGAGTAGAACCTCCAATGACCAACGTTTTGTTATAACAGAAAAACACAAATTATGTAAAATATTAATCTTGATGACTAAATTTATGAAACGCTTTGTAGGAACCTATTATCTATAACCATATTAAATTTGCTATAAATAATTGTATATGGAAATAAACCTAAAGCCCTCACCTGTCTATCATTGTCATAAGCATCGAGGTCAAATATAAATTGTCCGACGGGAGCTGTTTCCTGGATAGTCACAGTTATTACAGCAGATGAATGATTGTAGATGGGACTAAACAAATTTCTTAGAACACTTATCCTTACAGTAGCTGTGGCTGACCGAGACGGGAACCCACCATCGTACGCACGGATTCGAGCCTGTAATTATCAAATCATAAAAATTATAATAAAAAAGTAAAGAGTTGTATATTGCAATGTAAGCAGTAACAAAAGCCAAATTATTGCAAATATTTATTTTACTATGATTTCAAAATCAAAATTCATTATTTATTGCATTTTATTTTGCAATACAGTTGTGTGTTTCTTGTTTCTTTTAAATCAAATGTTTTAACCAGTGATTCAAAAATGTTCAAGCTTATCTTTTATCAGACTTCTTAATAATATAAAACTTAAGCACTTATTGAACCGAGTTTGATTTAAAGCACAATTTTCCTATCATCAAAAATGATGGCTTTATAGAGAATAACATGTTAAATAGGCCAAATGACAATTCTAAATCACACCAAGAACCATATTTTTCCAGTTTCCATTTTTGGAAGTATTCAATACCAATTTTGGTGAGATCGTGTCATCGTGATGAAAATTTTCAGCTGGTGAACCTGAAGGTTTTAGCCTCGGCAGACTATGGGTGTGCAGGCTGGCCTGGCTCTTTAATGGTGGCAAAAGGCTTATTACTTTCTGTTCCAGCAAGGTAGGTAATGTTAAGTTACCACTGAACTCCATTATATACTTTGGTTTAAAACATTCTTACCACAAATAATGTTGTACTGTCAAACTCTAAGTTTGTATTGGCTCGAAGTCTGATCAAACCGGTTGTATCGTTGATGGAGAAATAAGATGGTGCCGAGTCGTCTCCAATCATCTCATACCGGACCACATTATACGGACTCTGAAAAATGAATAGATAAAATGTAGCTGGAAAGATCATGTATAGAATCAATCAAACCGAGTCTGCAATTTTCATGCAATTTTGTTGTATTTAATGCTTTCGAGGGATCACACTTTATTCAGATTTTTAAGTACACATTGTTCATCTATTTCTGGACAACAATCAAGGTGTAGACTGGATTAAAGTTGATTAAAACAATTACATGTATCACAACTTGTTCTATGAGGCAAGGGAAAATGAAAAATTTAGGTCATGTAAAATTTACAGACCTTCAACAATTTTAAGATGTTAAACCATGTCATAAGAAATATTTCAATTATTTTGAAAACTGATAATCAAATATATACAAATGAGCATTTAAAATGATAACCTGCACGTAAACAAAAAAAGAATTAAAATCTTGAAATAGCAATCTGTATTTAAAAAAAGAAAAGAAAAATAGTTACTGTGTTATCTTGATCAGTTGCTGTCGTCTGGAAGACTGAGGACAAGGCTGGGTGAGTCTCCTGAATCTGTCTAGAATATGGTTCATTGACGAAAAATGGCGGGAAATTGTTCCTTATTACAGTAATCGTAATGTCAGCCAAAATGTTGGTATCAAGTGAGTTTGGTTTCCCAAGATCATAGGCATATCCTTGGAACTGAAAAAAATTCATGTTTTTTTTAGATAATAAAAAATTATGAACTCTTATAAAGGATTAAGAGTAAAGTACTTCATAAATGTATCTGGTAGTTTAGTTATGTAAAAGATAAACAAATCAATACCTAATACAAACAAATTTTTATTATCCAAGTCAAAAGACTGAATAAAAAGATGGTTATTGTTCCTTTTTTTAAAATCTGTTTGGTTTAAGCCACACAAACACGGTAAAGGTCATCCATGGTGACTCTCCAGCTTTACTGGTAGAGGAAGACCTCAAATGTCCGTTCGTGAATTATTTCAGACATAAGTGGGCATCCCAGCAGAACCACCAATGTTCAGTATGCTAGTTGGATAGCTTCCAGACATGTAAGGATTTAATTCCTGACATGAAAAGATCTGGGGTCCCTAGCAGGAGTCCTACAAATATATCTACCTATTATTTATTACAGCTAAGTACACAATGTATCACCATTTAAGTTGGAAATTTGTTTTTTTTTTTTGTTTTTTTTTAACGCATTGCCACCAGTGTTGTAAATGATAAAATGAATTATAGACAAATATATCAACATTGCAGCATAATCATACAACATTACGTACCTATTATTTGGGTCTATCTGTAACATTAACTATATAATACATGTAAACTCACTGTATATACTTGACGGGCATTGGCATCCAAGTTGTAGACGGATCTTCGCAACATCACTTGTCCACTTACATCATCTACCATAAAGTAATCAAGGTCCTCCGTGTCACCACGTAATTCGTATCTTACAACATTATGAGGGTCCTATAAATTAAGATAGCAAAATTAAGTGATTTTTTTAACAAGATAAAAATATTTTTACTCGTGAGAGGAAGTTTTACGAACTTACATCAACATCTCTCAGTTTGAATATTTATATAAATTTTCATTAATATACTTCCCAATTAAACTATGGCATGAAGTTTTATAAAACTGCTTCCATGGTATCATTTTTTGTTTTATACAAAGACTATCATCTACTATCATATTCTATGTCGAAATATTACTTTAGACAGCTTCTTTTAATGGTAGTCATTTAATGATTAGTAAAACATCACTACTCTGTGTACAGGTCTCATCGAGTGGTTAACCAACAAGAGCAAAAGACTAGGCCTATACCATCTTCAAATATATCATCAGATTATGCAGAAACAGAAAATCTAGGAAAAATCTTTAAAACAATAATTTTTTGTCAAATTTAACAAAAATTAGCCTAATGCTGTCTAACTTGCCACACTATTGTGCTCTGTGGACATTATGAATGGCATGGAAGCCTATTTAAAAACAAATCAATCTTTCAATATGAATCTGAGGTTTCATAAAATGACTAAAGTAGTAAATGTAAAACATACTGTGGTATCAGCGTCAGTAGCAGTAATTGTAAGAATGGATAAACCAACAGCTTGTGTCTCTAGAATAGTTCGACTGTACTGTCTAGGATTAAACACAGGCGGGAAAAGATTGCGGTTTACGCTGATCACTACAACAGAAGTGTCAGACAAACGTGGGTTGCCACCATCTTGGACTCTCACACGAACCTGCAAATTAAATATAAAATGATCTTTTATTTATATACATTGTATCTATAGAATTTATCGTAATCATGTCTTTTGTTTAAATTTTGTATGCCGCAGACGCAAATTAATTTTAATCATCTTGCAATATTTTAGCTTACATTGCTTACATAAATTATAAAAAGCTAAGATACAAACACATAAGTCTACATGTATCAGTAAATTATATTCATTTGCACATGTTACTTGATAAATACTAAAATCATCATTTGGTAACAATGTGCTACATAGATAGTCAAATATTTGTCGAAAAATGCTAATTGTTAAGTTCCGAGTACGAGGTAATGCCTTACATAATAAGTGTCCGTAGCATCTCCAGAAATAGAAGACTGTAGTGAAATTCTGCCAGTAAATCTATCTATTGTGAAGAACGTTTGTGCATTTCCATCACCAATGATGTCATATTCCAGAGAGTTAAATGGTGCCTGAAGATTCAAGTACATGTACATTGTATATAAAATTTAACATGTTAAACAAATAAAACATTTCTATATCTATAATAAAACTTAAAAATCTAAAATACATGAATATAACGGATGATATTCATAATAATTCTGAATATACTCTATTGAAATTATGACTGAAAGAGGTACTTAAAACTTACAGGTTAAATGCCAAAAACAGTTATTTATATAATCAGGTTTTAAAGTTACACTGTCACTTTTAAGGTCATAAAGGGATTCTCCAGCTGTCCATGTTGAGGAAAACCAACCTCAGATGGACCCTACATCTGTAATAATTATAAGCTGTACAAAGACAAAACTGATACAGCTAGATTCTATTACTGATAACACTTCACACACAAAAAATCTTTACTGAACACAATATATGAATATATGTAAGAAATTTCTGTATAAGTGCTGGCTGACAAAACCAACTAACTAGACCTATATTTTTAACATTGTGAATCATTTTTTAAATGTTAAAGTAATGATCAACATTTACAATACCTGAATATCTGCATCAGTAGCTGAAACAGTGTAGATGATAAGGTTAGTTTGTTGGTTACGATCGATCACTCGTGAATAAGGTTCATTGATGAAAACAGGAGGAGCCTGGTTCCTCAGGATGTTCACAATCAACAATGCGGTTCCCGATTTAGCCGGTGATCCACCATCATATGCTATCAGAGATACCTGGCAAATCAAATAAAAAATTTAAAAAAAAAAATTTTTTTATCAATTTTCCTTAAAGTGTCCAGTTACAAAAATGTACATCAGTTATTCTCCAGAATTATTCAGACATACATTAGTTATTCTCCAGAATTATTCAGACATATTACATTAGTTATTCTCCAGAATTATTTAGACATATTACATTAGTTATTCTCCAGAATTATTCAGACATATTACATGCATATGTCAACCAATAACAGGGTTAAATATTCAGGTATTTATAGATCTAAATGTATACAATAATTAAATGAATAATCAACTTATACTGTATGTGCTGCCTTCATTTGGAAAGAATAAGCAACAATATTTTCACTACAAAAAAAACCACAAATGTACAGTAATCTTTATTGTATAAAAAAGTGATTGAATACATGTATATTAACCTTTGTAAAACAAACAAATACAAGCATTTCCCACTTTCTGATTCTAAGAATTAAGACATGACCGTGGTAGCAAAAACAAAACCTACTCTTCTTTTAGAAAGATAAATAAAATCATTGAAGAGAAACCTTACGTTATATTGGTTTATTGATGTTCCAACAATGTTTGTTCTCAGATATATCTGTCCAGTGGATGGAGTGGCGAAGAATAATTCGCTGTTCTGTGATCCAGAAACTATGTAGTAGCCAACAGTATTGTAGGGTTCCTTTATTATCAAATATTTTATTAGAAAATTAGGTATACACAAGATCAGTTTACAAGTTAAAAACAAACAGAATCACAGAAGTGATAAAAATACATAAGAGATTCTAAATGTTTTATAAATAAAACAAAAATTAACATATCTGTAAAAGTTGTAAACTGGAATTTCATTACATCTTAAAAATATATCATAGTTCTTTTTGTGGATATTCAACACACTTTCTCTTTTATAAATGGACAAAAGATTAGCCCTAAACTTACAATTGTATAATGAACAGGACTTGCTTTGAATTATAAACAGTCTGTTAAGTGGCTTATTTAAGTATCATATAAAATATACAATATAATAAATATATAAAATATACTGGTGTGGCTGGACTTTATTCTGATATGGCTATAATCTATACTGGTTTGGGTAAAATCTATATTAGCGAGGCTGGATCTTTTCTGGTATCATAAAACTATCAATGTTGGTAAAATATTTAATAATACAGCAGAACTTCAGTAAGTCAAAGTTGAAGGGCCTTGAGTAAAAACTTTGAGACAATTCGTAATGTTTATTTTCAAGGGCAATTTGAAAAATAACAGTTACAGCATTTTATCACATGTGAATGCATACAAGGGCTGTTAGAACATAAGACTGAAATTAACACCTGTCACACAAGTTGATCGGATATTTCGACTTGTGTAAAGGTTTTTATAAAGAATATATAGGAGAAAAATATGGGACTTTCTTTTCACTTTGACACATCGGGAAAGTTCGACTCATAGAAGTTCTACTGTATATGTGAATTTAAAAATGTAATAAAGTATAATGAGCCTACCTGGGTGTCACCATCAGTAGCTGACACAGTGTATACAGGTAAACCAACATTATGAGTCTCAAGTATGGTGGTCTGATAAAGGTTATTAGGAACAAAAGTTGGTGCAAACTGGTTACGTTCTACATATACTGTCAGTACAGCATCTCTTGTACATGGAATGAATCCACCATCACTTGCCCTGACTCGGATCTAAATGATAAAATGCTAATTACTTTCAACAATGGTAAGTATTTTAAATGCAGCAGTAATATACAAAGTTCTGAATCTCATACAAAGATTGAATAATGAGCTGAAACAAGACGATCCTGGATGTTATATTTGAGAGCTTCATGCAAAGGTTCCTAAATATGAAATATCCCAGATATTGGTAAAAACTGACTGTGCTATTGGGAAAAAAAGACATTAAAGGTGATGTATTCATAGAACCACCATCTGGCAACTACAAATTTGTGCAGCATAAAATGTTTCATATAATAATTAATACCCTCCTAATAACTTTATTAAACGGACCTGTATAATTTCTAGGAAATGTAAACGTTACAAATAATACTTCAAAGACTTCATTTATCATAATATTCAAAATATAGATCTCTAATATCCTTTCTTGAAAAAAGAAATTAATAAAGCAAATCTTTCTTTGATTATTTCATTAAGACATTAACAAGGTTCATCAGGAGCTTTTTGAAATGCCCCTCAAATAAATGTTAAATCTACAATGACCAAAGTAACACCAATGGTGATTTTAATTACTTTACTACTTATTATCACAGCATGTAAATCCTGTGGATTTTGTTGCTTTTTTTTTTTTTGTTTTTTTTTGGTTTGTTTTGATGTAACATCAACACAGTAGAGGTCATATCGGGACTTTCCAGCTTTACTGGTGGACGAAGACCTCAGTGGCTCATTTTATGCATTCATTCAAGTAAGAACTAACACCTGTGTAGTACTACTGACATTCGGTATCAAACTCTATGTAACACTTTACTTACTCTGTACAGAGATTCACTATCTGCTATAAGACCGTTTGTCTGCACATAAATGAATCCACTTGAATCTATTCTGAACAAAACAACTGCATTATCATCACCAATCAGGCTGTAAGATAAAGTGCTGAATCGACCCTGTCAAAATAATATTTAACTTGATTTAATTACGCAATTACTGAAAAACATACATAATTCATACATGTATTTTGATTTATTTCACAGAAGTTAAACTATATTTTGGATGCAGATAAAAAAGTCATGGACATTTATTTATTGAATGAAAATTTAGGCAGAAATCGCACTTTGTTGAACTGTTATCTAGAGCAGAAACTTTAACAAACTTTTAAATTGTAACAAAGTTTTAGAAAAAAAAAAAATCTCAACTGATTTTATCATTTTAAGATGTCACAAAAGCATATTGTTTCATGTGAAAAATATTAAGAATTAAGTAATAATTAAAACCTTGAAAAAAGGAAAATAGACTTAATAAATAAGTAACTTACAGTGGCATCAGCATCTGTGGCAGAGACATTGAAGATTCTCACATTAGTATTCTGAGTACGTGGGATTGTAATTTGACCGGGCAAGTTGTTAAATACTGGGCAATTGTTGTTTCTTAGTACAAATATCCTCACTGTTGCCTGGTTGGCACTTGTTCTCGAAGGAACACCAAGATCGTATGCACGCACAAACATCTAGATAATGACAAGATATTGGCTTGTTACTTTTTGAAGTGAATACATCATTTTCTATATACAGGTAATTTTACAATTTTACATTAGTTAAAAAAAGAAAAGAAAATAAGCAATTGTTATTTTTATACAGTTATGAAGTTGTTCTTTTCATAAACTACACCTTTAGCTATATTGCGTGTACAAAAATTGATGAATTAAAAGCCGCTACTGCAATTTTGTAAATTAAGAGACTTCAAAGATGTTTTAAAATTTTAATAAAAAATAAAGCTTTTGTAATTAAAGTACATCTTGAGAAACATTATTTTCTTAGTAAGCCATAGCTTTTAACTTACAGTAAACTCTGACTGTAGGAAGTTGTCTTCTCTAAGGGATCGTCTAACATAAATCACACCATCATCAGGGCGAACAGCAAAGTACGTTAGAGCATTACCAGAGTTTGATCCTACTGCTTCGTATCTTACAACATTGTGTGGATCACGTACATCATCATCGGTGGCGAAAACACGAATTATTTGTTCTCCAAGTATCTGGTCCTCAAATATTGTAACATTGTAATTTAGTGGATTAAACTCTGGGTTGAATAGATTTCTGTTTACTGTAACTGTAAGTATAGCCGTGCTTGACCTTGAAGGGGTTCCTCCATCATTCACTTGAAGTCTCACCTAATGAATGCACAAGAGAGCTCTATTTTACATTTTATTATTTTTTTTATAGGTCAAGACACTCTGACACAAGATAATTCAAGTTCTGCATGATGAGAAATGATCCTATATGCAGCTCTATGAACTATTTCAAAAACAGAGCTCACATCTGGATTCAAACATTGATTTGTCAAGAAAGTTGGAATCAACTTTAATCAATATATTAGTTTTCAAGCTCAACAAAATTATGAAGAATTTTGAAGAATCGTGATTCCAAGCTCTATTGCCTATGTATACAGACTGTAGAATTTTGTTTTCATACTTCTGAAAACATTTTTTATCTGTCTAATTAAGTGACTTTTCTAATAATGCAAGTTAAACAGTTTTTCATATTTCTTTACATTTCACATAATTATATTACAGCAGCCTCCTAAAAAATCAATATAAACAACTGACTTAAGTGAATTGTCAAGTTCTTGTATGCATATGCAGCAAAATATTATAGCACCAATATTTAAAAAAATGTTCAGTTTTCATTAAGATAAAAGAATAATGAGAGATTTTCATATTGAGAATGCCCCTTAATTTGGTGGCTAGGGGAGGTAATAATTGCTATGTGAAAAGCATCTATTAATAGAAATCTTACCTGGTATGAAGTGGCAGTGTCAAAGTCAACTCTGCTTGTTAAAGTAACATCTCCAGTGGCAGAATTGATGGCAAATCGACTTGGGGCAGTGTCATCTCCTATAATGCTGTAGCTAAGTGTATTGAATGGTGCCTAAAATACAGCATTATAACACTTTAAATTTGATAAAGTATGATAAAATGCTCTTTGAATTTATATTTTTCAAGGATAAATACAATTAAAAGGTCGATGAATATTCATTTTAAATTGAAGGACATAATATTATGAAAGAAAGGGTCAAGGAATTTATAGTTTGAATTTCACGAGATATACAATAAAAGGGTTGTAGAATTTGTAGTTTAAATTCAATGAGATACACAGTTAAAACAGACAATGAATTTTCCAAAATATATATAATAAAAGTGTCACTAAAAAAGAATTTACAGTTTAAAGACATACACAATATAAAGGGTAACTGAATTAATAGTTCAAAGTAAAAAATATGATAAAAGGGTCAATAAATATTTAGTTTAACTTCAAGGAGATATATGTCAAAAAAGGCATTGTCAAAGTATTTTGATCTAGTACATGTATCAATGGTCCTCGTTGACTTTACAAAAACTTCATGCAAGGCACTTCCACAATCCATGAGATCTTGACATAGAAAATCCACACAAGTTAAATACAAGTTTCAGATAAAATAAAATTAAAACAATAACGCTATTTCACAAGCTTACAATAATTAATATCACTATTTCACAAGCTTACAATAATTTAAGTTTACCTGTGTATCACGATCACTGGCTGTAGTGTCATAAACCAACTCTCCTACACCGAAATTCTCATCAAGTGTCCGGAAGTATGGCGCATTTACGAAGAATGGCGGGTTGTCATTTCCAATCACAAATATTGTGATGTTCACTTCTGCACCAGTAAGTTGTGGTTCACCCAAATCGTAAGCCTGTGCACGCATCTGGTAAAAATATAAAACAAGTTTATTACCTTACATCTTTAAATATAAAATAACGACAGAAGTAAGAGTGTAAGTTCTATTTTATGAGAATTAATTATGCAAATGATCAAGTGCATTTTTAAAAGAATATCGAATTTAACACTTAACCCTTTCCCCCATGAGCATATTGTGAAAAATGGCCGTTTTCACTGAAAAGCCTCCTGTTACAAGTTCAAACTGCTATGAAACTATGAAAAATGCTTCAATTCTAATCAAACTTGGTACAAATGTTGACTGGACCATTGCCTTTGTAACGACATGCTCAGTCTCTAATTTCCTGTTACCATGGCAACGAGGGTACATCTCAAAATTGCCAAAAATCACTATTTTGCCTCGATTTTTTCCATCAAAATGTATTTCAAAGGGCTGCAACTTTTCAAGGGATTGAGATAGAGTCAAAGGCTTTTCAGCGTTGGTTAAACGTTACATTATGATCGACCTGGGGTCATTTTTAGCCTCTCACAAGTCCAAAATTTTCTTGGCGATGAGGGGGACTCCGCCCCCCTTCAAACCCCCCTAACAGAAGGGGGCACATCCCCCTTCTGGCAACCCCCTGATGTATCTTTTGGATGGGGGGCGGCGCCGAAAAAGTGCTCAATTTTTTTAGCAACATTTCTCAAACGAAAACTTATGTTTGGGGCCCAAATAGGACATTTTTTCACTATTTGAGGCCCAAAAAAGGGTGGGGGTCGAAAGTGCATTGTTTCGCGTATATATGTGGTAAAGGGTTAATAACTTGGTATTTGCCAGGTTTTTAGATAACAAAGCAAAAAAATTATCGAACAAAAATGTAAATGGCAGAGAAGGTTGAGGGGCTGTGGCAAGAATCAAATGACAAATGCTTATCCTAAATAGTGAAAAAGTAAAAAAAATCTTCATAGAGGTCACTTATTCTTCAAAACTGTCAAATTTAAATCCATTTGTCAGTTAGTTTAATAAAGTTGAGCATGGACAAACACTGCTTTTTTTCTAGGACAAAAACAATAAAATAACACCAATTGCATCTGTATTGGGAATATCTACTATTTACATGGGTGCTAGAAAAACCTTACACCCTTATGTGGGCAAGTCGGGAGCTTTAAATGATGTCATTCCCACGCAGTGTTTACGAATGAATTGCATTGTTAGAATGACATCATTTTTTCCTTATGAAAGAAGTTGTAAATTCATAATACACTACTATAAGATAAAAGTCTAAAAAAAAAAGTTTTCGTAATTTCTTTCTGAAAAATGATTAATATGTCAATCAAACACCCGCTGTCGTCACAGACACAAATATCTAGCTCTTTGGTTACTGTTAACCAGAAACTCGGCAGAGCGTCGTTACCACCGTAAACAGTTACCTTCAAGCTAGATATTCAGGTCAGTACCAGAAGCCAGTGTAAGAAACTAATAAAATATAACTTACAAAGTAGAATGAAGCTTCACATGGGGCATATAACAAGGACCTGCGGAGAGACAGTTCTCCTGTTACAGAGTTGATCATGAAGCATTCCAAGTCTTCCGCATCTCTTGTAAGCCTGTACCGAACTGTATTGTGAGGAGCCTAAAATAAACATGAAATTACAGCAACCTATACAATACTGAAAACAAAGATGGCCTTTTGCATTATAAAAATTATGTATCATTTTTTAAATTTTCATCGATTTCAGTAGAATGATGCACTGCTATTGGTCAATAGTTGATAAATTATTTGGTTGAATATTTAATAATAGGCATAAGAACTGTTGGAATATAATCAAAATTAAAAGTTAGTTTAATAAAAATATAATTTCAACAATTAATACAAGATCAATAGCTTATCCTTTGAGGTGAAATTAAGTGAAGATTTTTTGAGCAATTTTAGGACAAAATGTTACCAAAGGATCATTATCGCGTGCAGTTGTAGTCAAGATTGTGTCCCCGAGGTTGAAGGTCTCGACGATTGTAGCTGTGTATGAGTTGTTGACAAAGAAAGGTGCCTGGAAGTTCTGTCTAACACTGACTTGACATACTTTGTATCCATAACGAGCAGGGGCACCCAGGTCACGTGCTTGTACACGAATCTGATGTAAAATATACTTCATATGATAATGAAAAAGGAAAATTATTTTGAAGTCTACAGCTTGCACTTGATGCAATAAAAAAATGGAAATTCTAAGATCCAACAATGAAAAAAAGCAAGACATACTATGTTGGTTAACAATGCTAAAAAAAAATGCATGACAAACAGCTAATTTCTCAAACTGATTTGTAGGATTTCAAAATTTTAAAAATAAAAGTCATCAAAATAGATTTTACACAACTATATTGACATAAATGAAGAAAAAAATGTTTAAAGCACAATTTTTTTCTTTAACACAATTGCAGATGAAATTCTTTGAAACAAAATGTGAAATTTTTTATCGTTTTTTTTATCTTTTTTTTTTTTGGGGGGGGGGGGGGGGGGGAATGGTATTTCATTAAATGTTCATAAGTTTTACAAACCCTGAAAAGTTCAGCACCAGCTGATGCCAGATTTCCAACAACACTGATTCGACCATTGACCTCATCTATTTCAAACAAGTTGACAGCATTGTCATCTCCAATTATGTCATAACGTATCACTCCAAATGGTGTAGCCTGAGCAATAGATATTCAATTATAACAAAGAGATATTCAATTGTAACAAATAGATATTCAGTTGTAACAAATAGATATTCAATTGTAACAGGTTAGCTTTTAAATCAATATTCTCTTTTCATTTATTTAATAATCTATCATTTAATATGCAAATGATATTCATACCAAGCTGAAATCTAACAATTTCAAAAATTAAAATTCAAACCAAACATTAACAAGAAAAATCGGGAATGGACCAAATTACTGTTCTATGAACTTATGGTTCAATACTTTTTCTTTCATAAAGTATTTTCTATGTATTTGAAATGTACATCTTGTAAAAAAATAAGGAATAAAGTTTAACTATGTTTTAACTAACTATACAAGCAAAACGGTGTTCACAGTTTGGGACATGTATAATTAAACCCCAAAAGATTTGGATGCTTTTTTAGTCAATAATCAAAGCACAAAACTTAGTACATGTGTAATAATAATTCACTCACATTACTGTCACCATCTGTTGCTGTCACAGTGGTCAAGAAGAATTGGTTATTGTTCAGTTGTTCCAATGTCACGTCACATGAAGCATCGTTAAACACTGGGCTAAATTCATTGCGAATTATATTTACAGTAACGAAGGCATTTCTTACAGCTACCTTTGGTGAAACCGGGTCATCGTCACGAAGAGAAACTTCAAGCTGTGTAATGAAAATAACCAATTATTCTTGCATAAATAAAGTTCCTTACTTAAGCAAAAGTAAAATGAATAACCAGGAGCTGATATAAAATAATGTTAATAACCACTTACACTAAAGCAAATTGAAAAATCATATGATCTCGTACAAATTCTATTTAAAACCACTTTAAAACAAAGTGAATAATCTTACATAAAAAAAGATCATTAGAATTGGTACCCATTGAAATTATATCAAAACAGTCCTTAACCTCATATGCTAAATATGAATTGTCAAAAATGTAAATGTGTTCATAATAAAAATACACAGCATCTGTTCAGTTATATTCAAAACAACGTTTTCTGTTTTATTATACTATATCCAGGACTTGTATCAATGAAATATTTTGTCTAGCAGTTCAATATTTGCCTTTTTTTCTTCTTCAACATTTAGAATTCATATATAATCACATTAAGTACAATTGCAGTACAATGTACATCAATTCTCAACAGTCCAGTCCATAACTAAATGTAACTTAAATGCATGTTAATAATATTTTTCTAAGCCAATAAAAAATTCTAATTTCAAACATTTAACTATAAATGAATATGCCTAAAATAATGTTCAAATTTATAATGTCTTGTATCAAAACTGATATTTCCTGCATGTTACTGATTCATAACTAAAACTTGTAAAAGGCAACTTACCACAAGGGTATCAACTGCGATCTGAGTTAATGATTTACGAACGTAGATAGCTCCGTTATCTACAGACACTCCAATGTATTCCGCAGCAAGACTGTTTCCGAAGTTGTTTACAGCATTAAATACAAGGGTATTATATGGATCCTTAAATAAGAAAATAAACAGTATTGAATTACATAAAAGGAATTAAAATTTTCATATTTTATGAATCCAGTACAATAATTTCTGGCTAATTTTATAATTATATGGTAAATAATAAAGAAAAAAAATGTTTTCTTTTATATTCAAATACCAGTTTAAATGGAATTTCAAAAGAAACGACCTAAAAAAAAGAAAAGAGAAAGACTGTTTAAAATTAACAATAACACTTTAAGCTCCTTACTGTGTAAATTCTAAAACAAAAATTTTCTTTCTGTGTAAATTCTAAACAAATGAATTTATTGTGCAAATTCTTAACAAATGAATGTCTATTGCGTTAATTCTAAACAAATAAATTTTCTTTACCCTAATATCTTGATCTACAGCATTCAGCGTGAGAATTGTCACTCCAAGCTCCTGAATTTCATTTACAGTGACCGTGTAATTCTGTTGGTTCCATGATGGGGTATTAAGGTTTCTTTCTACATCAACAAATACTGTAGTGGTAGCGGACAATCTTGGCGTACCCCCGTCCTGTGCTAATACTCGAATCTGGAGTGAACAAATACCTTCACATTCAAATCTGATCTATTAAATATAACTTTAACTAGAGTTACATGTTGTTTAGAAATAAATCTGACTGTAAATCTATTTGTCGACACATTTTACATCAATGTCATAAGTGTGTGTCCTTAGGTATAAGGGCTGAACTTGAAAATATTCAAAACAGTTAATTAACTGTATTTGTTTAAAATTATTTTCAAGCATTTGTATTACTGTATAGAACCATGTAAAGACTTTAATTAAAGCTGTGTTAAATGTGTTTTATTCTTTCAAATAACTCGTATTACCCAACACCTTCTCAAATTATTCTGTAAAATGAATAATCAAACATAATAATACTTGAATAATTTGAGTTTCATTTAATTTATAACAATACTCTTTCGAAGTTGTTAAAATTTTTCTTTAAACTCTTTAAAATATTAAAATAGTACAGTAAATCATTTTGAACCAGTACTGGAGGAAACTGATATACAAGTACTTGGTGTTGTCATCAACTTCATTTAAAAACATGAACCATTCTGTGGGAGCAACATGTGAACCTGCACCCAATATTCTCAAGCACTATAAGATTAATAGTAAAGAAAAAAAATTAATGAAAAGAAAAACAAAGTAAATACCACATAGAATGAATTAACTTCATTGATAAGTCCCTGTGAACTGGTGGATATTATTCCACTAGTTGGGTTAATGAAGAATCTGTTCTGTGAAGTATCATCTCCAATAATGGAATAGGTCACCTGGTTATAAGGGGACTGAAAACAAACAATTTTTATAATACAAATACAATCTATACATTAAAAAAATTTTGATTACATGTACACAACTTTGTCACATGGGATATCCATTTGATGTGAAATCAGATATACGTCTTGTGCTTACATTTGCGACATTATGTTTTTGTATATAATTCTTATAAATTGCGTAATTATTATAACCATAGTAACAAATCTGTTTAGAAAGTGCATTATGCTGTGCTGCTTTAATTGGTGTAGTACCACAAACAAAAACCAGTTTTAAGGCGCGGGAAATCTTAACTTATTTACAACATTACAACAAATAGTATTGCCATAATACAATGTGATTATTGAGAAGAGAATAAAACTGGAACATACCACAGTATCAGCATCTGTGGCATTAACATCAAACACTGTAAATCCACTGTTGACCGTGAACGGTATAGCTATCCTGTATGGGGTGTTTTGGAATACTGGAGGGAATAAATTCCTCCTCACGTTGATGGTTACTTGAGCATTCTGGAACGATGTCCTTCCACCTCCATCGGTGGCAATCACGGCAAAGGTGTATGGAGTAGTATCCGAGTTATCGTTGTAAAGTGGGATACGCACTCGGATGTCACCAGTGTTTGAATCAAGTTCGAAATATGTGTTCACCAGATTGTTTGCATTGAAGTTTTGGATAGAGTAAGTTATAGTGTTCCAGGGTGTCTGAAATATTCAAGTAAACATTAAAGAAAATTTGTAAAAACAATAATGAAAGGTACCTGTACACTGTTCAACATACCATAACACTTCTCACTGCAATATTACTTCAACTACATTGTTTTACAAGTATGTTCAATACAAGACACAAGAAAAGACACCTTCATAAGACTGAACTGCTTATACATGTAAATGATCAATGATAAGGGAAGTAACTTACAACTCTATCATCATCAGTTGCGGTTACTCTCAAAATAGGGAAGTTTGTACTCTCTGTCTCCAAAATGGTTTCTTCATAATTTCTGTCGACAAATTGTGGAGAATTATCATTTCTATTAATGTTGATTATAGCAGTAACTGTGGCACTTCTTGGTGGAGATCCATTATCATATGCAACAATTCTTCCAACGTAAAAATTTCTATTTTCTTCTAGGAGAGATCTTGCTACAGTAATTTGTCCCGTTGTACCATCAAAGTTGAAGTATGTGGATGTTCTGTCATCTCCAATCAGAACATAGGTAAGATCTTGGTTCTGGAAAAAAAAAGAGCGAAACTTTTTATAAAGAATTCAGAACTGTCTATTTTCAATTAGCAAGATGTTGATGATAAATCTGAGTAGCCAACTGTATGTAATATGTAATCTTAGACCACAATCCATGTAATAGGCTGGCAAGCTGTTCGTACTACTTGTATATTACTGACAAAGTCCTATGATTAACATTGCTGTTACAACAATTAAAGTAAAGATGTCAATCTTACTGGTAGCAGTCTACACGAACATATTGCTTGAGGCAAATTAAGTAAATTAAAAAAGAAATTAACTATTCTATCACAGGAACAATTTACAAGACGATTTATCTTTACATGGAAATACATTTTCTTAAGAAAACATTTTATGAACTTACAAGATTATCATTATCTCTAGCAGTAACTGTAAGGACATTTGTTCCAAGTTGTGTTGTCTCGGGGATGGTTGTTTCGTATGGTGTATTAACAAAGAATGGGTCATTCTCATTCCTGATAATGGTGAGGGTTACTCTAGCATTGAAGTTAGACGTTCTCGTTGGTATGCCGTCATCTGTGGCTCTTACATTAATCAGCACTTGACTGACCCCAATGGTTGTCAAGGAATCGCGTAATGTGAGAAGGCAAGTGTATGGATTGAGGTAAAAGTAGCTCTCAAGGTTGTTAGGTGGGTTAAAAACATTTGGTGCAGTTACACTTGTAATGTCACATCTTACTGTATGCTAAAATAAACATAATACATTTAAATCAATACAAGATGAAAAGCTACACATTGGACAATCACACAAAGTAGTGCTGCTATAATAATTAACCTTTTTGCATTAAATATACATTGTACTAATTTTATGGGTTTTATTTTTTTATTGTTTTGTTTCTCTGTGGATTTTTTTTAAATGGTAATTATTTCATATAAATCAAATATAATTATGCACATCATGATATAGGATATATACAGAAGTCAAAATCTATTTCTAGTGAGTAATATATGTATAGCATAATATTTAGTAACAACACATTATTTCATCACTTTACTTACCCCATCAGCATCAGAGGTTTCTAGTTGAACTAAACTTAGGCCAAGCTGATAATCCTCAGTAATTGTTCTTTCATATGCTTGATTAGCAAATACAGGAGGATTTGGATTTCTATTCACACTGATTGTAATATTTGTATATGCAATCTGACTTGGGTATGCAGTGTCATAAACCAACAAACCAAGCTGAAAAAAAATTTCTTTTTAAGGCTTTTTAAATTAAGCTTCCTAACCTTAACAATTACCAACAAGAGCTCTCAGTAGGACAGCATGCTAACTATTCTCAGTGCTTGATAGTAAATTGATACAGTGACCTCCTCCAGTCCACAGGTTGAGGTTATGATGATAACAAGAGTGCAAAGTTACAAAGTCATATGCAAATGGACTTTGAAACTATCTGAGGTGGTATGCAAACTTTAATTTAAGTGGTTACACCTTCATTTATCAACACTGACGCCGACGTTCGGAAGACTAGAATAGCTCTCATTCTTCCAATAGACAGGCTAAAAATGAGGATTTATTATTTAATACCTTAACTACACAAGTACATATGCTTTGGATGAAAGGAGTCAATATGAAATTCAATAAAATTGTTTAATAGTTTTTCAGTTATCCAAACAATTTTTTTCATAAGATATGTTTCACAGGTTTATTTGTAATGAAAATTCAAAATTCAATCATTATCATTACAAATGTATATTTATTATCACTGGGAAAATGAAATATAGAACTTTGAGTGTAAGTGACCAAGGTGTCACTAGGAAAATGAAATACAGAACTTACATGTAAGTGATCGAGGTGTCACTAGGAAAATGAAATACAGAACTTACAGTGTAAGTGACAAAGCTGTCGCTAGAAAAATGAAATATAGAATTTACATTGTAAGTGACCGCAGTGTCACTAGGAAAATGAAATACAGAACTTACATGTTAGTGACCGAGGTGTCACTAGGAAAATGAAATACAGAACTTACATGTTAGTGACTGAGGTGTCACTAGGAAAATGAAATACAGAACTTACATGTTAGTGACCGAGGTGTCACTAGCAAAATGAAATATAGAACTTACATGTTAGTGACTGAGGTGTCACTAGGAAAATGAAATACAGAACTTACATGTTAGTGACCGAGGTGTCACTAGGAAAATGAAATACAGAACTTACATGTTAGTGACTGAGGTGTCACTAGGAAAATGAAATACAGAACTTACATGTTAGTGACCGAGGTGTCACTAGGAAAATGAAATACAGAACTTACATGTTAGTGACCGAGGTGTCACTAGGAAAATGAAATACAGAACTTACATGTTAGTGACTGAGGTGTCACTAGGAAAATGAAATACAGAACTTACATGTTAGTGACCGAGGTGTCACTAGGAAAATGAAATACAGAACTTATATGTAAGTGACCAAGGTGTCACTAGGAAAATGAAATACAGAACTTACAGTGTAGGAGACTGATGTGTCACTAGGAAAATGAAATACAGAACTTACAGTGTAGGAGACTGAGGTGTCACTAGGAAAATGAAATACAGAACTTACAGTGTAGGAGACTGATGTGTCGGAAGCAAGGTTATTCCGTAACATAATATCACCAGTTGTTTCATTGATCATGAAGTAAAACGCAGCTGAGAAATACTGGCCAGTAAGACCATACCGTAATTGTCCCTGAAATCAGAGTTAACAATTATTTAGCATTGAATCTTTGCTCATATGACCATGTCTCATATTACAATTGTAAAAACAACCATTTTTATTCAATGAAATTTTTTTAGCAGAATGTTTTTAATGGTATATATAATGCAGTCAGTTATAAACATCTAAAAGTTTACAAGCTGTAAATGATAGAAGACAAAACTTGACAACATTCATTACTCTAGTAAGAATTGAGCATATTGGTAAAACTTTCTAGATAGCTTCTCAAGCGAAACACCTTAAATGGACTTGTCCATCTATTAATCTGGGCATAACCATTTTTCATTTTGAAGGAAAATATAAACTGACTGCATAGAGAACAATGTAGACCATGATCAGATGATAGGGATGTTATCAGCTGGTTTTGGTCTGCACTGGTCACATTGATAGATTATGTAGCCGTCAGCAGACTATGATTAAATAAAAGAGTTGAATATCTCTGAAGAAATTAAATTTCACTATAGAAATACACAGAACAAATAATTTTACAAATGTTTTCAACATGATAAATATAAAAAATATCAAACCTGTAGGTCGCCATCCCGTGCACGAGACTGAGTGTAAATTGTAGTTCCAGCAACAGCATTAAGGTTGACTACTGTCGAATATGGAGCATTGTTGATCCATGTAGGAGGAGCAGAACTACGGAGAACATTTATTCTTACAGTTGCTGTTCCGGTCTTCTCAGGCTGAGACTGGTCACGAGCAAACACAAGGAACTGAAAAAGATCAATTGTCCTAATTTTAAACTGCATTTCAAACTAGTCTTGTTGGCAGAAGACATCCGTAGAATTGAAAATTTATTTTCGAGAATGCTAAGCTTCTATCCAAATGTTTATCATTTTGTTCTAGATAAACAATGTTCATGTTCACATTAAGACCATGATTTTACTTGTAGCTGGCCAAAAGAATTATGCTCTTCAAGGTGGGAACTAGGAAAGGAAGCTATGGAAACCATTCTTACAATGGTATTTGAAATAACCTGACTGAGGAACAAACTCAAACACCTGTACATAAACAGTGATGAGAAAACTTACTTGGTATGTATTAAGTCCAGAATTAACAAGAACTTGTCTCAGTGAGATCAGACCAGAAAATGGTCCTACGTAGAAATTGTCAATCGGAGAACCAAACTGTTGCTGTTGTGCATAATAATATAATACATCCTGAAACAAAAAGAGATAAATCTAAATCCAAAGTCACTAGGAACAAAAACAATTATTATATTCATAAAGAATGTTAGTTTACTTTTTGAGCCAGCATTGCCTTTTGTTACAGATTTCAAAAGCAAGGTTACCTCAAAAGGTCATGGTAATACCACTTTGTCAAAAAAACAAAAACAAGTTGCCACTTAACATTAATATGCATATATTAGTGTGTGAGAGAGTATTATTAAGGAAGACTGTAACAAACTTTTTTAATTCTAATGTAACATCTGCAATGTGTTTAATGTACATGTCTGCTCAAGTTTACAAAGAATGGTAACCTACGAAAGGTCCTTATAAGCATTTGATACTCTAACACCTAAAAAACATTAAAAACACCCCAGTCAAGTCACTTAGTGACATGTCAGTTTTAAAGTGCGAACAGCAACTGGATTTACATTTATTTCAAACATGTATGATAATAAAGGAAACATGTTAGTTAACATTAATATGACATTGAAAACTGAGCTAATACAAGAAATAAACTTTGTACAGACTCATTATGAGATAACACACTTTGTATCTTTAAAATCATCAAAAACATGTACACATATATAGAAAATCCTTCTGTTCAGAACTTCATAAACAGCAAAAAGTTCATTTAGTAATATCAGACCAGCAAATGGTTGGACCTAGAAATTCTCAATCGGAGAACTGAACTGCTGCTGTTGTGCAGAATAATACAATGCGTAAGGAAACATTATAGGGAGATAATTTCATTTTCTAATCTTTACAAACTTACAAAGGCATCATTGTCATTGGCATTCAGCTGAATAATACTGCTGCCCAGTGGTAAAGACTCCGAGACTGTTGCTTCATAAATCTGTCTATCAAATGCAGGTTGGTTGAGATTACGCAATACATTGATGTTCACAGTGGCGAATGCTGTTTGTACACCAGATGAGAAAGAGCGTGTTGCCATCACTTGATACTAAATTTAAAACAAAAGAATTAAATAAAAAAGAAAAAAAAATCTCAATATATTACACTTTAGATTATTATCTTTGTTTTTTTTACAAATGCATAGATGTTCATGTATAGATGTCTAAAGAAAAAAACCTTTAAATACAAGGATATTACACAAATAAAAATCAGAAACATTTAAGCATTGTGACTCACTAATCAACAACATCTTTAAACAAAAATAAAATTTATAATAGAGTTAAAATGCTTTTCTCCTTGAAAGGAAAAGTAAAAAGAATTAAATTCTTTTCGTGATAAATACTTACGGAGAATCTTGTGACCTTATTTCTATCCAGTCGAAGGTCAGAGCGTACAAAAATATTACCAGTTGTACTGGACATGTTAAAGTAATCTGGACTATTGACGAATCCTGGGAAAGAGTATACAATGCCCGGCTGAAATTCATAAAATAATGTATGCAAATAAACCTGAATGATGATAATAACTGATAAAGGTATAAACTATTGTATGATCAAAGAATAGTTTCATATCTCTCATATAATATTACAATCACATATCATGGCATTACAATCATGTGGCATTGTAATTACATATGGCATTACAGTCTCATATCATGGCATTATAGCCACATATCATGGCATTGTAATTACAGATGTCATTACAGTCCCGTATCATGACATTGTATTTACAAATCTCATAACACTTTAATATCATGGCATTACAATCACTTGTCATGGCATTACTATTACAGATGTCATTACACTCTCATATAATGGCATTATAATCACATATCATTGGCATTGCAATCACATGGCAATACAAATTATATCATGTCATTGCAATATTACATGTAATGGCATTACAATCTCAAATCATGGTGTTAAAATTTTTATTTAATACATGTGTTTGATTTGCTCAATTTAGGCACTTCTATGCTTATGGATAACAGACATATGAAATGTTCTAATATGACTTGGATCCTAGGAAATACCATTATTTCTTTTAAATAAACTACCTTCATGCCATTGGAAACAAATGACTATATTTTCGATCACATTAAAAACTAAATGCATTTTAACATTATTCTGTAATTAGTTAAATTTAGTGTGAAAACATGTGACATTGAAAAATAATAATTTGAGGTAATTAATGAGGGAATATAACACTATCATGTCACCTTTTAACAGAGTTGAAGTTAGCTTCAAGTTAAGCTTCAAGGTAAGGATTAGAAAATCCAAAACTTAAAAAGTTCATTCTCAAATACAAAAATCTGATTTGAAGAAGAAAAAAACGAAAAAAAAAACACGACATATATAACCAAGGCAACAGTCAAGTAAAAGAGGTTAAAAACATTTTGACCATTTTACATATTGCAATATGGAATGAATCTTGACTTACACCTGGTTGAGCCTGGACATTCAGCACACTTGAGGCAACAAGAGCATTCTCAGAAATGGTCTCCTCGTAGTTAGAAGAGAAGAAGCTCAAGGTTTCTGTCACTCTATTCACATTAACATCCACAAAAGTTGTATCAGATAACTGTGGGAATCCCCCATCATATGCTCGTACTTGGATCTGGAAATAGATGTAGATATATGTACATGGATTAAAAGTATTTCGCTGATGATATGCACTGAAGTGTTACCTAAAATAAGGAACTTCGGGAGTTTGCTGTTATTATTTAAATATATATATATTAATTTATTTATTTTATGTAAATATTAATATAGACATAATGTACATTGTAAATGTAAAACTATATTTATACTTTGTCTGAAAATATGGTATACAGATATTTTCCCCCAGGACATTTGCCCCCACTCTAAAAATGAATCACTGGACATTAAAAAAAAATAAAATGCTAAATAACCATAAATATTGAAAATTGATGTCTGATACATTGATATCATACTTGCCCAAAAAAAAACAACAACAACATGATATATACAGTATTTCAATAAGGCATTAATTAATTGCAGCAATTTCTACTGAAACATAAGCTTAACACTGCATTAAACATACATAACCAAATAATCAAACCTTAAACTGGCTTCACATTGTCAAATAGCAAAAAAATTCATACTTGTATGGAGATGATCCACATCAAAAATCATGTGTATATAGTTATGAAAATATTGTTGGAAAACATATAGAATTATACTATGTTGTCATCATAGAGTATTGGTCATTTTTTTACCTCAGATTTTAACACATGATTTACAAAACTGTACAAAGATAATTAGGCAGGCTTTTTTAAATGACATTAATTTCTTAAAAACCAAACAAAATCAAAAACAAACAAAACAAAAATGAAAGAAAAAATCCTCGAGACTTTGATCATACCCTGTAGAAGCTTGTAACTGTGTTCTCAACTGAAGCCAGAAGTGAAATCCTCCCGTCAACTGGATTTATGTAGAAGAAATTTGGAGCAGTACCATCGCCAACTATTTCATATCGCACTGTATTTTCTGGTGCCTAAAATATTGTAAACACTTTCATTAATGAAAATTTCTTCAATACAAGATAAAATATGGATTATGCACCATATCTTCCCTTTAGAGTAAAAGCTTTGCTTAAGTATTAGCTGTTTTTAGGGGTATTTTTGTCGAGTGTGTATACTGAAAGGGAAAAGATGGGTAGATGCACAAACACAGTTTGGTCATAAGCTAACTTTTCTCAAACAAAAATTGTACTGTACTACATTGTACTTCACAATAGTTCACAAAATCACATGTAAGAAACCAAAGAATGTTTGGTAAATGGTTTTATTTCTTAATTTGGTACAACTTAAGGTTTAAAGTTTTAAAAAAATGACGGGTCAATATCAGAACTAGGTCAATATACCACTTAAATGTATTTGTAGAATATAGCCCTAATATAATTTACCTCAAATATTCAAGTGACATTTTGTTCTTAAGTTGATCTTTCATTGGGTTTTATTTACCTCATTAGCCTTTACTTAAGGCATGACAAAAAAGAAGACCAACAACTTACCGTAATATCACTATCAGTAGCATTTAGATCAACGATGAACGAGCCAGGGAATGTATTTTCTTGAATAGTCGTCTGAATGTTGTTGAAGTTAGTGAACCGAGGCGGGAAGGTGTTACGATTCACATTGATAATCAGAACTTCAGTATCTGTCCTCGATCCAAAGCCAAATGCAGAACTACCCCCATCTACAGCATATAGTCTCAACTGAAGAAGTTAGAAAATGTAGTTTTATTTCGAGGTTTAATTCATTTTTTATTTTGAGTATATTGTATAGTTTATTTGGCGTAAAATAGAAACATTCATCAATGGATCATGTTATCTGATGGAAAGTAATTTTAAACAATTTTTATTTTAACTGTATAGATTATTAACTAAAAACTATTCCCTAAGTTTTAATTGGATTTATTGCACCTGGAAAAAACAACTAATATCAAAATAACAAAATATGTGAAGTTTGTATAATTATTTTAAATTTCAAGACAAAACAAAAAGTAGATAGTTATTAGGCAACTGGGTTCTAATTCACAACACTGAAGCACAACTTTCAAAGTTGAACTGGTGGAGGAAAGTCTCTGATGCCCCTAAATTCATCATTTCTGGTTCACACAGACAGCCAAGTAGAACCAAAAACTTTACATTCAAGCATTTACATCTGCTCAAACAAGAGAATAAATAGTCTGCTGAAAGAGTAAATTATAAAAACAAGAAAACAGTACCCGATATTGAGAGGTAGTATCGTCAGCCAGGTCATTCACATTCCTTACACGTACGTTATAAATATTGTTGGTTACAGTTTCAACGTAGAAATATGTTGGTGCAAGGTCGTCACCTATTGTTGATACTGTTATTACATTGAATGGGCTCTAAAAAAACAACAGATATAACATTAATACACATTAAAAAATACTTCTTACTTCACATTTTACAGAATTATGATAATTATTTTAAGATATAATCATTCACTACTGAATATAATTTTTTTCCCATCCAACACTCTTGCCTTAATATTAGACAAAAAAAAGATAAGTAATTCATTTAGCATACCTGTGTATCTGCATCAGTGACAGTAAATCCGTAGATTGAAGTATCAGCATCTATATTTTTGTTGATGGTTGTACTGTATGGTGTCTGTTGGAACACAGGTGGAAACTGGTTCCTGTACACATTCACAGTTACTGTTGCAGTGTTGGTACCAGCACGGGAAGGTGTACCCAAGTCACGAGTTGTTACAGTAAACTGAAATGGAAAATTATGCAAAACCAGTTACAGTAAACTGAAATGGAAAATTATGCAAAACCAATCCATTAATAAAAACAAAAAATGTTTTTAAAGTTATGCAAAAACATTATGTACAATTATCCAAAGCTTTCTCTGCTCAGTTTGTAAGCTTCAAATTGAATGCCATCTGCATACCTTAAACTTTAAAATGAAAATGAACAACTCGTATTACACTGATGTTACTTGTACTGACAAAAAGTTGTCACACTGACCATCGATAGGATTATATTCCATCATACACACAGTATTGTTTATTTGTTACATTTTATTCAATTACATGTATTTATTTGGGGAAAAAGCTTGCTTAATAAATTAAAGTTTTAACGAGTAAAAAGTTTCATCATGATGAGCATTAACTATATCAATCAAGTTGCAAAAAACAGGCTTTGAGGTTATAAAACACTTTTCCAAGTAAAATCTCTCCCAAAATCTTTTAAAAAGATTTTTTTTATTGTTAAGTGAACATTTTGATGCAGTTTCCGCCCAATCAAATACCCGTGATCTGAGTTTGAGCTTAGAGAAATTCTTTATAACCTTTGACCTTGACCTTAGAGAGTTTCTTTACAACCTCCAACCCAAGTCTCAATGACAAACAAAACAAAAGCACTGCATGCGATGTTAATACTTGTCTGTAAAAAATGCTATTTTAAAAAGGTGCATAAAGAATAGTGCTTTCAGAATTATGCCCCTTGTCTAACAACTTCAACTTGTCATGAGAAGCAAGTATTCCAAGTTTCATGTCCATACCTTTTGAAATGTTTGAAAAATGGGCTACATTAAAGTTTTTATGACTTGATGACAACAAAAACAAAACGCTGCTGCCACAGCAGTAATAATAACTTGACTTTTTTATCGAAATAGATGACCTAAAAATGGGAAGATATATCAAGACTTCTGTGCATACTGTTAATGTTCAAGTGAATTGTTAAAATCAGTTTTAACTAAATCATCCATTATATGTAAAAGCAAATAAGTCATTATATTACATAGGGTAAAATAACACAAGACATAAACTTACTGTGTAGGCAGTGCTGTCTGTGTCCTGATACACAGGTTTCACAAGGGAAACTACTCCAGTGTTTGTATCCACTCGGAAATATTCGGCAGCACGTGCATTACCAACCATACTATACACAGTAGTATTATATGGGAACTACAAAAAAAAATTACAAGCATGTAAGGTAAAGTATATGCTAAAATAAAAAATTTTAAGACATGTAAGGATAAGTATACATTAAAAATTAAAAAAATATTAAAGTAAACTTATGATCTTACAAAAGTTGTCAAGCCTACATGTACAAATACATATATATATATAATTGTCTAGAAAATTGTTGACCTTTCTAACATTTCTGGGACAAAGTTGAATGAAATTGTATTTAAAAATTTTTAAATATCAATTATTGATAAAAAACCAGATCATCCTTAATTTCCAAGAGTTAAAATATTGATTTACAGAGCCTTACATTCTTTTGTTATCTAAATTTATCATTTTTATAATAAAAATTAGCAAAAAAATAAATCTTACAGCTGTGTCAGAATCGAAAGCCAAAACTCTTGTAATCTCGGCTCCAAGAGCTTGATTTTCTGGGATTAACCGGTCATACCGAGTTGGTGAAAATGCTGGTGAGAATCGGTTCCTTGTAATGTTTAGATATACCACGGTGGTGTCAGTCAAACTTGGGATACCTCCGTCACTGGCCAAGACTCGCACCTGTATTTGATTACACAATTATAGTTTTACATATAAAAATTACAAGATGTACTTTTTTTCTTTTCTGGGGTTAGATATAATGTCACACCTACACTGTTAAGGTAATATGGCAACATTCAAGCTGGTTTGTGGAGGACCGCAGGTGCCCTTCTGTGCATTAATTTAAGTTTAATTTACATTGAGAAATTCCTTACAGTTCTTTACCTACTATACAGTCACAAGAAAACACAGAAATTGGCAGGAGGTTAAAACCTATTGGTAACAAGAGCACCGCTAGGCGGAGCATTATATGCCCGAAAGTGATTTTTTTTTTTTAGTAAAGATGAAGAATTTGTAAGACATGGGAGTTAAATAAAGTATTAACTCCTTCCCAAAACAATCATCCTTTGAAGTTTCAATATCGTGGTCCAAATGGAACTTATGTTATGCCCCGGAAACTGTTTTCAGTTTTAAGGTCATAGTGACCTTGACTTTTGACCTTGTGACCCCAAAATCAATAGGAGTCTTCTACCTTATATGGACAATCATCCTATGAAGTTTGAATACTGTGGGCCAAATTGAACTTAAGTTATGCTAAAGAAACTGTTTTCAATTTCTAAGTAATAGTGACCTTGACCTTTGACCTTGTGACCCCAAAATCAATAGGGGTCTTCAACCCAATATGGACAATCATCCTATGAAGTTTGAACACTGTGGGCCAAATGGAACTTAAGTTATGCTCCGGAAACTGTTTTCAGTTTTAAGGTCATAGTGACCTTGACCTTTGACCTTGTGACCCCAAAATCAATAGGGGTCTTCTACCCAATATGGACAATCATCCTGTGAAGTTTGAACACTGTGGGCCAAATGGAACTTAAGTTATGCTCCGGAAACTGTTTTCAGTTTTAAGGTCATAGTGACCTTGACCTTTGACCTTGTGACCCCAAAATCAATAGGGGTCTTCTACCCAATACGGACAATCATCCTATGAAGTTTGAACACTGTGGGCCAAATGGAACTTAAGTTAAAGTTTAATTTACATTGAGAAATTCCTTACAGTTCTTAACCTACTAAACAGACATAAGAAAACACAGAAATTGGCAGGAGTTAAAATCTATTGCTTGAAAAAAACCAATGAAAAAGATTGTTTTGTCAACTATTTGTAAACTAAACACAAGATTCAATACTTTTTTCAAACTCTGTTTTATGTATGAAAACTACATACTAAGTTATTTTAAAAAAGGACAAACCTGATAAATTGAGGTACTGTCAGTACCAACATTAACGTTGGTCCTGTAGCTGATCATTCCAGTGGCACTATTGATCAAAAATAGGCTTGGTGCTACCTCGTCCCCAATTATAGAGTACCTAATAGAGTTAAATGGTGCCTGAAACAGAATATAAATACATTATTATCATATTATAAAACATTAAACAGCTGAATTTTTAAATAAATCCAGCAGTCAACCTTTGGGATATAAAGATAAAAATCTAATGTGAAATTGACAATAGAGATACTGCATGGATTTACTGACTGGTTTACTGCATGGATGTGCTTACTGGTTTACTGCATGGATGTGCCGACTAGTTTACTGTATGGGTGTGCGGACTAGTTTACTGCATGGATGTGCAGACTGATTTACTGCATGAATGTATTCTGGTTTACTGCAAGGATGTGCTTACTGGTTAATTGCATGGATGTGCTAACTGGTTTACTGCATTGATGTGCTAATTGGTTTACTACATAGATGTGCTGACTTGTTTACTACATAGATGTGCTGACTGGTTTACTGCATGGATGTGCTGACTGGTTTACTGCATGGATGTGATAACTGGTTTACTGCATTGATGTGATAACTGGTTTACTTCATAGATGTGCTGATTGATTTACTGCATGGATGTGATAACTGGTTTACTGCATGCATGTGCTTACTGGTTAATTGCATGCATATTCCTACTGGTTATTTGCATAGATGTGCTGCCTGGTTTATCACATGGATATGCCCTTAGTTCATTGCATGGATGTGCTAACTGCTTTGCTTTCATACTGGTGGTAAGGGCTGTTAATTTTTGACAAATATTGACGGTCTGTTTCGTAACAAAATATCATTCACAAAAATAAGGAATCTTGAAAAAAAAACTTCACTTTACTTTCAGTAAAAAATATTCTATAATTTATTAAAGTAACTTTAAGAGATTCTATATAAGTGTGTTAACAAATCAAGAAAATCTGCACCGGTATCTGCAGGTGTTCATTTAACATATATGTCTGAATGTTCTGGAGATTGTCAAAACAATGATGAAAATGTTGTGAAAACACAAAAACACATAAAAATGGCACTGTCAAACAATGCTGGAAAAAAATCATTGAATTTTACAGACAGTTTTGTTTGTCTTTAAAATAAATATTTCAACATATCTAAATAAGCATCAAACTTACAATAATATCATCATCTGTGGCCGTTACCCTAAGAATGTTTGAACCAGAGACAAAGCCATCGGTAATATCGGCCGAGTATGGTTCCGATATAAACACAGGTGGGTTGTTATTACGTTGAATGGTTATTGTTACGGGGATCAAACCACTTCTTCGTGATGGACTTCCTAAATCTTCAGCATATACATTGTACTGGAATAAAAATATTTTTGATCAGACTTATTTGAATATATAATGAGATAAAAATACAATTTTGAAAATATTTTGTATTACATTTATGCCTTTAATATCAAAAAGAAGAAAACCCCATTTCACTCGAAATACTAAGGAGATGCTTATAAGTTTTGCAGCTTACTTCAAATTGTCCATACAATAAAACTAAGGTCGTCCTTATTCAACAGATAAATCATTTGAAATGCCAACACCAAAGAAAAGCATCAAGTGTTTAATCATTGTTTAATCATTTATTCTTATTAAAGGCATTATCACTAAAATAATATCATAATTTGATAATTAGGTGAAAGATTATACACTTAATCAACTAATTAGATTATAATTAGATTAAATATAGTCTTGAAGGTAAACAATAATAAAGATATAACTTACATTAAAAGTTTCAGTATTTTCACCGTACAAGTTTGTATTCACATAAATATTGCCAGTTGTAGCCTCTAACCTGAACCTTGTTACGGTCTGGTCGAAATAGTAGCGTAAAACATTGTTTGGGTCCTGTAAAATATAAAACTTAATCAAATTCTAACTTTTTTTAAATAAAAAAGACGTATCTGACATTTAATCCATAAAGAAATATTTAAATAGCAAGTTTGATGGTAAGAGAATTATACTGAAAAATAGAAAATGAGAAATTTCAAAAAAAGATCTAAAACCATTAGACAAAATAATTCAAGTCATATCTTGGTATGAAAATTATAGTTATCATAGAGTATTCTTAAGATAAGTTCTTAAATAAATGGACAATTATTCATGTAAATAAAAATTTACATTAACATCCTGGTCAACAGCTTGTACACGTAATATGCTGGTTCCTGGCGACGTAGTCTCAAGGATAGTTGTAGAATAGCTTGTTGCGGAGAACTGAGGATCATTCAAGTTTCTGCGTACAGTAATAAACACTGTTTCTGTTGCAGATAGACGCGGACTTCCGTTATCTTGAGCTCGAATGGTTAACTGAAGTACATAATTACATTTATATTATTATTAGAATCATCATAACAAATTTTTAGTGTAAATTTGTAATTTTAACTATATCTAGTACTCTAAAAGCCATCAGTATCAACATTAAACCCTAACATCTCATTTTCCTTAGCACCAACAGCTCTTGTGTTCTTTTTACCCTCAACCCCTCTTGTTTTCCTTATCCCCAACCTTAAACCTCAAGATAGTTTTTGTGTTCCTTGAACCACAACAACAACACTTGTTTTCCTTATACCCCCCAACAGTTTTCGTGTTCCTAAAACCCCCCGCAGCTTTTGTGTTCCTTATCCCTAACAGCTTTTGTGTTCCGTATACCTCGGACAGCTTTCGTTTTCCTTAAACCCTAACAGCTTTTTGTGTTCCTTAAAGTGACATAATACCCATTAAAGGGTATATGATGAGTGAACTTTTGAAAGTCAAAATAAGTTTACATTTTACCAAAATTCCTTTCAATTTTATAATTTTCTTCTCATGAATGATTAATAATTTACACATCGCAATGGAAAAAGTCTGTTAATATGCAATCTTAAACTGTAATGTTCAATTTATAAAAAGAGTGTGGCAGTCTTTTCATATTTTAGACAGATTTATATTTTCTCCTTAACATTTTCCAGTCAATCATTATACGCTCGTAATAGTCAATCTTTGGAAATATGTCAATTTAGCTCAAATTGAGTATGAAAAAAATAGCATGTCACTTTAAATCCCAACAGCATAAGATTTCTCAGATTTAACAAAAAATATAAACAGTATTGCTTGTAGATATTATTAGCTGTAAAGATTTTTGGCAGGTTATATGACCCTATATAAACAGTTGTTTGGGAAAAATATTCAAACAACCAGTAATATTTGGCCATATAAGCGGTCAGAAATATTTATAACAAATTTATATTACAAGCAAGCATTTTTTTAAGAAACATTTTGTTGTGAATTTATATTAGATTTATATAAATCTATATTAACATCATGATAATTCAATGAAAAGCAACATAACAAACCAGCAGTATTATAATTTCAAAAAAATAAAAACAATTTGTGTTTACCCTGTATGTTGTAGTAGACTCTTGGATAACATTACGTTGGAGACGTACAGCTCCACTGTTAGGGTCAATACTGAAAGTAACTGTGGCCTCGCCATCACCAATAATGTCATATGTTATCACATTGTAGGGAGCAATGTCATTGTCACGAGCTGTAGCAGTAAAAATAGTTGTCCCACTTGTTTCTGTGTAGTCCATCTCTCTATCATAGGGCGTGTTAATGAATAATGGAGGTTGCATGTTACGAATCACATTGATTTCAACATTGGCAACATTATTACTGGGACGTAGTGGAATGCCATTGTCTGTGATCGAGACTGTAAATGTATACCTTCGTGTGTCAGAGTTGTCATTGAGAAGAGACTGCCTGAGAGTTACTGCACCTGTCGCTGAATTAACTAAGAAATACTGAGAAGCAAGGTTGTTGAAATTATCATTTAATGTGTATGTAATGACGTTATGTGGAGTTGAAACATCATCGTCCCTTGCGGAAATAGTCAGGATGATATCTGCAAGCTGCTGAGTTTCATCTATTGTTCTATTGTAAGACTGTTGTGTAAATACTGGATCAAACAGATTTCTGGTGACTCCAATCTGTACAAGAGCAGTTGCACTTCTTGCCGGTGTTCCACCATCACGGGCTTCTATACGTAGCTGGTATGATGAAGCTGAATCCAATGTAAGTTGTCTATTTACAGTTATATCTCCAGTTGATGGATCAAAGGCGAAGTAGGTCGTTCCAGGCTCATCTCCAATTAACCGCAGGGTCACATCTCCGAACGGAGAAACAGTGTCTGAATCATCCGCAGTTACCTTGATAACAAATTCACCGACTGCCCTCGTCTGTTCAATCTGTGCAAAATATGGTGCATTGAAGAACACGGGAGGAAACTGGTTTCTTGTTACTGTTATAAACACATCAGCATCTAAGTTGGCAGACCTTGAAGGCGTTCCAAGATCATATGCTCCAACCTGGAGATTGTAGTTTGGAGATGACTGAGTATCAAGAGCAATGCTTCTAGCTACATAGATCCAACCAGTTTCTTCATTTATGAAGAAGTATTCACTACCAGCGTTAGCCCGGAGGAAGTATCTAACTGTGTTATATGGTTCAATAGTATCAGCATCATTGGCCGTTACCCGAACCACCTCAGAACCAAGAACTCCATTATCAGCAACAGAGGCACTGTAAGTCCTGGGTTGAAATATTGGCGAGTTTTGATTACGATCAACAGTAACTACTACAATTGTGCTATTACTTCTGCTAGGAATACCGTTATCATAGGCTGTTATACGCAGATTGTACGTCACTTGTGCGATGTTTGCCAAACTCTGTGTGATGTAAATTTGGCCTGAAATTTCATTGACAGAGAAAAATGCTGGTGCGGTGCCATCACCAGTTAGCTGGTAACGGACACGTTCAAAGGTATTAATTGGATCTGCATCTGTTGCCGTTACAGTATATATACTCTGTGTTGTTCCAAAGTTTTCGTTTATTACCACACTGTATGGCAAGTTGATGAACTGAGGCGTGTTTTCATTACGTATGACATTGATAGTTAGAGTTGCTGTATTTTGATTAACTCTTCCATCTTGGTCTCCAAGGGTGACTTGAAGCTGTGGGTTAAAAAGTGAAAAAGACATGATAAAATATATATTCTATAATGAAGCTAATTGTTAAAAGTGTAATTCAAGTTGGTGATAATAAGATATTGGTGTTTTAAAAAAATATTTCCAAAACTGTTGAGCTTTTATTTAACTATTACGCAGTACAAGCATTAAAACTTATTAACTAAAAGCTTTGAAGTTCTCTTGATTCAAGCAAAAATTCATTCTTTATAATCTTAAAATGATTATTAGGTCCTTACAATATATTGGTTTCGAGTGTTGTCTGCATATAGGGCTGATCTAATAGTGACGACACCGGTTGTCTCGGCAACACTGAAGTACAGCGGGGCGGGATTATCACCGACTACTGTATATTTCAGGACATTGTAAGGCGCAGCCTGTAAAAGTTAAACACAATTTTGGTCATCAATATATGCATAGTTCATACATTCTGATCAAATACATCTGAGCAAAGTTACAAAATCAAATACAAAATATTTTATGTACTTGAAATATACTACAATAGTTAACTCCAACAATCCTTTCATATGCATTACAAAACTTCTTTTAACAAAACTAAAAAATACAAATGCCAAACTATGGTGTCTTTATAATGAATTGGTCTTAAAAATTTCACTGTACATGTACATTACATGAAACAAAATGTCTTCACACTTGAAACAGCACACCTTTAGAAGTGTTAAGTCAATAAATCAAACTTACGAAAAATAAAATGTATGTTTACCTGTATTCTGTAGTATATAAAAAATGCTTAAATATTTTGTTTCAGGAGAAACTTTGGATATATTATGTAACTAAATTCTACCCCATTATTGAGTTAGAAGAATTGCTACATATTTAGACAAGTTATAGTTAACTTCCGTTTCACTTGACTTGATATATAAGCACAGCCATGATTAAGTTACATTTCGTAAAAATAATCAGCATAACAATTAAGATGCTTTTTGGGGGTAAATACTTGGCACGAAATTGCCAATTAAATATTAAAAATAAACCAATTACTTACAACATCATTATCTCTGGCACCAAAAGTGAAAATATTGGTGTTGAAGTCAACATTTTCTAGCACACTGGTAGTGGCTTGATAATTGCCGAAATTAGATGGGTTGGTCCATTGTGGGGTGTTCTCATTCCTTGAAAGGGTTAGTACAACAACTTCATAAGCTGTTCGAGCTGGGACACCATTATCAGAAGCCATTACTCTCACCTGATTTTAAAACAATTCAAAAATTATTTCTCTAAATTCAGAATGTAAATGAAATAAAACCTATATAAAGAAATAAAATGTTAATCTGTGGTGGTGGTTTTTGTGGTTAACCCTCCACATCATAGCAGTAAGCCCCTTTGAATTTTCCAGAGCACAATTCCTCTGCCCTATCGATCCTAGGCAAGTTATCAAGGAGTTATCAGTACTAGTTGCCTTCAGTGTTGCAAGGAACTGCTGGTTACCTCTGTACATGCCAGAGCAAAGGTACAGTGTTAATGACCATAAAAAGAAATTCATGATCAATGACAATGAAAGTGGCCTGCACGGTCTGGGAAGCATACCAGGCTGAAAGCATTCACAATTCAATACTCTATACCAATGAATTATGCAAACCAGGCGGTTACCCCTGTGCTCACTTGGAATTTGCATCAAACTCTACAAGACACTTGCTGTGATCAGAATTGTTAAATAAAAGTTTGTTTATTTCTCAGAATAAATACAACTTAAAAGAACATTTTACAAAGAAAAAATATTAAGACAATATTTTTTTCGTTTGAGTGAAATATGGAATATATTTTCAAGAAACATGATAAAATGCCACACATTTTCACAAGCTGGGACAGCAGGTGAAACCATGTGGCATTTTATCATGTGTGAAAATATATAATATATACTATATTTACGAATCCTCATACTTGCTACGAAACTGCACAGTTATTATTGATTATTAATAGATGCGAGACATGGTTCAATACATATAAAATTTTTGTGTGATAGAAATACAGAGTATTTATGATGAAATTACAGACATATATGAAGGCTGGTCATATACAGGAAAATAAGCTAAGATGCAGATGCGCAGTCTGGTCTGGATCCATGCTGGTCGCAAATGCACTATGTTGGTTTTGTTGTGACACAGCTCATTAATAAATCATGGTAGACAAGATGAATGACTGTATAACATACCGTGTATGAAGCTTCCGAGCGAGCAAACAAGCTGTCTCTAGTACGGATGTTTCCATTCTGGTCAATGCTGAACAAAGATACTGCCTCATTATCACCAACAATACTGTATGATACAATATTGAACTGATTCTGAAAAGACAAAAAATATATAAATTGATTATTTCAAACTTTTCAATACTCATGTACACCAGAGAGAGAAAAAAGAGTTACAGAGAGATCAAAAGATTAGAAGAAAATATTAACATCAGGTGTTTATGGTGACATTATACTTGTTTGTTCATTGTTAAGCTAAATTGACTTTATATTTCAAAAGATCAACTGATTAATGGTGATTTACCGACTGTTGGTATTAGAAAATGTCTAGGATAAAATATAAATTTGCCTTAAATATAAAAAGACTGCCCTACTCTTTTTATAAACTGAACGTTACAGTTACATTCCAATGGATACTTTCAGAAATTTCCTTAGGCCATGTGAGTTATTTATTGTTTATGCCAAGTATATTATTAAATTGAAAGGAATTTTTTCAGAATGAACTTATTTTGACTTTCACCTTTCCACTCATTACATACCGGTACCCTTAGATGGGCATAGTGCCACTTTAATAAAATTTCAGTAACCATAATTAAACAATGTAAATTTTAAAATCTGCAAAAAAATATATATGTATAATTCTATGTGTCACATGTACACATTTTCAATTCTAACTCACTTGTACAAGGCAGATTTCAATCTTATTAATGTACACTCAAAGAATTAAAAGATTGCCAATAGTCACAACTTTAATAATTGTATATAAAACTAATTCAGATTTTCACAGGTTATATGGTCCAAATGTAATAAGCTTATAAAATGCTGAAAACCTATCCAGGACAGCTGAAAATCATGAATATCTGTAAAAAATTATTGACAAAAGAAAACCTATATGAACAGCTTAAAACCAATAATGCATAGCTGAAATGTAACTGTACAGTTGAAAACCAATCATGGGTAGTAAAACCAATCATGAACAGCTAAAAAAATCATGTTCAACTTACTGTGTCAGCATCTGTTGCCGTTACTCTGTACACACTGGTTCCTGAGCTAATACTCTGTGAAATATCTGTTCTATAGGGGGTGTCCTGGAACACTGGACCAAAGTTGTTACGAATCACATTGATTGTGACTGTGGCAGATTGATCACTCTGTAGCTGTGGAGTTCCTTGATCACGTGCAAACACAGTCATCTTTAATAAAACACTTAATTAATGTTAACAGTGTTGTGGGTCACACAATTAACTTACAGCTTTTACAGATTTAAAATTTAGATAATATGTTTAAAACAGACTCACACAAGGGAAATTCACCTTTTTATTGAAGAATGTCGTATAAAGGAAATAAAATCACAGTTCAAATTTCTCCATTCCTTTTGCTACTATCAAAATGATAAAGTGTATGAAAATCCAGAGGTTCGTACATTATGTATTAGGTCATGTTGGGTTATATATCATATCTCCGGTCACTTCAGGTTATATCATATATCAGGTCATGTCGTGTGAAATATCGGGTCATGTTGTGTGATATCATATCAGGTCATGTTGTGTGATATCATATCAGGTCATGTCGTGTGATATCATATCAGGTCATGTCGTGTGATATATCGGGTCATGTCGTGCCATATCATATCAGGTCATGTTGTGTGATATCATATCAGGTTATATCATATATCAGCTCAAGACAGGTTATATCATATCAGGTTATGTCAGGTTATATCATATATCAGCTCAAGTCAGGTTATATCATATCTGGACATGTCAGGTTATATATATCAGGACAAGTCAGGTTATATCATATCAGGACACTTTAGGTTATATTTCATGTTTAAAGATATCAGATCAAGTTATAGCATTCATTTTATAACAACATATAAGGTCATGTCAGGTCATATCATCTGGTCATATATGGTATATCAGGTCAAGTCAGTTAATAGACTGATCTTAAGTCATGTTAAAACATTTATATCCAGCCATGTGAAATAAGTATATTATGTTTCTTATATTAAGAACTATACTATATGTTGTCATATCATGGCAAATGTAATAATATGTCATGTCAAACCATGGCAACATATATCATTGTTTGTCATGTTAAATCATATGCCTTAACCTCATGCATCAATTCAAACATTACTATCATATCACATACTCCTATTCATATATTATATCACAGTTATTTAGAAGACTTACAGTGTATTGATTATTCCCTGTATTGACATCATTCTGTAGTGATTGCCTTACAGAAATATCTCCACTAGTTGGATTTATGAAGAAATATTCAAGCGCCCTCTGTGTGCCTGTTGCAAAGTATTCTACATTGTTGATGCCACCCTGTAATAATATTAAATACCATAAGCACTTTAAAAAAATGCAGAATATTTTCTAAAACCTTTATCAAACAGAAAATAGGAAATAAAAAGATGCTTGAAAATGTTAAAAAGACATACATTTAGTTAAATGCAAAAAACGGCCTGCCAGTAAAGCCATCAAATTTCTGTTTGCTGGATAGCTTTCTCAAAAATGCATTGTCCGCTGTGAGATTCAAACAGCCATGATGGTCCGAGCGTTTCAGACAGACAGCTTCACTACATGGCCATAGGGCAACATCTATTGTTCTGATATGACTGACTTAATAAATTTTATAAAAGCAATTGTTACAAAGAACTCACAAAGAGAGCATCTGGATCAGTAGCTGTGACTTTTTCTATTGACAAACCAAGAGTTTGAGTCTCTAGTATGGTAACTTCGTAATTACGAGGCTGGAAGACTGGTCGCTCATTGTTACGATTGACATTTATTATAACGGTCTCAGTGTCGTATAACCTCGGGATACCATTGTCGTACGCTTGTACTATCAACTGAAATTAAAACGCTAGAATTTTTTCTTCATCATTTACATTTAAATGTCAATATGCATTGTAGCTTTAAGGAATTTTCTGCAGAATGTATTAACATTTATCTAAATGATATATTGTTTTGTACCACTATTTGAAATACTTATTAAAAATATGCCAGATGTAGACAAATCCACTTTAAGATTAGAAATTCTAATGCACTGTCACTAATGCTGGGCAAATCCATGACACAAAATCAGCAGGCTAGGGATTAAAATGGCTTATTACAAGTTTTAGTGATACTTACAGTATACTGGGTGACTGTGTCACTTGCTACACTCTGTCTAAGGGAGATCACACCAGTTGTAGCATCAAGGGTGAAGTAGTTCGGGGCCGAATTAATGCCTACAATTTCATAACTCACTAAACCGAAAAGCTGAAAACAGATTCAAGTTAACAATATTTCTAGTTATCTTCATATACACAATTTAGCATTCCTCTAAATATTTAATGCAATTATTTTTACATTATGTATTACAATTATTATTTTTACTTAAAGCAGCTAAAAGGCTTAAAAATATAAAACTTGAAAATCTCACAAATATCAAGTAAAGCACTTAAAATGGAAAAATCCTCAAAGGATAACACAGAAATATACTCAAAATCAAACAACAATAACGTTAAAAGAAATTATATAAATCACACTCCACTGTCAAATTGGCTTTAAAACTAAATAAGAAATAACAATTTATATAAAAGATTTTAGAATAAGTTTAAACAACATACATTGTTTTGACTGTTAAAGTCAGCATCTGTTGCAGTCACTGTCAATATATCAGTATTAAGTCCCTGGTCTCTGTTGATAGTGGTTTGGTATGGGGTACGTATAAACTGAGGAGCATTGTTGTTGCGTAAAACATTCACTGTTACTGTAGCTCTTTGTACAGTTTCTCTTTCTGGGGTACCAAGGTCATATGCTCTCAATGTAAGCTGAAAAAGCAAAGCTTTTACTTAAACAGGAAAAGCAAAAGTTTTTACTTAAACATATAACTACAAAACAATGTCTTCTTTTCTAAGAAGACAAAGAAAGATGCGATTTAGCGAAGCATCATTATAATTTCCCTGTTGGTTACTTTTTTCATAGTTTGTTAACTGTAGTACAAGATATATTTTAAGATTTACATTACTCAAGCTCTTATATCGAGACTGTATAACTTTAAACTGTAGACAACATAGACATTTACCATCTTTTATTTGTACATGAGCTCGTGCTATTTTGAATTTAAAACGGTCAACGGTCAACTATTAATGCAAGGGAGTTCACTCTCAAAATGATAAATCTAGCATCCGGGGCTGCGTTTCATGGCATGTCCCATGTCTAGAATCAGTCTTAGGACCAAAACCAAGAGGGAACATTTTTCTTTTAGATGCAAAACTAACTTATGATTCCTATGTTTAGACTCCTAAAATTTCTGAATAGCAATGCAGATGAACATTAACACATTGCAAATTAAAGTATGTAAAGATATATTTCTTTTTATTTCTCAGAAGAATGAATGTAATTGAGTTGAAGTCATTGGCTTAAGATAAAAATACTCATTGAAACAGACTCAAGATATAGCTGGTCACAAGTCCTAGGACATAGGACACACTTAGGACTTTCTATTATTATATAGCTGGTCACAAGTCCTAGGACATAGGACACACTTAGGACTTTCTATTATTATATAGCTGGTCACAAGTCCTAGGACATAGGACACACTTAGGACTTTCTATTATTATATAGCTGGTCACAAGTCCTAGGACATAGGACACACTTAGGACTTTCTATTATAATATAGCTGGTCACAAGTCCTAGGACATAGGACACACTTAGGACTTTCTATTATTATATAGCTGGTCACAAGTCCTAGGACATAAGACACACTTAGGACTTTCTATTATTATATAGCTGGTCACAAGTCCTAGGACATAGGACACACTTAGGACTTTCTATTATTATATAGCTGGTCACAAGTCCTAGGACATAGGACACACTTAGGACTTTCTATTATTATATAGCTGGTCACAAGTCCTAGGACATAAGACACACTTAGGACTTTCTATTATTATATAGCTGGTCACAAGTCCTAGGACATAGGACACACTAAGGACTTTCTAATATTATATAGCTGGTCACAAGTCCTAGGACATAGGACACACTTAGGACTTTCTATCATTATATAGCTGGTCACAAGTCCTAGGACATAGGACACACTTAGGACTTTCTATTATTATATAGCTGGTCACAAGTCCTAGGACATAAGACACACTTAGGACTTTCTATGAAACACAGACCAGGAATAAAGCGTAGGCAAAGTGCATGAATGGCCAGGTTAACCTGCCTCTATATTGATGGCAGGCAAGTCTTCTTAAAATAACATTATCTAAAAGGATTTAACACATTTAAATGTCAATATGTAGAAAATAAAATGGTTATTACTGTGTAAAAAGAAGGATTATTGTCATCGTTTAACAGAGACTGACGTAGACTTATATCCCCATTTGATGGATTGACCTGGAAGTAAGCTATCGCATCAACTTGTGTATTTATGTTATTGTAAGTTGCCGACACTAGACCATAATTCACTACATTGTGTGGTTCCTGAAAAATAATATAAACATTAAACATGAATTAGATCGCTGTAAAAAAAGATTGAAGGAATAGTGAACAGAAGGACATCATTATTAAGGGCATATTCTGCGATGGAAACAATTTTTTTTCTTCTTTGGAAAAGGCTCGCAAGAGTTTTATAACATTTCAATAATGGTTTTAGAGCATGTTAGATGATGCTCACCTGAATAAAGTAGTACTTAATGTAAAATAGTCATAAAAGTAGCAAAATGTAAACAAAGTCGTATTTCACATCCATACAAATTATTTGTACTAATTTCCTAACAGCAAAAGAAGAAGCAAAAATGGTTCAGGGTTATAACTGATAAGAAATTACTTCGCCATTAACAGGGCACCAATACTGAAAGCTTTGAGAATAAAAATTAAAGCGTTTTAGGCCATAATGGGCCTTTAAACAATATCATTGGAATATCAAATCACCAGTGAAACAGGACATTTTTATTACCACCAAAATGATGACAATGGACATTGTAAAATGATTTGCCAATAAATATTTCTAATCTTTAAATTGAAAAAATATAATTCTCACAAATTAAATTGGGCAAGGGATCTCAATCCCCTTTAGACACATTATGTTGTTTTCATTACCTGAGAATCAAAGTCATTTGCTTGAACATTAGTGAAGGTGACGCCATAAGCTAGAACTTCTGGTATGGTTACAGATTTTGAGGTGTCGACCCAAATTGGTGCCTGGAAGTTTCGTTGAATATCTACTGTAACAACAGCAGTGGCTGATCGAGCTGGGGAACCATTATCTCTAGCCAAAACTCTTACCTGTAAAAGTAAAGTATACACAATCATGTTTTAATAATTTACGTTTCTAAATATTTTCTACTCTTGTAGACAAATATTTTTCAGCTATGCGCATTTTAATTAGTGAAATTTCTTGCATATGCATTATTTTTTAGGCAGTTTTTTCATTGAGACAAAAAGGCAAACGTCCCATTGCCCCTACAAATTTCTTAATAACCTTATTAAATATTAACAATACCTTAATGCACAGTGAATTTGCCTATTTTTATTTATCTTAGATCAGACTTCATTAAAGACATACATGATTCCCTTATGTTGTAATGTTCTATTTCAAAATAAATTGATCCTTATTGTTAAAGTAATACATTAGAAAAAAATCAGTTTCCCCAATCAACACCCGCAGGGGCTGGAAATTGGATACAACCACCAACTCTTCTTTCACCAGCTGAATGTCTTTCTCATAAGAAAAACTCCCAATATTCCATGAAGGTCATTAAAATTTAAAATGTGACAAAATGTAAAATAACTTACAAAATATCTGTCCTGGTTACCATTTGCGAGGTTGGATGTAACACGAACTTCTGCACGTCCGTTTACACCTACATTTACAACACCAAAAAACGTAGGTGCTGGGTCATCGCCAATTACTTCGAAAGTTATCTGATTAAACTGTGCCTGAAATAAAAAAATTTCCAGTCTTCACATTTGTTTAGGTTTAAATAAAGAAAACTTAAGAAATTTATCAGCAACTGTTTTTGCAAGAAATTTATTTGCTACTGTTTTGCAAGAAATTTATCAGCTATTGTTTGGTAAGAAATTCATCAGCAACTGTTTTGCAAGAAATTTATCAGCTATTGTTTGGTAAGAAATTTATCAGCTATTGTTTGGTAAGAAATTTATCAGCTATTGTTCTGTAAGAAATATATCAGCTATTGTTTATATACAACGGATAAAAAATCTCAAATTTATTCTGATATCGTACACTTGTGTCCTGATCCTGGGCGGACACTGTAACGACTGACGAGCCTATGTTTGCCGTTTCCAGGATGACCTGATAGTAGCTCTGGTTGAAGAACAACGGAGAAAACTCGTTTCTTCTGACATTGATAGTAACAGTCGCTCTTTCAGTAGCTGTATTCTGGCTCGGCTGACCTTGATCTCGGACAGTCACCTCAAACTGTAAAAAATTCATATACACTATCCATAAACATGAAAAGCTAAAGCATTTAAGAGGTAAATGAAAAATCTTGTCCTTTCATTTTTTTCTTAAGTCAAGAGCTAGTTTGTTCAGTATATTGAAAATGTACTGACTTATAGCTACCCAACAAGATCTCCATTTCTTAACCAATGCATGCCCAAATTTTCTGAAAATATTAAAAGATTGTCTTGAAACGTCTCAAATTGTACAGAAATCAATAATCTATCACTGAAGCTAGCCATTTTACATGCATCTACAGTATTTTAAACCTGCTGTTTGATTAATTAACATCAAAGCCTGCATTTTAAGTAAAATTGTGAATCCATTAAAAACAATGTCTGATTTACCGGCATTATCATGTGGAAGCATAGTTTATTATTGATTTTCTATTTTACCCAGATACAAATGAAAAAAAATTAACAAAATATATTACCGTAAATGTATCAATGTTCGTATTGACGAGGCTGCTTGTAAGAACCAGAGATCCGGTGTTTGAGATAGAGAAGAAGTTTGCAGCATTACTATTGAGTGATACAATGGTGTATATAAGTGAGTTGTGAGGCGATTGATTGTCCGAATCGGTGGCTGCCAAAGCAAGAATTTGAGATTGTAGCGGGAAATTCTCATCTATTGTTTGTGCGTAACTTGTTCTTGTCCAGATTGGAGTGTTCAAATTTCTATTCACTTGAACCACAGCAGTGGCTGTGGCAGAAAGTCCACCAGAATCAGTTGCAACTACTCGCATCTGTCAATATAAAATTTTCATCATTAGTTTCATTACTGCAAATATCTAAAAAATCACAACTAGGTCATGCTGGTTAACTAAGAACATAATTATGCTTTGTAAAATCAACTCATTTTTACACAAGATCACTGGACATCATATACAGTTTCTAAGTGTGTCAAACTAAACACATCAAAATTGTTTAGATCCGAGTTCAAGCAAGTCACATCAAATTTTGTATTTTAGTAACCTTTGATTGGAAAATACAGAAAAACGTACGCTGTATGAAAGAGCACTGTCTGTTGTTAGTTCCCTTCTTACTCGTAATATTCCACTTGCAGAATCAATACTAAAGTAGAATGAACCAATATCGAGAAACGTCATTGAGTAGGTCACTGGTTCAACCTGCAAGGAAAAATATAATGTTTGTGTGTACTAAATACACTAAGTTATCTACCAGCAAACTACGGTACAACCATTTCATTCTAAAGTGTATCACAATTGGTTGAACTTTTTCAGCCAACATTTTAAAAAGTTTTGATTTTCAATTTCATTTATTTCATTTTGTTGTTGTATTTTTGGCGTTTTATTCTGTTGTTTTTATTTTAAAATCAAGCAGCTTTAGTCGACTAGTTCTACTGAATCTATAAACAGGCTGATGTGGCTTTATTCTTCTTGGTCATACATGTCCTTGTCTAAGATTGTCTATGAAGCTAGTTAATGGCTGTACTTCTATCATGGATTGATAATTGCTAAAAATTGCTTTGTTTTTAGCACAAATAATATAAAAAATATGCATGAATGAAAAAATATTTTTTTACAATTTCTACAGTTTTCTGGGGTTTTTTTTAAATTTTAGCAAATGCTAAAATCAATGGATCTCATCTAAAAATAAATTTTTAAAGAAACAAAATCAGACTTAAAGACTAAGTTCAAAAAACGTATGATAAAATGAGTGAGACTAAAAAAAGTGTTGGAGCACCACACTAACTACCAATTTCCAGTATATACCGGACACAGCGCTTGAATGATTAAATGCTAAACCTCTCTGTTTTAACTAACAAAATGCACTTTAAAACATCAAATTCATCTTTTCAAACTGATTTATAGAGATAATGAATGAAAAATGTAAGAATCGGCAAAAAAACAATATTTTTCTACATTGTGATCATGATTTCTGCAAGCATCTAGGTACTGCTCCAACACTGTAGTGAGTTAAATCCTGATAAAATACCTGTGAATCCGAGTCCTGGGCTGACACTGTCAAGACACTGCCACTTGGAGCGAGGGTTTCATCCACAGTTGCAAAATAATTACCATTTTGAGTGAAAAATGGTGGTCCTTGGTTACGAACCACAGTAATCCTGATAGTACCAGTATCAGTCCTAGGGTTTTGATCGTTGTCACTAGCTCTAATTGTTAGCTGTAAATGTATACAAAAAAGTTAGTTTCTGTACTGCTTTTCATAAACTTAGCAAGGAAACAATTTAAAATTCTTTTTTTTTATTCTAAATCCAGAGTTTGTATCAGTTTCGATCAAGTGAGGTCTTTAACAATGCTATTGTACATAACTACAAGGTAATCCTGCAATTAACTACAAAAACATTTAAAACATACTTCATTTACTAATGATTTAATCATTTTAAAAGAAGCCATCTTACTGTATACGGGCTGCTTGTATCTCCGAGGACACTTCCCACAAGGAACAGTCGCCCATCATATGGTTGCATGGTGAAGAGATTCGAACCCGACGTGGGAAAGACATTTTCAATCGTGTAAACAATCCCTGCACCCTGTATTAAACAAGACCAAGTTTAAACATAGAGACAAGATATACCAAAATAAAAAAGGTGGAATAATATAAACATGGGCTCAAACATAGGCTCAATTGTTAGAACAGTTGTAAGTACTTTAAAACACTGTATCCAGGAGGAGAGGATATAATCTACTTAAAGCTTTGATCGAGCAAATGAAAGACTCAATTACTTTTAGTTTTGTTATTAATATAACTCAAGGCTCAAGAGTATAATTTTCAAATTTCAATACAAAAACTACCTTATTTATTACTAATACAGGTGTTTAATGAAATATGTATAAATATGTATATAAAGATGGGAAGTTAATATCTATATCAAAATCTATCCATTCTTTCATCACTGGGATATTATACATTGTAGATATATTCAACGTACCCTGTTGTTGGCTGGATTATCATTATCTGTTGCTGTGACTGTTGTTAAAACTCGGCCAAGATTTGTTGTTTCAACAATACTGAAATCCGTGTCTGGTATGCTCAAAACTGGAGAAAACTCATTAACATTCTGTAAATAAAAAACTTTGAGCTACACTTTGACCTACCATGACAATGCTTATTTCATGTTAAAAACTGAAATGATGTTAATTTCCAGAAAATTTGCTGTGTACTTTTTCATGATCATATCTCCTCAAAAGTATTCAAAATGCTTACTTCATTTTGAATGGAAAAAAATCCAAACCTATCTCAATTTTAACAAATTATCAGAACTTGATGTTTTAAAATCAATCCAAATATGACCTATTTTTGTTTGGCTTAATCCTTGCTGAATTTTCAATCTAGAGTAACTAATAGACCTGCTATGAATTAAACTCTGCTTGTTCAACAGAACATATCCAAGCATGTGTTTGCATTGTGCACATTTCAGTCAGAAATTCTCCCTAAAAATAACAAATGGTTTTGCCCAGATTAAAAGATCAAGGCATCTATTATCTATATTTAGAGATTTAAGGGAGTCAAAATGATGCAGTGAAGCAGCAATAGTAGTCCAGTTGAACTGACCAGCAGGTCAAGGATGTTGTGGCTAAACACTGGTGCCATATGTCTGTCATAATCAATAGTATCAAAACATTTGTCCTTACCAGAACATTAATAAATAGAGAAGCACTGGATCCAGCAATATTGCTATTTTGTCCATCAGATGTTGTCAAAAACAGATTGTAAGTTTGACGAGTCTCGTAATCAAGATTTCGTTGAACTGTAATACGTGCAATTCCATTCGAGTTCTGCACTGCAAAATCTTCACTGTTTGTCCCGGACAATATGTACACGATATTTGGAGTACTGTCTCCATCAATAGCCTGAAAAAAGCAACAAATTAAGTCTAGAAATTGATTGATTTTGTTTGTTTTTCTGCAGGAAAAAGTCTTACTTGTTATTCATGGAATTATGCAAGTAGTCTACTATAAATCTAACATGATTTTTTTTTGAGAAGTTGTTCTTACGGCTGTATGCAAAACATCTGTTTAGTATCGTGAACAAAGCAAGACCCCCTTTGGTAATATACATATTCTCATTAGACATGGCTATAGACGATATTGACTGAATGAAGGTTCAATACTGAATTTATTCAAACAGGGTGAATAAAATTACATCAAATCAGCCTCTGGCCAGATTAAGAATTTTTTATTCAACAAGTTCAATAAATTTAGTAATGAACCAACACAAATATTCTATTTATTACATATCAAAATAAGAACTATTTACAGTTAAAAAGAATCACTTTTTCATTAATGGGATAACAGGGTAACATTTAGCACATCTTTAAACCATGTCAATCAAATGTTTATACACAATTGTGCAATACCTTTTTTAAGGGGTCACAAGGGGACCATGGGTAAGTCAAATCAATAATTTTTTTTTTTACGAAAATCAGAAAGTATAAAATAGCAATCATTAACTACGTACTGTAAGTAAAGCAACAGCAGTTCCAATTGGTACATTCTCATTGACAGTCTCGGTTACACTCGTTTCAACAAACAACGGCACTTGATCTTGTAAATCATTGACATTGACAGTGACAGTTGCAGTTCCGGTTCTCCTATCAATAGGACTGTCTACAGCCTCAACAATGAAGACGTACTGACTTCTTGTTTCATAGTTCAGTGGTGACAATGTGGAAATCTCTCCGGACTGTGAATTGATTGTGAATGGCAAGCCTGATTGGCCGAAAGACGACACTTGGTAGAATACTTGTGAATTTAGAGTATCAGCTTGGTCATTGTCTCTGGCCTGCAAAATTAAGAATTGTACATTGAATTGAAAATTTTCTGTCCACAGGGTTACAAAGACCATATTTTGAGCAAATGTTTGTCTGCAAGGAGTCCCATCTGCGGGTTCTGTGGCTTTTGAAAAATTTGAGTAAGCGTACTGTATGTTCATTTATTTCACAGTTTAACTATACATGTAGAAACCAAACACATTCCAAACTCTCAATTCATGCTTAAGAATTAAAGTAATTTTTTTTTTCATTTTACTTTCACAATCAATTTTAATAAGAGGAAAACAGTCATATGCCATGTTTGCTAGAAAAGGATCACTATACTACTTCTTTACTAAATCAAAGGTGAGCTTATTACATGACAAAGATATTTAAAAGATTGCCTCAATGCTGTGTACTTTATACTTACAGTCACAGTTCCCACGGCAACATTATTTGGCTCATTTTCATTCACTGTGAAGAAATATGGAGCATTGATAAAGAATGGAGAGTTGTCATTAATGTCTGTGATTGTAATACTCAATGTCATGGTAGCTGTCTGGAAAGAGTTATCTCTCGCTGATATTTGGTAAACATAAGCTGGGAACGATTCTCTGTCCAAAACCTTCGTCTGCTGATTACCAGAAACAGCACGAATAGTCACCAATCCACTGAAATACGTATAACACATAGTATACAAAATGACTAACCAATACATGTCTTAGTTCACCATATCCAGTCATTTTTGTATATATACATGTACATCCTTATAAGACATGATCTTATGAAGTTGGCATTGATGCCAGAACAATTTGTAAAAATGTTCAACTTAAAAACTTGAATTTTTTTTAAAAGTTTGATTTTTGTTATATGTGGTATAATCTTAAGCAGATGTTATTTTTATAAGGCAAACCAATGTATTAATCACTGCTGTAAGCAATAATTATACCGATATTGTTAACAAATGTACCTTGAGGAAATGACAAAATCTGGATTGTTTTGATTCTGGTTAAAGTTAAGATTGCTCATGCTGTAAGTCAACACGTCTCCATCAGGATCAGTAGCATCTGCTCGATATGCCGATGTTCCGGAAAGTGCGCCCTCGCTAATTAAGATGTTAACAGTGTTAGCTGGGAACGATGGTTGTGATATTCCAACTTCTGTCACAGTTACCAGCACAGCAGTCTGGGTACTCCTACAAACAGTAAAAAATCATTTTTGATAAGATACATGTGCTTTCCTTAATGATGAAAAAAAACAAGAGGGCCACAATGGCCCTTATATGGCCTATTTCATTGCCAGCGTAAAATTACTGTCCTATAATAATGATAGTTATTCCAGCATGTTTTCAAATAGCTTTACTATTGTTATAGAAGAAATGACTTGTCAAGCACTTTTGAACATGTCCCATTATTGCCTGTTGCCTGAAAAATGCCCCAAACATGCACTTTTCCCTTCTGTGTTTTAAGTCATTGAGTGTCTGGGTTCTATATACCATATGTGCCAAACACATGTTGGAATTTGAGTTGATAAAAAATCCAGATTTGAGCCCCTAAAGCTGAAAATCTAGTTTTGGTCCATTTCAGTTTTCACATGTATGAAGTCAAATACTTGAACAAATAATTGCATAATTTTGTAATCTGTACATTTTGTTCAGAATTGTCCCTAGTAATGAATTGTATTATGCTGTATTTCAGGAAATGTACTGGTCTGTAGCTACCAAAAGTTATGTTGATCAAATGACATTACACCTAGATGTTTTTCAAAATTACTTACCCAATAGATGTGTATACAGCATCTTACATGTTTACATAAATTGCAAACTAAATATTGAACAAATCACTCAAACTTACTAACAATAGAAATCACACTGGAAACAATAAATAACTATTTCACAAAGTTTATCAACCTCCAACATTTCGAGGGGTTAAACCACTATTTATCAAGGAGCTTGCTATTTAAATAAACAGAAAACTCCTTGATGAAAAAGGTTTTTTACCTTTCAAAATGTTGGGAGGTTGCAATAGTTTTAAATTAAAGCAACACATTTCCATTACACAAATTTGGCCATGAAAAGTTTAATCTATAGGCATCTATATGTAGACATTATTTACAAGGTCATTAGTATAGCATTGATATAAAACAAATTTCTACAATCAGCTGGAAACAATTTCATTTAGCATCTAAGACCTAGTACTTTTCAAACTTGAAGAAGCTGCTATAGCTGCATATATTACCAGTTATAAAGATGTCTTTCAGGTTATATGGCCCATATGAATAGTTTAGAGAATATATAGGTTATATAGGTTATACTGCAAACAACTATATAAACACGGCCATATAACAAACAAATTTTATTATACAGCTGAATTACTTCGAGAGAAAAAACAAAAAAATTACTTCATTACAATTTACAGCAGCTGTGTATATAGATGTTATAAACATTAAGATTATCCAATGAAAAGGCACATTACAAACATGCAGTATTATAAAGCACGTAGCTATTATTTTTAAGAATGTCTACACATACCATTGTCCGTCAGTAGCTCGTACTGTGATGGTATACAATGTTGGTGTGAATGTTCCATCAGCTTGTATAAGGCCAGATGAAGGATTTATTGTGAATAGGTTGCCTCCATTATCACTTACACTGGCGATACTGTACTGGATCTGTCTAAAACTAGGTGATGTGTCGGCGTCAGAAGCTGCCACAGTGATCAAGTCACGAGGTCGGTTATTAAAGTTATCAAATGTGTAAGTACCCGCCGGGAATGATGTTTGATAAGCAGAACTAGGGAAAACAGGGGCATTGTCGTTTGCATCTAAGATATTTATTGTCAACGTAAGTGTGGAACTTCGCCTGATACCATTCTGCTCTGTAACTATAACCTGTAAAAATACCAATGAATTGTTATTCTACTTTCTGTGTGTATTATAAAGATTTTTGACCAGTTACATGGCCCTAAATAAATGGTTGTTTGTCTATTGTAAAACACCATTTATATACGGACGTATAACTTGTACACAATCTTTATAATGAATTTATGATACTGCAAACTTTTTTATTAGAGAAAAAAAAAATTATAAATCAACTCCAATTATATAAACGTCAAGATTATCCAATGAAAAAAAGATGTTACAAACGTGCAGCATTATAAATTTACAAACAAAAGTTAAGAGACCGTGCTTAGCCATATCCAACAAAAACAGATTTTATAGAATAACTTTCTTGATAAAACTACAAAAATATCTTCATGCTAAATGCTATTCAATAAAACTTATCCGAAATTATATCTAATTTAATTGCCACAACTAATTAACTTCAAGCAATTCAAACTGTCTTGTGCCTGCCAGAGAATATTAAAATAATAATCTAGGGAAATGTCACTGTAAAAACTTCTTACGTCCAATATAACTGGGTTGGCTGGAGCCGTTTCATAATCTAATCCAGCGTTGTTGGACACAGCGATAAATCTGTCACTGACAGTAAATAGGTTTGGCAAGTTAGTTGTTATTGTGTAACTGTTTGGGAGATCTTCTGTAGAATACTGTAATACAATATTAAGCCAGCTTTAATAGAAAGAATACAAATCAATTTTGAAACTTAATTTAATACAAAATTTGATGGATACTAATGACATTTTGAATATTAGAATAATCAATTACCAAGCTAAGAGTATAAGTAAAATACTGTAAATAGTACTGATAATTTAAATTTGAAAGTTTCTAACAATAATTATAAATTACGCTATAACAATAATTATCAATTATGCTATTATAATAATATCAGTTTCAACACTGGAAAAGGAAACTCAAAATACTACACTAATTAATCAATCATAATCAAAACAAAGCATCTTGCAGAATGTTGAAAACTGTATGCATAAAATAAATACTTACGTAGTCATTATCTGTAATTTGTAACTGAATGAAGTTGTTTGTACCGAAACTGCTAGAACGCCTTACAAGTTCCCCACTGTCGGCATCCTCCGAGATTGAACCGGACGTGCCACCACCAATAACCGAGAGTTGTGGCGCATTTTGGTCAGCAACGTTGACAAACACATTCAAGAAAGCATATGATCTGTACCTTATAACATTGTCTTCAACAGCCTGAAATATTATCAATATAAATGCAACTTACGTTTTGTCAACAAACTACCGATTACTTTGATTGCTTACAAACATTTTTTGTTTAAAGATTACTCATCAATTAATATTCAAGTTAAAGCTTCTCAATATACAATTTGATAAACTTTGCAGAAAGAAATCATCTTTTTCTTTACCACATTTAAGCTATAATATACTTATCGAGGTCTGATTCCTCATATGAAGCAAACCTTTTGTCCTTTTTTTTCTTTTTTTTTTTTTTTATTTTTTGGGTTATACGTTGCACCAACGGTATAGATCATATGGCAACTTTCCAGCTTTACTGGTGAAGGAAGACCTCTCCATACACTCAAGGCATGCACATGCACCTGATTAGAACCACACATTCCTTAAGATAGCTGGATAGCTTCCTCACTCCTCACACAAAAGAATCTAAAGTCCCTGTCAAGATTCGAACCCACAGGGGTGAAAGGCTAGTGATTTAAAGTCCAATCAAACCTATAAGTCAGTAACTAAAGTTCATACTCTATATATATATCACATACACCAAAGATGAAACTCGCAAAACAATTAAGATCCGATGCCAACTTACTTCTATAGTTACAACAATAAGTCCCTCGGTAGAAGCTAAATTGTTCCTGTTTATTGTCTGCACCTGTCTAACAGTGGCGGTGTAATCACCATTGTTTGTAAATGTTGATGTACTGACTGTGAAAGCATTTTCATATCCACTTGGGTTGGCTGTTGTTAAAAAAATATATAAGTTAAAACTACTTGGGCTGGCTGTTAAAAAAATATATATACAAGTTACATCAGGTGATAGAAGACTTTACAAAAAACCAAAACATCATTTTCTAAAATAAAAATTGTTAAGTTTCTTCTTTTGTTACAAAGTTTAATAGTTATAATGACTTTAAAATTTGTTACCTTCAGTTAAAACATATTGAACACAAGAAGAGAGAGGGCTTGACGTAGTTCAAAACCTGAACCAGTATCTCCAGTTTATAAAAGAAAATGTTCTTAACTTAAGCTCTTGGATTCACAGTAAACAAACTTATTCTGCTTTATGATGTTATTACACTAAAAGGCAGAGTTGTCCCTTATCTTTATAGCAATGATTAAAGGTGTATGGAATGCTAATTAGTTTAATTGGGTGAAAATTTTTTTAAAAAATGAGAGAAATTGTAATGTACATGATCTATATCAATTTTTTTTAATTACAAACTTGCATTTTGGCTTTAAAGAAGTTCCATTAAAAAGATAGCAAAAGAATATACTCAAAGTTAAAATGTTGGATTCTTAGCACAATTTTAGTTAAAAAGAGTTTAAACACTTCTTATTGTCATCTTTTATTTTGTATTTTAAAAATGATATTCTGAACAAGCAGAGTGAGCAAAAACTCTGAAAAACCATAATAGAGTCATCTTGACAAAACAACTAACATCAAATAAAAAGAAACAAATTGCTAAAAATGAAACTAATACTTACTTCTGAAGATATTGAAGTTAATTCGGGCATTGAGAGTATCCTTGTCTCTTGCCCGGATAGCAAATGGGCTTGGACTTATACTTAGTACAGTCCCGTCAGGCTGAAACAAATATGAAGTAGTATTTTAAAGTCTGAATGTATTTACTGTTCAAACATGCCTCATAAAGAACTCAACCATGTGTAACTACCTTCATACAGCTTCAGAAGAGAAACTCCGAGCTTGTTGATTTACCAACTTTACAACTGCAATGTCATTTCCTATGCATCAAAACTCATAACTGGTGTCAAACAGCCTATTAACACTGCTCAGACCAATATTATTTACAATAAATAATAATAATTTAACTCCTAAGTTTTCAAATATGTCAAAATGCTTCCTAACATGACATTGTATTAAGATCAACTAGGTTAAAGCTGCAACCAATAGCAAAAGCAATAAATAAGTATGAACCTTGGGATTTATCTATTAGTTATCTGAAACTGTAAAGCTTTTAGGACTTCTATCAAGTTATACTTTGAGAGGGAAACCTTGCCAGTTGCTTCCAGCCATTACTTCAGGCACAAGAGTAGATTCATAGTTTTTGTGTGTGCACTAGCTGGGCAACAGATGTTCACATAATATACCATATGTAGGGGTTCAAAATGTCATCACAGACAACCTTACAATCTTAATAATCTTAAAATGTTACAATAGTAAATTATTTATTACTATGCAAATGATGCAATTATAAAACATACAGAATTTACGTTGCTCCCAGAAATAATGTTGGTGGTATATGTCGCACCAACACAAAATCCCCTACTGTCCGTCTGGCAGTTGGACACCGTAAATGCTGGAGAGTTATCGTTCTTGTCTGTCACAGAGATATTGAAGAAAGCTGTTGTGGATAAAGATGGTGTAGCCTTGTCCTAAAAGAAACATTTGTATTTATCTAAGTGAATTGGTCTATAATGGAAGGTCTGTGTTACCATAATTATAATAAAGTTGATAGTATTTATTATCATACATGACAATGTTCACCCATGAAGAATTGTATATGGATGTCTAACTCTACATTGGGAACATTCCCCTTATTATTTCAAATATTAAAAAAATCACCGACGGCTTTACTTAAACATTAAAAAAACATAAAGATATTCAGAGCTGGTATTAGAAGTTTTATTCTGATAATTTGCTCCAAGTCGGTTAAAATTAACATTTGGTCAATGATTTAGACCAATCAAATTTATATAAAAATTAACTTACAGCAGCTCTGATGGTCAGTGGATAGAAACTTTGTGTTTCAAAATCAAGCCTCTCATTTACACTGATAGCACCAGTATTCACATCTATTATAAACTTCTGGGAAGATTGCTGTAAAAAAAGAAAATACAACATGAACAGTTTTAGAATTCAAATTTTAGTACACTAAATTAAATGAGAACCATTGTAAAAGCTGCTCAGATTTCAGACTTCCTTTTTATTTAGAAAGAATAAAAAACTGTTTGTTAAACTGGTTAACTTTTTAAAACAAAAATTTTCACAATGCGAAAGTTCTGTACTCCTCTTCTGTTATACAGTTTATATTATCTAGAACAGAACTATACAGATTTTCTTTTGGCAAATATTTTTATGCACTTTAGCAGATTCATATTCATAATCACCAAAAGCTTGTTTTGTATAAGTCTTTGGAAAGACAATTACAGTAGAAGGATGCAAGCTTTTTCACAATAAACATTGTCATTTTATCCTGTTTACTAGATTTTCATGTGGATAAAAAAAAACAAAGTTTACATTTGACATTCATTAACAGCAAAAGAGTTAATTTATTTACCCCGCTAATAATCGAGTACTCAACAACTCCATTAACTGGGGCACTATCCCTGTCAGTGGCTGTTACTGTAAACACAGGAGTCCTTCCATCATCAAACTGAAGAAGAAACAAAAAAATATATATATTTCTCCAAAATCATCTTCATAAGTTCGCGACGCAGAAATATTGGCAAATTTTGCAAATTGACAAAAATCCGTACAATTTCCTCTGGTGTAAAAATCAACCAACCTGTCTTTAGATTATACCCTTGCATATTTTTTAAATATTTTCTGACGTGAAATGTCTGGAATTTTAAATTCGCTAACTTTTCGGCACACAGAAATATCCACTTATACAGTACAAGTATATGTAGGCTAACTAAAAACTTTGCAAACCTATGTAAGGCTGTTTCCTGTAACATTGTAATAACAGTTGTTTTATGGATGAAAGTTTAATATAGTTTAGTGGACAGTGTTTTTTGTTGTTTTTTTTTTAATTATTTTGAAAAAGAAAATTGAACAAAATCTAGTGTGCTTATGAAGTAACTATAATATATCATTTCCATATTTCATAATATCTTTGTGTTTTAATGAAATATCTGTATGTAGAACAAGAGTAAAGTCAGTATACTAACCTCAGAGATTGTCCCAGTGCCTGGAATGTTCCTGAAGAATGGAGTGTTGTCATTCACGTCATTGAGTACAATGGTCAGACTGTAGGTCGACTGAAAATTAAATAAGAAGATTTATGATACTTCCCTCCCTGGTTTAAGCACCATTTACATACAACATATATCATATACAGGCATGTACAGGCAGTTACCTAATGAAAGTTTGAACTCTTTGCATACTCGTCCCATTTGTATTGTGAGAAATTGCCTATGATTTGATTAAATCATTTAAAACTTTAAAACTCCGTCCGAAACCAAATTGTGACAATAATATATACACACATTTGCTGTGACAATAATTGAGACTTGCTAAATGCTGCAGCATGTGGATAGAGAGACTGGATGCCTCAAACCTTCTCAACTGGCAAGAAGAACTTTAAAAATATTTCGTTTATTTGTAACTTACAAGCTAAAAAAGTTTGAAGTGAGAAATTTTTACAGAACTAATATATGCTAACAATCACATTACCAAATAACTGAATATATTTATGACATTCATGTACCATTTTCCACGTATAAGAAATAAAAAAAAAATATTTACAATGTTCTTTTTACAAGCTTGAATAAAATATGAGGTCAATCAATGTATTGAAAATACACATATTGCGCGATATATTATATTATCTTACTGTTTGGCCATTCCATGTACAGCTGAGAGAGAATGTCACACTGTTCCTTTCTGGAGGATTTCCATCCAAACCACCCTGTATAAAAATGAGCAATAATATATGAATTCTTAACTACATTCATACTGAGCTGTCCTTCAACAAATGAAAGTGCATCAGAATTATAATCGTTTCATCTTTCATTTCTAAATTGTCACTGCTGAACAATAAACAATATTTAAGCATAACCTTGTAGACTTTTTTTAATTGGGTTTTTACATCACACCAACACATTAAAGGTCACATGGCTAGTTTCCAGGTTTACTGGTGAAGGGGAACCTCTGACGCCCTCTGCATTATTTCAGGCACAAACAGGCTACTGAGTAGAACAACTTACATTACATAAGCTAGCTGGGTAGCTTTCTCACATGAAAAGCATAGTCATTATTTTATAACATCCTCAAACTAAAAGTAATTAGCCTTTGCCACCAGTAAAGACAAACGCAGGACTGCAGAAGGTTCTGTAACTTTTACAGCTCAATAGTTGTGTGATTATTTAATTCTTTTAAAATTGTGTCCAATTTTCAAAGAAGGGGAAATCTATTACATAAATTCAGCAGATTAAGGAGTTATTATAGTAAAGTTCTAATTAATTTAAGTAAGTACTTACATCTCTGTCAAGTGCATTGATCAAACGGACATAAATGCCACTGTTTGAAACACTTTCCAGTGTAAAGTAGTTATTTGGAAACAAATCGGAACTAGCTTGGTTTAGAGCTACCGATAATCCATTTTGACCAACAGTACCAAACAGGGGTAATTTAGCCCTGTAATTCTCATTGAAATTTGGCTCTGCAAAGAAAATTCAAGCCCAGTATAGATATATATTTCGAAATGAAAAATAAAAAATTCAATTGTGTTATTATTCAAGTATACATGGCCATACTACATCAATGGCAAAATACCTCTCAGATCAAGCTACATACTATCAATTCTCTCTAGATAATAACTAAGACAGGGATTTACCAAAAACTCAATTCTGCATGCATACATACTCAAACTGTATTATGAAAGCATCTTTTATCATCATCACATTCACATTATTTTGAAATGTGCAGTCAAGGTTACATTAGACTTTAGTCTTTGGCACAGTTCGACTAAAATACTTTGTTTAAAGAAAGGTTGATGTCTTCAAACAAAACATATATCATTAAGTTCACCATTAAAACTCAATCCAGATATGGTGAAATGTTAAGAAAGTCGGTAATTGTAGTACCAGGCACTGAACCTGTATATTCCCTACGATTGTTGGATAAATAATCCAATTCAACATATAATTTCAACTAAAATTAAAACTTACGAACGTCCGTTTCATCGACTTGGACATTTATCTGGTTGCTGTTGGTAAAATCATCCCGTGTACACGCTGAAAATAACAAGTAAACAGTAGAATAAATAGAGTCATTGTCTATAAAGGGAGCTAACTTTTCGAGTAAATGGAGTCATTGTCCATAAAGGGAGCTAACTTTTAGATTTACTATTTTTATCAAGTTCTTAGTAAAATAATACCGCGCTTAACCTCAAAAAAAGACAGTGATTGTCTATGGAATAGATCAGGTGAAAGACAAAAAAGTATTTTCTGAAAAAAAAAAAAACACGACGGAATATCTTACGTGTTTGAGACTGCGCAGTCGATACAAGAAATACAAGTACAAGGAAGGCAAACCACCCGGGTGGTGGTGCAACTCGCTCCATTCTGGCAGGCTTGTGACCCTGACCTGAAATTAACAAAAAGATAAGCTCATTACGGAGTTCCTGTTTATATGGATACCGAAAATTTTGTCTGACAAGTTAGTTGTTATCCGACTTTTAGAGACACAGTCATGCCATTAATATGTTTATTTATACATTGAAAACTGCAACAAAATATATAATTATACTGAACCAATAATTTATTTGCCATGTTTGAACGTAGGTAATTCTTTTAACGTTTGAATCACCGATTCATATTAAAATTAAGTAATTAAAACCCATGGTTTGAATACATTTGGCTGAAACTGGGAATACCCTCCCATGCTGTAATTTTTTGTGAATCTTTTCAGATCTGCATAAGAATATACACACGGTTTCGTAATTATTTATATTTCATTTCAAAAGCGTGTGTTGCTGACTGCCTAACGTAATTACAACCTGTGGATATCTTATTCGGCATGATGGCGTTTTTTTTATTCAGTTTATATTGATTAATGCACTTGATATGACGGTTGGTCCGCTGAGATTTAAAGGGTACATTAGTTTGTCTAGGTTTTACCTTCGACTGAATGTGCTTACTATGGTCAAGAACTGAACTTTACATTCCGAATCATAAACTTATTAATAACACTACTCTGCTACTCCTCTACATCATTTGAAATTATTCAAGTATAAAATGCTCATTCCATCTGACAGTTGCATGTATAACAAATGACCCGAGATATTATTATAAAGCTAAATCAAATTTTATGAAATCATTGAAGTATGGAAAGCGGCAATAGAAGAGAAAAAAAACGATATACATGTACATTCAGATTGGATAACGTGGGTCACTCTGTTTCTAATAAGAGCCGCGTCACGACAAAACCAACATAGTGGGTTGCGACCTGCATGGATCCAGACCAGCCTGCGCATCCGCGCAGTCTGCTCAGGATCCATGCTGTTCGCTATCAGTTTCTCTACTTGTTATAGGCTTTTTAAGCGAACAGCATGGATCCTGATCAGACTGCGCGGATGCGCAGGCTGGTCTGGATCCATGCTGATCGCAAACCCATTATGTTGGTTTTGTCGTGACGCGGCTCATATTTTAATTTGTTCAACTGAATATCTTTTTTAAAGAAAGTATTTTACTATGTTCTATCAGACAAGCCTTCAAACTAGCACCCACTGAATCCGTAAATGTCATTAGAACACCTGGGTTAATACAACGAAACTTTTTTATAGATATATGTAAACTTATATAAAACACACGAATCTTAATTTAACTGTTGGATCTTACTACAAATACGGAAAAACGATTTTGTTAAATGTTCAAAAAGTTAGGATTGAAAATTTCACTAATTCAGCATTTTTTAATTGTGCAATTTCGTTTCAAAGGTTCACTAATTCAGCATTTTTTAATTGTGCAATTTCGTTTCAAAATTTTAATAAGTTACACAAATAGGATAAGTCTGTTGATTCTTTTTGAAGCGTGGACATTTTTGGCACTCGGTAGTTTGGAACGCCCTTGAAATATTTGAAAGCGATTTATTCGCATTACCTTTTATAAAAAGTTTTAATAATTCCCACGTATATTTATACAACCCGCATTCAATTTTAACAATTCGCTTAATAATACCACAAGTGACCCGTAACATTAAACCTAAGGATGGTCTCAATGATCAGTCTATTTCTTTGTAAATAGCGCGATTAATCTGTATTCACAGTTTTTAATTCAAATAAAGGAAAGCTCTCAAATGATTTGGAGAAAATAAAGTTCTATTATCTTGAATGAAACCTTTCATCGTTAATCTGCGTAAAAAATGTAGTCAGAAACTAACCCGGCTTCGTATTTTCAGTTAATATGCTAAGTACTGTTTTACTGGCTTTCTTGTGCATAAAACTGACCACCGTGTACAGCAATAGCTAATTCTGCATTTGGAAACATGCGCAACACTTGATCATGCATGCATGGTTTGTTATCTTGTGAAATTATCATGTAGAAGGCTTACAAGTTTTTACCGCCCGTAAGTACGTAATCATTAAAAAAAATCGGTCTCTAACTGAAACCCTCCGGCAAGCCCTTGTTAAAATGCAAACACGGACAGAGTATTCAGGACAATACCTGGCTTTCGAAAGCTGCAGGTTGTCAAAGTTCACAGAATGTCCGATGCGACATAGTAATATCAGAGTGTGGTGTGACCACTGTTATTTAGCCATTGAATAGGAACAAAATTATTAGATCTCCACGTGCAGCAGACAAAATGTTGGCTAATTAGGATGAATTTGCGTAGAAAACCATTAAGTAGGCAGTTCAAAATCAACCTTCTCTATAAAATAGTTTAGGAATTGAGAGAGAACGACTTCGAAATAGAAAATCTGTTTTTTTTTATAGAAACGTTGCATCTCCTTATGTTGCTTTTTCAATTTTTGTTACAGTATTACAAAACTGAACCAGAGTAATGATTTATAACTTTTAAGTAATTACATTATTTTATCATAACCAACTTTTTCTCAATACACGCTTAAGGCAGCTTGCCCATGGGTTCGATTCCCGCAAGGGACTGTTTTTTTTTCCTATGAACAAGCTATCCATGGAAGGTCGGTGGTTCTGTTCAGGTGCCCACTCGTAACTGAACAATGCACAGAGTGACAGAGGAACACACAGGGTCTTTCTTTTTTTGTTTGTTAAGTTTTAATTTACACCGATATTCTAATGGACATATGAATTTTTAGCTTTTCTTGTAGACGATCTCAGGTGCTCCTCCTCCGTGCATTCCCTTGCGGGAATCGAATCGACAACGATTTAAACCACACAGGAGATCTTCCTCCCGCAGTAAAGATGTCATGAACTTCAACTTGAATATTTTAGAAATTACGTGAATTGCCAAAAGAAAATTCAAATCGGAAGATCATTCATCATAAATTAGAGCTACAGCTTAAAGACGTTTCTGCAAAGATGACGCCTCGATCCTTATCGGAGTTGATAAACATGTATTAAGTTTGCCGAAGATGGTATTTTACTTGAACCTTATTGCACGTTATTACTAGAATGCAAAAAATATTGCATCGAGGTAAAAAAATATTCCGATAAGAAAAAAGAACATACAAAAAAAGAATTTTTTTATTTGTCACAAAGTAAAAATTTGGCTTGAAGACATACTTTGATGCACATAGCATAAGAAATGTCACGCCAGTTCAGAATGCTGTGTCAGTACTTTCTTTATATCTATATCTATAAATGCTTGACCAGGTCGGGTGACCTTGGAACAATTCAACCCATTATATATAAAGTAACGAGATGGTGTTTAATATAAACTGTAGTTCTTTAATTCGCTATTTTGATTGCGACCATTAAGATAAATATAAAATCGTCTATATGTAAGGGGAGTGTTACGCCTCTATCTAAATACTTGCCGTTTATTACAATAATGTAACGCAAAATGCCCGACTGTATTGTCAGATGGACAGCAAGTACGATTATTCTTATTAAAAAATACAAATGCTAGATTCCTGTGCAGGAATTTATTAAGATTGATAAATGTGAATAATTATTAAGAAGACGCACAGGCTAGAGCTACAGGAACCTACAATGCTTGATGAAATATGAGAATTTTACAATGTATGTAAAAAAATAACGTTTACGACGACCTTAGGTAGACTAAGACCGCAACAATACCAGCAAGAATTCTTCACTTACTCCACATCCCCATACCAAGAAAAAAGTCGTGGAACGAACTCCACAAGTCTCATTTGTAAAAATAGTAGACATGAGGTTCATTCTATCACGATTTTTTATGTAATATAAATCCGTGATTCAATGAATGATAAAAATGGCGCCAATTTTCGTTAAGAAACTGTTTTTACTACACACTTCTTGACAAAAAAACCCAACATATTTATGACATATGGATGAAGGATAAAAGATATGCTTATGGGGGGGGGGTATAAATAGGTATTTTCGTACGACCTTAAGCACTCCATAATTATTACATCAGCGATAAAAGATTCTGCATTGCGTTTAAAAATTCAATAACGAATGTAATGGAGTATTTTATTTTATTTTTGATATTTAAAGGGATATTCAGGCAAAATAATGACAAAAATATTAAAATGATCTTTTGTACTCAACTCGTGCTAAAATGACATTTCTAAAAGTTTCAGCATGAATTTCTCTTTAAATTCTATATATTTTGGATTTGAAACATAAATATATCTATATATGTTGAACAAAATTTAGACGCCGATAGAATCACTAAATAGTTTTAAAACAAGTCATGTGACTTGAACAAATCCTTGAAGTTACATTAACAGATAGTGTAGATATTGTATGACTGAAACAAGTCAAAATCATTCATTTGACATGTTCTTTAACGTTTCCAGAGTTCACTGTGACAACTATTGTGAAATCCTAGCGCTCTAACCTGACCCACGCGGGTCAGGATAGGGAACCACAATTTTATTCTTTATATGGAGAAAAGTTTTGTTTCTTTGACTGTCTAATATATTCATTTTGAGGGCATTAACAGAATAAGGAATGAAAAAATTCAAAACTAAGAAATGAAAATTTTGCCTGTGTCTCCCTTTAAGCTTTTACTTGTAATTAAGCTCAAGTTTTCACTGTTCCAGTTAGTTTAATCCGGGGGAGGGGAGGATAATACTCGTGATGTCTCGGTTTTCCTTAAAGAAAAGGTTTACGCTCAATTAAAATGCTTAAATACCTGAAAGATATTTTGCTTTTAACAAAATTGCACTTGCATATTATGTAATGACAAAACAAGCAACAATTGTAATTGCACTGAAAACAAGTGCACGATGAAATATGCATGCGCATTTTGTAACACTGCACCCCCCCCCCCCCCCCCCCCCCCACACACACACACACACAACAATAAAAATAAAAAATAAAAAAATAGCTGCACGTTTCCTCTTATGTCATAACATTTTTTTGTACACAAAGTTGGCTCTTGAATATACACCTGAAAAGTGCAAACGGGTTTATTTTAGAAAATTCTGCTTTAGTAATACAAGCACCCTGGAGTTGGCCATTGCAAAAAGTAAATAAAGTTAACCGCGTTAAAGCAAATATGACATTGTTAAAATTTCTGTTTAGATTCTATAGACAAATGATTTATTTATTTCTTTAGGCAATTGAAGTTACATAAGTGTTTTTTAAGTGAAGGTGATGAAAATGTTTTTTAAAACGTATATACAAGGGAAAACATGCAAAACCTGATTTTTTCAAGATTTTTAATCTGCCTAAAAATTGTGATACTGCTGCAGGCACTATTATAATTCTTACATTTACAGGTTTTGTTTTGTCATGTTTGGTTTGTCATTTTCTCACATAGATAATTTTATAGTTACCATGACTAAAGTAATTTTCGGCAGACATTCGACAATTTGAAAAATAAATACCCAATTTTCACTTTCATGCAAATTAAACATCCGAAAGATGTACACGATGCGGATGACTAAATTTTACTATTGAAGGATAAATTATTTCAAAATGTAAATGAATGAAAATGAAGATTAATGATCTATGCTAACCAACTATGTACCACGGTTTACTCAGTACTCTTTCTTTTTAGTCAAATGATAGTCAAAACCAGTCACCTTTTAAACGTACATTAGCTATTTTAATCACCAAATCAGCAATAATACCGACCCGAAAACGAAAAACGTCTTAATTCAAAGTTATTCAGAGGTCAGGTCAATCAAGATTGTGAAAAATATGGATGAAATTAAAATGACAGTCCGAATGTTGTCATGATGTTAGGTCAACCGGTAAAAAATCTTTATAACATATGCCACCGTCTTATGAGAGAACGAGTGAAAGGTAAAGTATTGTGGTTTTTGCATTTGCCGATAGAATGAAGAAATATATCAAAAATACATAAACCTGCTACTGACAAATTTATACTATACAAGTTCTTCAATCATAAACATACTAACAAATTTATACCATTATTTCAGTTATAAAGACGGTCCAGTATTTCAGTTATAAAATGGTAATGCCTTTAAATTCTTATAGCAATGCAAAATTGGTACATGTACTGCCTTTATATCAGTATATCGGTTAAAACACAGTAATGCCTTTATATCAGTATTTCAGTTATAAAAATGGTATTGCCTTTATACAAGTATTTCCGTTATAAAATGGTAACGCCTTTAAATTCTAATAGAAATGCAAAAATGGTGCGAAATAATGCATGAATGTTGCGAATAAGAGAGGCATCCAGGTTCATGATTTGTTCTTGTAAACAACAAAATAAGTAGTATTTCTAAATATTTAAGTAGTATAAAATGTTGAAAGTCAAGCTGTGGCTGAAAATTGTGACATACCTCATTAATATATTTCAATAGTATTAGTAGATCAACCCGATACGGTAAAAATTTCAATGACAAGTGACATAGTTACAACCATAATAGTATAATTCATTTCATACATTTCTCCCAAAATGGAGCAATTTATTTAAATTGAAAAGCTTTCGAGGCGTTACCATATTTCTTTTTATTGAGAAGATAGACTTAAGTTGAACCTACTTGACATTTGTCCTTGATTTCCAGATTCACACCCGGATTATTTCAAATTATATTTATTGTATCGTAATGAACGGACGAAAACTTTGCAATTTATACACATGGTATCATTTATTCTAGATGTAAGGGCAATATAACAACTACATAACAAAACAAAACAAAACAAAAACAAAACAAAAAAACAAATTTTGCGTTATGATGCACATTTGAGTCGCGTCACGACAAAACTAACATAATGGGTTTGCGACCAGCATGAATCCAGACCAGCCTGCACATCCGCGCAGTCTGATCAGGAGCTTACAAACTCTATAACAAATAAAGAAACTGATAGCGAACAGCATGGATCTTGATCAGACTGCTGGTTTGGTCGGGACGCGGCTCATTAACATTTGCGCATTTTGCGGGAATTTTAACTTTTAAATTATATAGACATATTTTTTATTGTTTTTTTTTACAAGAGAAAATGTGGGGTTTTTTTTTGTTCCTAGAAAAACTACTGAATGCTCAAGGTATTTCTGAACTTTATAAACGGCATTGATGGGAATTTGTATTTTTTATATAATTTAAACATCTGTGACAGTAAACACCTAGATTTTGGGCAATCAGCCATTTCTAAATACATATCTAAATCCGACAATTCGGAATGTCATTAACAAATATAACGGGCATGTGATATTTGCGTTCTTCGTCGACAGCCTTAATATTTTAAATCACTGCAATTAAAAAAAAAACTAGTACAATAATATAAGCGGCAGCTTGTAGGTCAATGCTGCAATAATGGGAATGTCAATATTATAAACTTTTTTCGAGTTTGGTCTCAAATCGAAGGATTTTCATTGGTCAATATATGTTCGGTGCTGATTTTAGACCAATCAAATACAAGTACCTGAGCTCATAACCTTTGACACAGCATGCCTACTTGACACATCTAAGCAGTCCCCGATTTCAATGTACGATATATATTGTTGATGTCAGTTTCGTATTTTAATATTAAACTGTTAAAGTTCGTAGACAATGAGCACACATGTACAACGAATGTTCTATAACATACGTCATTATTAAAGACGCATACCATACGTTTTATTTCGAACACCAAAATTATATGGTAAGACCCTCCACTTTTGTAAGTTCGGTGATATTTATGCTCAAGTTTGTGAAATACTTTCTATGCATAATGCACAAGTTGGTATATAATACACACAATTTTGTGTATTTAACTGATGAGTTCAACTTTAAATTAAATTGATGCATTTGTATGGATAATGTCTAAAATACAATTGCAGATTCTTAAATGCACGCTATATATTCTTTAGACTTGTTTGCATAACAGATTGCTACACCAATTGCATGTATGATGTACACACACGGTGCAATATCAATAATATTAAACATACAACTGACCAACAGTAAACGATTATCATTTTCATTTTTTCCTCGACGATTATTTGACAGAAATCACCCTGCATTTGAATTCTAAACCGCTAAACATACGAAGAAATACAAAGAATACGCAGGACATGTTCAGTGATGTTATTTATAACGGTAATATTCATGAAAACTAAACAATCAAGTAAATAAAAAAACATAGCGGCTTCATTATAACGTTTACGCTTTTGAAATAACAGCACCGACAATGCTACAAAACCTGTGCGTGCATTTTGTATACTTTTTTAAAGTACAAATATGATTTCTGAAAAGAACACGTTATTTATTGACCAATGTTGACTAAATAAAAGACTTGCTTGAAACTGAACATTGAACAATGAGAGCATTTTATACAAGTATTAATCAATTTGAAATTGTCAATATGAACGCTGGAATAAGCGACTGACAGTATTGACCGTGCAAAGTACAAGAGATTAGAAAAGTTAATAAATATGACATGAAATGCTTCCAAAAAAAAAATGAAATAATCAAAACTGATTTACCGTCTATCTAGTTGTATGTATTTTTCCACTCCAGGTCTAAAAAATTGTCGAAAAAAATTTATCCACCAAAAGTCCTGCCTTCTTACCTTCAGCGTTTACCACGCCTAGTAAGTCTCAGTATTGTACAGTTGAGGTTTATATACCCGACTATCAGCGGGTCGCTTCTTGTAACTCTCTGCCTATTGTAAACATTTTGTTGCAAAACCGGTTCTAATGTGTACATACGGATTTACTGTGATAACAATACCAGAAAGTTTAAATGTCGCGCAGATATAATAATTATATAAGGACAGATTCTCAAAGACTATTCTTTTATTAATTATTTTATGTTAATTTTAAACCGAAGTATATCGAATTAAAGCAGAAATATTATGGTTGATAAAATTATCCGCGCGCCAGTGACGGGAGCTTCATAGAGAAATACCTATAGATAAGAAAGAAGTAATAAATATTGACTTTGTTTCTAGCATCATTCTTACAGTTTTGACTTCTCTGTGTTTTTATATGTCTTTTATTTTTGATTTACCAAATAAATTTACTAATTAATTTATTTATTTTGTTCATGTTTGAATGTTAATGTTTTTCTTTAATATTTCGGTTAAGTGTCTAGATACAAAAATGATATAGATAATTGCCAATCTTTGTTTTTCTAATATATAGATTCTAATTATAATACGCCGATTGGCTAGTGTCATGTGATAAAAAGAATACAGTAAACTCCGCTTATAACGAACTCATCGGGACATTCAAAATCTGTTCCTTATATCCGGAGTTCCTTGTAAGCATATAGCGAATTAGTTCCTTGTATCAGGAGTTTTTATAGCGAACAGATTTACATATAACGAACTGATTGTTTACCATCGTCCGCCATTTGAAGAGTCATTTGATTAAGAAAAAATAGTCATTAATTTCCATTTTAGACACAATACCCGAGAGCGTACTTTTGGAATTTGAAAATCCTTTGCTATTTTTAAAGTGTTGGTTTTACTCCCTTTCTCAATTTCTCATAAAATATCATATATTGTTTCTAAACTAAGTGTTTTTCGTTTTCTTTCCATGAATAAGAATTAACAAGATTTTTGATTTTTCCATCTTTTTATATTGAACATCTTCTATTATATTTTAAGGGTGACTTTTACTAATGAATGATAAAGTTTTCAAAGGATTATGCTAGCAAGCATGCGTGATTATGTTGAAAACCGATTATAAATGATATCATAATTATTTTACCCGGGCAAAACTATTAAAGAAAAGAAATAATAGAATAAAAGGAATGACCGTTTTATCTTGGTGACAATAACTCATGCTAAAAATATCCTAAAAAGAAAACTAGTACGTACTGCTATTCAAATTCATTTTAATAGATGTATTGAAGTACAGACAACAATTAACGGTACATTCGGCTGAGTTTTAATCCGTGTTGAAAACGAAAGTTGAAAATGCGGTATCTATTTACGGATAGCCGATATTTTGGAGTTCGTTATAAAAGTGTAATTTTCTGTACTTTTAACTCAATTGGGACTAAGAAATGAGTTCCTTATAAGCGATAATTCCTTATAACCGTGTTCGCTATAACCGTATATTTTTATATTAAATAAAGAAGGGCAAAATTCGGGCCAAAATAAATTGTTCCTTATAACCGGAAGTTCGCTATAACCGTGTTCGCTATAAGTGAAGTTTACTGTACAACGTTTGTAAATTTGAGCCGCGCCATGACAAAACCAACATAATGCGTTTGCGACCAGCATGGATCAAGACCAGCCTGCGCGTCCGCGTCAGAATCCATGCTGTTCGCTATCAGTTTCTCTACATGTTATAGGGTTTATAGCGACCAGCATGGATCCTGATCAGACTGCGCGGATGCGCAGGCTGGTCTGGATCCATGCTGGTCGCAAACGCACTATGTTGGTTTTATCATGGCATGGCTCATTTATCATTTTCTTATCTTAAGGCAAGAATGTTTCCTAGAAGACACTTTCTAACAAATCAAATAAAATTACTTTATTTTGAATCAACGCAAACGACACATAGCAATGAAAACCCACATCTCATTCTTGTATTATGTATGTCTGAAACATGCTTTTATGTTTGTAAATCCTACAACATTTGTAAGTGTTGTGTTGCTGCCAGTATTGTTTAAGAAATTTCGAATGATTTTTCGCCATTGGGGTTTTTTATTGGCTTTAAACAAATTATGTTTTATGCTGAATAAAATGTGTATTGTATCTATAGGTTCTTTAACATTGAACTGTGCAATATGAAAGTATGAAGTATATTTTATATATTTTGTATTTTATTGCAAATGTCAGAAGTTTGCAACCGTTTCTTAACCTCCACTTAAGCGATTGCTAAATGCCAAATATTTCTTAGTTTCATCAGCATATATGCTTCAAAAATCGCCATTATAATCATTTACTCTTCCTCTTTTTTCTACTTTCCCAAAGACTCTGCTATGTATATAGTTGAAATTCAGCCGAATTTTAATCAATTAAAGTCAATTATTCTCTTGCTACATCATAATACATTTTCCAGTAACTAGTCTTTGTAAAAAATTGCTTAGTTCTTAGATACTGCATGATATAACTTTTGATAAAAAAATCGCAAAAATCTGTACAATGTACAACAGAAACACCTCATATAATATAGAAAATTGTCAAGCTTATATTGTTGATGATTATATGCCAAGTCTTTTGCAGACATTAGTCAGCCATGTGAATTGTGAAACATTTTTAATATTTCATTACAAATTGGAAAACATCATCTTCCATGACATGGAAGAAGTGACCAAGTTTAGATGTCTCTTACATGCATGACTTTGTCTCTCCCTACCTTTTTAAACATGATATATTGGCAGGAAAAGTAAAATTCAAAAGCTTAAATTTTTCTAATTTTGTCGAATTTAAACGATTGGAGTCGCATCCGTGTGAAATCTATGGAAGCCAAAAACTACCACCTTCTTAAATACGATCTTTGCACTATGGTCGTTGGAAAGATATTCTAAGTTGTCGGTTAGTCGCGGTAGAAATTCAACGTCGGCAAAAATGTATTATAACAAGATCAGTTGTATACTACATAAAGGAAAAGAGCACGGGAGTCTTCAAGTAGTATGGTTATTTGTTTGAACCAAAAAAATAATGGTAGCGAAATTTCAGACCCTGATGCTGTTAATTACAAATGCCGAAAGTAGCCCGCTTTTTGAAGCGGTTACTTCCCTTTATATGTACACTAACGCCGAAAAATTCAAGGCAGATCAAGCGTAAATATTATCAAATGACATGCGCATTAATTTTTAAGCAAAATAGTTCCCCAATATTTGAAAATTTCTAATAGTGTTTTATTCTTTAAAGATATACATGATTATAGTAAGCTTCATGATTTACTTTTGTGTTAAACAACAGGTTTAGCGTCGGAATAATAAGGGTTACAAAGCCTAATTTAGAATCATATGGTTTTCTTCAGGCCGTTAGCACATAACTTCACCGTGGCCGACGGGTCTGCACGCTCGCTTAGGAATTGAGAGGTCTGGAGTTCAAATTCCAGGTACGGGAACTCATTTCTTTAATTGTTTAAGTAAAATAAACATTGAATTGAATATCAGTGTTTCAATTTGTCTTATAGCCAATTTACTACAGTTAAAACACTGGAAAGCATTGGTGGCACTATACAAAAACAAATTTGTTTATGATTTCACAACCTTTACCTTTCTGACATTCTGAGACCCAAACAAATTCAGCGCCTTCTGTGCTTTGATTTTTTATCAGTGCATGTTGAGGTGAAATAAATCCAGATCTACAGAATCTGTGCAGAGAATGCAAATATCTTTCAGTCTAACTGGACTGCACGGATGTGCAGACTAACACCTTTTAATATTACATCTTTCAGAAGGTTATGTCTAACGATGTAGAAGAAAATTTTTGGGGAATAAAACTAAGATAATGTCAAATTCCGTCCTTCTCATACGGCCACAAAGTAGGACAAAGACTTAAGTAACACAGGCGTTGTCAGTAACTAAGATCAATCTGCCCACGGGGAATTACACTAGTATTCGACTAAGCTTTTTAACAAGCACATTTAAACAAAAACCAAAATAAAATATCATTCTTTTTTTCATTTTTGATAATATGACTATGTTAGATTCGTGAAAATAAATATGTTAATCATTTTTCAATGAACATGTGTTTGTCATGATTAATATTAAAATTAGTTACGAACATAAAGTGGTCCTTAATATATAATACGCTTTAAAATGTTATAGGCAGTTCAAACATTATAAAATCAATAATATTGTAATGAATGATTCAACATAGCCTGAATGTCTGTCATATTTGACCGCTTGGTAGGTCAGTTTACACCGCCGAAATTCATGATTTGTATAAACCTGTCGAATTAATATAATATTTGAATGGTCAATAGTGTGTGTGTCCTCCGGGGCGTACAGTATGTACTGTTTACATTAGTCAGCAATCTAAATATAACAATTTAAATAAAATATGAAAATACTGATATTCTATACAATGATAGAGTGACCATTTGTATGAAAAGGGTCATTTTTTTCTTCAATGATATATTGTACTTTTCAACGTCGCATAGAATCCACAGACACTTGGGGTGTGGAGCTCTTCACGCATATTAAGTCCAAATGAAATGTATTTGGAAACATTTGTCAATCCTTGCGCATGTTCTTATCTTATATGTCAAAAAAAACTTGATATAAGCCGTATTGAAAGAATTTCATATTTCAACGACAATAGTAATATTATAGACATTGAATTATGATTTTTTTTCAAAAGTCTTATATTAAGTTTTTTTGTTGATATATATATGATAAGTACATGTGCTAGGATTGACAAATATACATTATATTTGGAATTTTAATGCGTTTTAAACTCCATACCCCAAGTGTCCGCGACAGAAGCGGTGCCGTATAAAAGTGGTCCATTCCGTTTATTCAATGCTAAATCAGTGCAAACACGTTCGCGCGGCAACGCTGCATGAAGTTAATAACATAACAATAGAAGCTGACATTTTCCCTCCGCATTAACCACTTATTATACAGCTAAAAATAAAGTTTTCTTATTTGAACAATAATAATGGTGATTTGATTATGCTAATGAAGAACTGAATGACGACGACGACGACGACAACAGAATCGGCGGT